GAGGTATCATAATGTTAATGATCAAGTACACAAGCAACTTTTGAAAGTACAATAATAAGTTAAAGCAAATTGTATATATTCATGTCACCAGCTCTTTAGGATCCCGGTCAAAAGAATGTGTGCTCCTCCAATTGTTCATCATAATTTTCAAGTTTGAGATTTGATAGGTGAGATACCAAAATATTTTTATTTATTTTTTTGGAAACATGATACCAAAATCTTAGTTGGATCGATGTGAACCCCCAAGAAAAAAAAAAAATTTCAATCCACTAATTGGTAGTTGAGCAGGGAAGAAGAAGTTAGGCTTTTCTTGGGGTTGAGATTCCCTTCCTGATATGTTCATCTTCGTTTATCCAAATTATGAAGCTAATTAATCCTAAACCCCACAAAAAGTAACTAGACCCTTAATTTTAAGGGTCCCTTATACACACAGACATTGAAGGTTCAGTGCAGTAGGCCTAATCTGACTGGGTGGGTCTCAATTGATCATGATCTTGCAGTACTTTGACAATCAAATACATTGACGCTTCCGAATAATCCATTAATTAATTTCTCTGACAAAAGACATCGATCAAGCAAACAAGTTTTTTGGGTAGGTGATAGAATGCCCCATATTGCTTCAACATACATAAAGTTCAAAGTAGTTTATAATTTGCCAAGTGTATATAAATGCATCATATCTAGTCTTCTTTTAAACTGAGTTTATCCCAAAGCAAAGAACTAATGTTTTGCTTTTAGGAACCAAAGGTTCTATTTTATGAAGGCAGGGACATACAACATTAATTATATCAATTCCTTACAACTCCCCCTGTTGGAAACATATAGTTTGAGAGGATAGGCCTTGGCAAAAAAATTCCCAAGTTTGTTGGAAGACCGGAATAAATGGGTCTCAACTCCAGTTACGTACCTTGCCACTATCGACCTTCCAGGTTAATAGCTTGGGCTTAATCTGGTCTCGCTAGCCCAATCCTCGTCAGTCTTAGTCTAATGCGGGCCGAAATGGGTCACCCATAAAGCCCAAAGGAGTGGCGGCTATTGGAAAAAGCCGATTATCAAAAAACAAAAAAAACATTCATTGAGAAAAATATCTAATATAATTTTATTAATGTTCTTTATTTAATAGATATGAATGCAATTTTAATTTTTATAAGTACTGTAACACCACGCTCTGAACCTCCAGTTGAAAGATTGTTTGTTTTAGAAGGGGGAAAAAAAAATCAGAGATTGAATATGTAACTAGAAATAAATCGTTTATATGTTTTTGTTTATTAGGTACAGTTATTTAATAAATGTAAAAAGCTGGAGTGCTAAACCATTCCTTGTCCTCTTAATGATTTATTAAGGAAAATAAAGAAATAGATATTGATTGAGGAGTCAAGGAAAGAGCACGTGGTGCAAAAGCCCAATGCCGTCCAGCTCAAGCATATAATAAAAGCTACAAGAGATCGTGTGGACGCTACCCTATATTGCGGTGGCCGTTGCTTGTTTACGAAACTGCCATTTGGTTCTCTCTCTCTCTAACTATCCACCTTACACCTGCACTGCACCTAACTTGAAACGCCGTCGTTTATGATTATTAATGTCCTCTCTTTCATTTTTTTTCTCTTTAAATTGAAAATCAACGGTCCTGATTCGAGGGCGACTTTGACCAGTTCAATGTGCTTAAAAGTCAGATCCAGTTGAACTGCTCTGCGGCGCATCCCGGGGCATACTCGTCATTCGCCTAATGGAAAAACTCTATTATGCACATGCAAAGTTTTAAATGTTTTTTATACTAAAAAAAATAAAGTTTTGAATGTTTTTATGAAATGTATTTCCCCCCGTTATCAAAGAACGATCGCATAAAATTAATCTTTGGTTAAATTACGATGTATGTCGTCATAGTTTTATTAATTTTTAAATTTTTTAGGTTTTAAAAACTTATAATTAACTTTTTAGATCTCTGAAAAATTATAATTAAAGTTTTAATAATCGATGATGTTAAAATTGCTTAACTTTTAATAAATTAAAGAGATTTTTGTTGCTTACCAAAAAAGAAGAAGAGATTTTTATTAAACTCATTAACTTATTCATTATAATCACAATTTTATGGGTTCTTATAATTCATTTATAATTTTAAATAAATTATAAAACTATAGACATATATAATTCATTTGAAAAATTGATAAAACTATAGACATATATAAAGTAATTTAAGCTTACCTTTTTTTAAATTTCCTTTTTTTTCATGTCTATATATTTCTTTTACCGCATGAATTCACATTTTTTATTTTTGTTAAAATATAAAGTTTAAATAAAATAGAGGCTACTTGAAGACAGTTATAACTACTAGCACATCGATAAATTTTAATTTATTATTATTTTTTTAGATATACAAATAATGATAAAAAAATGTTTAAAAGTAAATTATAAATGAGAAATTAAGAAATTCATAATCTGTATACTAATCTGTATACTTTTAATCTTTAAATAAATAATTCTGAATAATGAATATAATAGTAAAATATAATATCCTTTGTGTTATGATCTGATAGATCGATCTGTCCAATCAGAGATTGGTATGTTAATCTTGGATCTGTTTGTCCTCTCTCAAGTACCTATAGGAGAGGTACCCTAAAGATAAGCGGATCACTGTGCACTGTAATATAACGACATAGCCAGGACGTGGGGTGTGTGCACAGTGAAGAGAGAGGGTTTAAAGTGTGTGTACCTTATTGGTTTAACCCCTTATTTATAGATGGGTTACCTGGCAGAAGTGGACTTTTGGACCTCTTAAGAGTATTGGAGGTCCAATTGTTGATCCATTGCTGCCGCAGTAGGATTAGTATAATTAAGGAATATTTCTCCAATTCTCTCTTAACTGTCTGGATATGATCGTCATTAGTAAAAGATTTCTTTCCTGTTTCTGCTATCCTTTATTGGATTTTCTAGAATATAGGCAAGTCCATAACACTTTGTAATAATATAGATTAAAAAAAAAAATATGCAAATGGTATAGATATAGATATCATAGTTATCAATATCATACGATACACGATACGATTCGTATGATATGAAATGATTTACAAGTCCAACGATACATATCGTGGGATATATCAGAAATTAATTTGTATCGAATGATAAAATACGATACTGTATCGTGCGATACTGTATCGTGCGATACTTATTATACTATACGAAAATAAAATCAATTTGTAATTTTTTATTAAAAAAGATTTATTTTATGATTTAAATTTAAAAAATTTAAAAAATTACTATTAATAAGGAAAATAAAATAATAACGATTAGAAAAAAAGAGAAAAAGACTTCAAGATTGTTAAACAAGAAAAGAGAGATGAGTCAAATGATTATCCCAATAATAAGGATGCTAAATTAGTTATATCACTAATATAAATGCTGACAGTGATAATATTATTCATAATAATTGATTAGTAGGAGAATAAATAATTTACACTTTAATTATTTATGTATTTTGTTTAATAAATCTTTTTTAGAATTTAAATTTATATTATATTAATTATATTTTATTATATTTATGTATCTTACAATATGATACGCGGCTTTTTGACCTTAGTACTGTCGTTTTCATAAAGTTTCACCGGAATAATTTTTTGGTCAAACATATTATCTATGTAATGCATAACGACGCGGTACTGTGGGAATCACTTTAGGACGTGACACTTTAGCAACCGCGTCCTTTGCATTTGTTCTTGTCACTGGAACGTGATACCCTGGCAATCACGTCCTATTCCCAAGACCACTGGAACGTGATACCCTGACAATCACGTCCTATTCCCAAGACGCGGTACACTCTCAACCACATGTCAGTGGGTCCCATCCCAAAAAGAATTCAACAAGAAGCGGTAGTGTATAAGCCACGTTCCAGGTTACAAGTCAAGTCAAAGCCAAACAGATATATATGTTTCACCTAAAATTTAGGCATATTGATATATTCATTGTAAAAGAGTACATAAAATCTAATAAATCCAATAGTACCTAATCTTATACCCCTGTTTCGTGTTTGGTCTGCTTTCCCGATTTCCAATATGTGAAAGAAACAATTTAATCCAATTTTTTTAATGATTTATATTAAGGTAAAAAAAAAAAAGAGAATCTATGCAAAATTCATACTTCAAGCACAAAGGGCTTTTGTAGTTTTGTATGAGTGAGTGTGTAAGTGAATAATATAAACTATTATAAAGACCTTCATCCAACACCTTAAAATTATAATAATTATAATTTTATTGTTAGTAAATTTCTAAATTAATTATTCTCTGGTTTAAGAGTTAGTCTTCTAACCAGTAAAGAATAAATTGCTAGCAACTATAAAAACCATTTTGTACGAAAATGACTTGTTGCTTTTATTGGATTTTTTGAACTCTTTTACCGTGAATATATCAATATGTCTAAATTTTAGGTGAAATATATATCTGTTTGACTTCGACTTGACTTGTAACCTGGAACGCGGCTTATACACTACCGCTTCCCGTTGAATTCTTTTTGGGATGGGACCCACTGACATGTGGCTGAGAGGGTACCGCATCTTGGGAATAGGACGTGATTGCCAGGGTATCACGTTTTAGGTCTTGGGAATAGGACGTGATTGCCAGGGTATCACGTTCCAATGGTCAGGAACAAATGCAAAAGACGCGGTTGCTAAAGTGTCACGTCCTAAAGTGATTCTCACAGTACCGCGTCCTTATGCATTATATAGGTAATATGTTTGACCAAAAAATTATTCCGGTAAAACCTTATGAAAATGACACTACTAAGATCAAAAAGCCATGATACGCGATCTAAAAAATTGATCAAATAATACACGAATCCTGTTGCGATCTATATCAAGTTACAGTTGTAACGCCCACAAAAGGTGTTTTGGTAATTTGGAGCGGAACCTACCCACAGGTGACAGGGTCGCGGACGCCATTTGAACGCTCTGGTAATGAAAATTCTCTCTCTCTCTCTCTCTCTCTCTCTCTTTATTTGGTTGTGAAAGTAAATAAATAAAGGATACCAAACAAAAAGAAACGAACAGCGTAACAAACAAAACAAACGTTTTCCAGAATTCGGAAACCCAATTCATACTCTGCGCTCTGTTTTGTTCCTCCTTTCCCAGGTATGGTCATGGTGTTTATTCAGCCCTCTCCTTTTTCTCTCTTTGTAAGATTCCCACTTCAACTAGGCATTATCTCGTGTTTCAATTGAAATATCTAAACGGGTTTTTTTTTCCTTTCCTGTTCGGTAACCCCAATTGCTATGCTCTTTGATTCACGTGATTTTTTGTTTCCCTTTTATCTATATTGAATTGGAGGCTCCTCTTTCATTCGTTCAAATTCTTAGAAAGTTACATCTTATTATTAATTTCTTGTTTGCCACGGTTTGTTTTGCTTCGGTGGCATAATCCTCTCATCATTTATGACCAAACTAATCATAGGATCTCTGTAATTAATTCCTCCCATGTTTGTGCTAATTGCTAAATCAGATCTTTACTTCGTTGTTGTTTACTTCCTTATTAGTTACGAATAAATCTGAGTTTTAAGTGGAACCTTTGGATGGAAGAATAATGATATGATTTGATTTCATGTGTTTTTGTTGTTCTGAGAAGTTTTGACGCTTTATGCCCTTGAATGGGGTTTTGATAAATTTGGGGTTTTGCTCTCTGTTTTTGTGTGAGAACAGATGGCAAGGGGAGGAAAGGTTAGTGGCAAACGCAATTTCAGGAAAAAGGTTCGGTCAAAGGAAGGTGGTTCTGATGATTCTGATGAAGATTATGTGGTTTCAGATGATGCTGGAGATGTGTCTGATTGTCCAGAGGAGGATTTATCTTCTTTAGATGGATGCGCATCCGAGGAGAGTTTTGGTGGTTTTCCAGAAGAGAAGGAGGAAATTCAACGAGTGAGGAAATTCAATAGATCAAAGGCCAAAAATGGCATTTGTGGTCAGCAGAAAATTGCAAGTAAAACCTCACGGAAGAGGCAAAGGATTACATATGCAGAACAAGAAGAACAAGAAAAAGAGGCAGATGGAGATGAGGATGAGGATGAGGATTTCAATTTTGATGACGATGAGGAATTTACAATAGAGGAGGAAGATTACTCAGATGAGGAAGAAGAAACAAGGGGGAGAAAGAAGAAAAATAATGCCATGAAAATGGGCAAGAAGATTTTGGGGAGAAGGGCTTCTGTGACTTCTACCAGAGGTAGGAAAAGGAGGAGATCTAGCGCTTCAAAGAAGCCTTTGAGAAAGAAAAGAAGAAAGAATGGAGGATTAAGGAGGAAAGTACAATGTGACAATGCAGATGATTTTATAGATAACGGCCCAGCCATCAGGACAAAGAGTTGGAAAAAACCAGGCCGGAAAAGGAGAAGACTTCTTGAAGATTACAATTCCAATTCTGATTGTTTGTCTGGATCATCTGATTATGAGTTTACTATCTCTGAAGAAGAGAGAGAACAGTTGAGAGAAGCCGAGGAATTATGTAGAAGTTTAAGAAGGAACTTGAGGAGTTCTTCCATTCTAGTGAAAAATGAGGAGGTTGGAGTACATGAAGTTCCACATCAGCAACGGAAGCCCCCGGGCCGGAAGGGTAAGGAAAAGATAGAGGAATCTCAACAAAGTAAGGGTAAAGAAAAGGTAGAGGATTTAAAAAGTGAGGTGGGAAAGCAGGTGTGTGGAATTTGTCTGTCTGAGGAAAATAAAAGAAGAGTAAGGGGAGTACTAAGTTGTTGCGCTCACTATTTTTGCTTTGCTTGCATTATGGAGTGGTCGAAGGTGGAATCTCGCTGCCCTTTGTGTAAGCAGAGATTCAAAACAATCAGTAAGCCTGCACGATCAACGGAGGGGATCGACTTGAGAGAAACGGTGATACAAGTGCCAGAACGTGATCAGGTATTTGAATTTTGCTTCTGGTAATTTTTGACTTTTTGCTCATGTTTTTGCACCCTCTTCAATTGGTTGCACCTGGTGAAAATGTTTTGATTTCACATGCAGGTTTATCAGCCCTCCGAAGAAGAACTCAGGAGCTATATTGATCCATATGAGTATGTTATTTGTTCAGAGTGCCATCAAGGCGGAGATGATGGCCTCATGTTACTCTGTGATATCTGTGATACCCCTGCACACACTTATTGTGTTGGTTTGGGGCGGGAAGTACCTGAAGGTAATTGGTATTGTGATGGTTGTAGACCAGTTGCTTTGGGATCTTCAAGCTCCCAGGTTCAAGAACGTGTGGCTGATCCAGGGGTGACAACCCAAAGCCTTCCTGTTAGACCATCACCAGTTCATGTACGAGAAAGTATAGACCTCAACTTGATGTCTTCACCTCGTGCATCTTTTAATCAAGGTTTCGGGCATCTTTCATCTAGATTTTCTGGCAGAAGTGTTGAAGGAGGCTCTCCTGTATCTGGAGGAGGGGCACCAACTTTATCAGAGAGACGCTGGATACACCGTCAAATTCAGCAGCTACTTTCAATAGATAGAATGACTTCTCCAACTGGCAGAACTGATGGTATTTCAGCTACCGGTTCAATGAGTAACTTATATAGTTCTCAAATTGATCAAAGTAGGGAACCAGCCACTCAACATACAAGGACACAGGAAGTGGGAACATCATATCACACATTCTTTGAGGAGAGATTATGCAACTATACTTCTCCATTGATGCAGAATGGAGATCCCTTCTCCATAAGAATAAGCAATGCAAAAAGGCCAGTGGTTCAGGATTCAACTACGTTTGTCAACAGGCCTGTGAATGGGATGCTATGGCCTGGACTTGCGGGGACACCCACCATATCAGATTATCAGTGCAGCAGTAGACCAAACATTGTCACTGATGGTAGTTTAACCCCTGCTTTCAAAGAAGAGAGTAACTTCCACAATGTGAAGGAGCAGTTGCAGTCAATGGTTAAAAGCCACCTGAAGAGCTTGTCTCGAGATATTGATTTAGGTAAGAGTAGTTTTTCTTCCATCAGCCAGAGATAGTTTATTTCTTCAATTCCCCCTTCCTCATATGGGAAGGGACAAGGGAGGGTTAGAGCATGGTTCATCATCATTCATCCAGCCACAAGTCCAAGACCATTACAAAAAACCTGGACAGGCTTTCCTGTCATGTGAAGAGAACCTTCACTGAGGCACCCATGTGTGTGTTAATCCACTTTCAATCAAACAATGGAATACGTTTCCACTTTCCATGATGATTTCTTATAACAGGGAAATTGCATCGTGGTTCCATTTATTTGCTTTTTGATCATTGTCATCGAAATCTTCTAAATGCCTTTTATGTATTGATTCAGGTTATACTACCTTCAAGGACATTGCAAGGAGTTCTACGCATACCATACTCGCAGCATGTGGTCTTGAGCACAAGAAGAGTGAAGTTTGCACTGTGCCTCCACCATCCGTCTGTCCCCACACTGAATTAATGGCTAGTGGACAAACAAGTCTGATTAAAGGTTGCTGCTCATCTTGCTTTGATTCTTTTGTAGGAGATGTGGTGAAAAGGATTTTGGACACAAGAATGTCGTCACAGTGGTTACGATTAGGACTTTAGGCATTATATTCTTACAATGTGTCCAGAGGCACACCATTTGGTTAGTAGTTAAGACAAGAATATCTCATTTACTTGATTATACATAGATGAATATGATTCGCTAACATTTGACAGAAAGGCTGCCTATGCGTTTGTTTTCTGAAGTTTAATTTGTTAAAGTTGGTACTCCTACAGAAGGTGATCAAGAATATGCGTTACCTGGTTTGGTTTGAAACAATTTAATCATAGAATTGAAAAGAATTTAATCTAAATCCGCAAATACAAGAGAGAATGATTTATAAATTAATTGGATGCATAAAATAATATAGGGAAAAGTCTTTATCCTTTTAAATGACACAACTTATATCATTTCACTCTCACAAAGAGGTGGGACTCACACCTTTATTTTTTTTGTCAACTCTCTCTCTTCCTTTATCTATATCTCTTTCTCTTTCTTAAAATGACACACATTTTTTCCAATAATATAATTTGAAACAAGTTTTATGCAAAAATTCATTTGTAAATAAAATGAATTCTTATATTCTTTTTTATTATAGATAACTATAGTATTTCAATTTTCAAGCCTCGAGGAACCACCTCATCGGGTTGGAAAAACAAACATGAGTAAAAATGAAACTTGTTTATAAATATATTTTTTATAATGTTAAGACCTAACAATCAAGTGGTAAATGTTTTTTCATCGATTATCCGAGTAATTCAGTATAAGTAACAAATTTATTTTTGTTACATAAAAATTCCACGGGGTTGGGACAGGCATTTAGGGGAGCCAACTTCTATCAATATTTCCAATATTGTATCTCATGAAGTAATAATCGTTTGCATTGAATCCCACTCTTCCTTTTGTTGATTGTAAGTAGATTTTTTGCTAGACAACTTAAAAGTTCTTGCATATTATGATTTCCTCCGAAATTATCAAGCTATTCCATCAATGAAATTAGCACCTTCAACCTTTGAAATCATAGTTCAGAATATATTATATATTTTTCTGTTCCATGCTATAACAATTTTTTTTCTGTTCCATGCTCAAAATTGTTATAGCATGCAAGGATCTTGTTTCTTTCATTAAACCATCGGTCAGCAGAGTTTTTCTGCTGGTTATAATTCTTAACTTTCACTATCAAATTCTCATCTTAAAAATTTCTTTCTAAATTATAAGTTAGTAGTGAAAATTTTTGGTAGTTAGAATATCCTCACTCAAATTATAATAATTTACATATTTATCTGCAGTTAATTAGATAATACTAACTCTTATTGTATTTTTTTTTTTAATGTTACAAAATTAAGCATCCTCTAAAAAACATAAAACATAAAGATAAAATCACGTATGATCAACTCGCACCCTTAAACTTTATGCTTTGTTACAAAATTATGCACATATCTCACATAACGTACAACTATCAATTTTTTGCCCCATTTTTTTATCTTAAGGAGAAAAGACACATTACACTTTTTCATTTTGTAAAATTCTCTTACCCTGGTACTCACCCACGGTTTATTACACATTACACATATCACGAAGTCTGACACTGGTACTTGCATACGATTTATAAATAAATAAAAAGCTACAAGTACTAATCATACACAACCTTTTTGTCAAAGTTTTTCGGCCAATCTTGCGAAAATATTTAATATGTTCCAAGATCACTCAATGATTTGATGCTCCCTCTGACAACACTAATTTTTTCTTTCCCTTTTTACTTCTGCTATTTTTTTTCTTTTTCAATTTTACCCTTCTATTTACACTAAGAGACCACCTAAAAAATGATAGTCTGGACCAGAATAAATTCTCTTCAATCTTGCACCTTTAAGTTGAGGTATCCCGTCTTTTCCGGTGATGTCACAAAATATTACTAAACTAAAGCGAATATAAATTACAGTAGGACAGGAACTTCATCTGTTTTCAAGCTTTATGATATGAAATTAAAGGATAAGATGAAACATTTGAACTGAAAATTTCAGTTCACATACAACATAAATTACATTCATTTTCCACATCTTATTTCATTCTGATCAAGTACATTGTGACTTCATTACATCTGTGAATTAAAGCCCGCCACTGCAGCAACCAGCAGTCATCAGAGATGGATTTCCTTCATAAGTTGTCATCAAGTATGGTGGACAGCAATAGCCCTTGAACAAACTCACTTCTTTTTGCCCTTTCTTCCTTATCCTTGACTGACAAGGTAGATGTCTCCACATTTCTGAACAAAAATAATAGACATGTTAAAAACTAGAAGATACTAGGAGACAGTTGAAAATGCAACACTTGATGTATTGCTGTCAGAAAGCATGCCCTCAGCAAGGAACATGAAACAATATAGAAATATTTTTTTTAATTAAAAAAAAAAAAAATCACACTTATAGCAAGCAAATAAAATGTTCAGTTGAATGTGCTGGAAGCTATACATTATTTAAATACACTATGTCAACAACACATAGTGTATTTAAATACACTATGTCAAGGAACATGAAACAATATAGTGTATTGCTGTCAGAAAGCATGCCCTCAGCAAGGAACATGAAACAATATAGAAATATTTTTTTTAATTAAAAAAAAAAAAAAAATCACACTTATAGCAAGCAAATAAAATGTTCAGTTGAATGTGCTGGAAGCTATACATTATTTAAATACACTATGTCAACAACACAAGGATGGAATTAGTGGGACAAAATAAGTATCTTTGTGTGCACCTTTCTGGAAGCAAAGACAACTAATCCAGGGAAAAAGAGGGGTCAATACTTATCCCTTTCAAGCAGTAACTGAGAGGCTAATGTGTAAAACAAAATCCTTATTCCTTCTTCAAAATATAAGGCTTAACATGCCTGATCTTGCAAAACTAGACTTAGATCAGAAATGAGACAAGCAACTTCCTTAAGACATATTTATATGATGCAAGCTGAAAGCAGCAAACCCCCACCCAAAGAAACGCCCTTAGCTTTCATTTCACGTGTGGGTGTGTGTGAGAGGGGAACCCCAAAGAAATGCCCTTAGCAGCAAACCCCCACCGGATGATGAGGAAAAATACCATCTCGGTAAATTTCATCCGGTAAAGTCAGAATCAAAAGCAGTGTGCTATCAAAAGCAGTAAACCACTCCTTTTATTTGGGATAGGGGTGAGGGAGGCAGTAAAAGTAAGCCAAAATGGTTAATGAAACATATTGAGATCTTCAATGCACAGTAACCGTACAACATACTTTATCTTCCTACATTCTACAATGTATATCCTTGATTCTTCATTTAGCTTTTCCAGAACATTTGTATCAGATAGCCCGGACAGTATATCACAAAGAATCAGTATGTAATTTTAGCGTTTGGGGAAGTAGGCAAGTTAGCAATGTAGTACAAGATCAGCGATCATGATCTAGATGTCTTCATCTTTGCAGGTACAAGAACCATCCCAAGACATAATTTACTGAAAAATCTCCCAATAACATATATATGATCTTAGTAATCATGACATTAGTTATTAGTGATACAAATCACTAGGTACTGGGCATAAGTCAATATTCTGATTTTAATGCAACCTGAACCTGAGCTTTCTTTTTCTTTTCTTTTTTTTGGGAGGGGAGGGGGAGGGGGGGGGGGGGGGGGGGGTGATGAGAGGCCACCTAAAATTTGCAATATTAGAACAATACGACTTCTTCAACATTAAATATAAACCTAAATTATCTAAAGCAATATTGCATGAAAAGCAGCAGACAGGAACAATGTGACATCATCACCACATGCAGGAATACTAGCTTAAATAAACACATTTCCATGAAGAGGAAGTGGAAACTTTTTTATTAAAAAAAGAAATTGAAAATAGAATAGACATACTTTTTTGATACAGTCTCATCTGAGCTTTTTTTGGATTGCCTTGTCTCAGTTGGAAAGTGAGGCTGAGAACTGGTAAATTCATCAGCTACAGGCAATATAAATGATGACAATAATGGATCAGGTGCTGCATTAGATGAGGACACTATACACGAGGACCCACCAAAGAGGGATTGCAAATTTCCTTCTCGCAGCTCCTTCCTCAATAAAGATAGCGTTGAATAAGATCCACCTTTCCGTGATTTCCTCTTGCGTTGCATGTATTCATTAGTTAAGGAATTCAACACACTATATGCAACATACCAGCCTGATCTTGATACAGATACAAGACAATAATGCAATAAAAAGAGAATTCTTAGAGATTATCGAACTGAAAACAACCAGAAGAACTTCTGACATCAATTTATGACATGATCAGTTTCAAACTTTCAATATGCAAACATATATAACCATATTTATCTGACAAGCACAACAAGGAGTAGATTATATAAGATTACTAAACCTCAACTGAAGATTCACACATTAGTAGTGTGCGACTGGGTTAGGCAGAAATGTTAAATCAGCAATCCATTTAGAAAACCATATACATTGCTACCAAGTAAGAGGGTTGGGTTAAAGCCTTTTGATTGACCTTGGCATTAGGAAAATGGCAAAGTAGAGATAATGATAATTAAAAATCTTACTTGCACCCATGGGCGGACCTACATGGGGGGCTAGGGTGGTCCCCCGCCCCCTCTAAAATATAAAAATATGTTCTGCTATATGATATTCAACATGGTGTGTAAAAACAAAATTTTAAAAGTGCTTTTAAAAAGTGAAAGACAAGCATGCTATTTATAAAAAAAGTGTTCCACCCGTTCATTGCACCCAATTAGAGATAACTATTATTTACCAAATTCAACCTGCCAGCATATATGGCAGGTTTTATTCTTGGTCTGCTACCTTCTCCCCAATAAATGTGGAAAGCTGGCTTTTCCATTGTATACAAAGAAGAGTTCAGTTAGTAATGCATATTCACTCTACCTATCAAATTTTTCTAAAATTTAATTTTATATTGATTGATTATCTATTTTTTTTAATGAATATTTTTTTTATAACCATTAAAAATTTATACAGATTGTCATGTATGAACTGAGGAGAAGAGTATTTAAGTTTTGACTTTGTTGGCAATGTCAGTAATAGTTATCAATTATTAGTTTGGACCAAATGCTAAAGATAAATAATACATTAATTAATTTACTGTGTCTTCTGCTAAATAACAGCTAAGTGAGAAAATAAGATTCTGAAGAAATCAAAGAAAGTGCAATTATAACACCAGAAGGCATCAAGGTAAACAATAAAATATTTATCTTACAAACAAAATATAGGGTCTTAAGGCTAGTTCCTCATTGAAATAGAGGGTGTATTGGACCATTGTCACCGGAAGCAAAAAATTGACATTCCAACCAAAAAATTGGCAAAAAATTATGTAATTTTATTAGGTTATTCTTAACAGGTATTTTTGTATTCTTAGAGTGATCATACAACTAAAATTGGCATTGTCTTTTTATTATAGTAATATAATTTTTCGCCCCCCCTCATATAATTTTCTGGGTCCGCCACTGCTTGCACCTTATGCTACATTTCTCAACGGATTAAAAGTTGACAAACAGAATGCTTAAAAAATGAAACCTCATTAAGAGGAAAGATTTAATAAAGACCATTTAAGAGTTGGCACAAAAAAATATTAATTAAAAGAGAAAAGGATATCTTAAGTATGCTTCCATGCTGTAGGGTTATGTGTGCAACCATATCAAACCCCACCCTCGATGCACAAACTGGACACACCTGCACACAAAAATACCAAAAATTTAATTCAGAATTGAATTTTCCTTAATATCAAATACCGAAAAATGAAAAATCAAAATAACCCTCCCACTAAAGGAAAAAAAAAAGGAGGGAAAATATTTAAAACCCTACTAGTCCTGAAGATATATAAAAACATCCTATCACATGAATAAAGTGTATTTTCACCCCAAACCTAAACTGGTAAGGTTCTCCATTAGATGCCAAGGACAAACTATAAAGATAAGTTGGAAGAAACAAGCACTTTCAAGGCCAAGCGGTAATTGAACGACTACTAGATAACAAATACTGGAAAGTGGAAACCCTGTGAGTTACACGTAAAAATTGTTGAATGGCAAGTGAAAGTAGTCATACCCCATTTTTTGCCTCCACGGGATGCTCTTCATCAATATGACAGCATAATCCAACAATATCAAAATACTCAGAACAAAATGGGCACAGAAACTCCTCCCTTATATCATCATCCCCATCGTTTTCATCAAAACCCATGAACATATCTACATTTGCAGAAGCTCACATAAATCAGTGGATAAACAAACAACAGAATCTGATTAGGCTTAAGTTGATAGGAAGAGCAAGGGGGGGACTTAGGTGAGAGAATCTCACGATTCACAAAAATCTTCTTTTTCAATAAAGCCATACAAATTAAAATTTCATGGATAATTTTCAATCGCTGGTCTGGCTAAGTAAGATTCTTAAATCACTAATCCCATTAGTAATTGTTACAAAAAAATCATCCTTTTTCCTTGGCAAACGGAATCCGTGACACAAAACAGCAGTTTGGCTTGTGATTTTAATAAAAAAGACAACAAATAAATTATGCTTCTGATTTCATATCATGCCCATTTCTCTGGCAGCGGTAACAAAATAAAGAATGGTCAGCGAAGAAACTTTCAAGCATAAGAGTGTAGTTCAGCTCAGTGTAGTACAGAGTGACTGGGGAGAAAGAAAAAAAACAAAATTTTCAATTTCTATCTATGCGTTTTTTGTAATATAACATAATAAAGCAAATTGAATAAAGTAACTTATTCAAGATTGATAAAAGGAAAATGAATCCAGAAGGAGAGAAATCAGATGAGAGGGGGGAGGGGAATTAGAAAACCTGATCGGGATTGAAGAGCGAAGTTGTAGCGCTTAGAGGCAGAGGATAAACGAGCACTCCAAGAGGAAGAGGAATCAGCTTCCATAGCTTCTGTTCTTGTTGTCTTTTCTTTGCTTTTATGTTGTTGTGTATCTGAAGATTGAGGAGGAAGTGATGTGAAGGAGGATTGAAGATTAAGGAGGAAGAAGATGTGATGTGGTTTCAGATTGAGATGATGAGATGAGGCGCTGTTTCTCCCTAATTTCACCCACACACACAGCAACCCAAACAGACTTGGTTCTTCTCAATTACATTTATATCCGTTCTTTCTTTCTTTTTCTTTTTCCTTTTTTCTTTTTCTTCCATTTTTCCTGTCTATTTTCTTTTTACTTCAATTCAATGACTTTCCATTTCTCATATTATCTGAGACGGTAATATAAAATAAAATAAAATAAATGAGTGGAACCATATAACGAGAAATCTATATATATTCAAAAAACGTGAATACCAAAAATATATATATATATACTCTGAAAACGTATTTGAAACGTTACACAACACTGAACGTGTACCAAATTAAAATGGTAAGTAATAAATAAGGCTTTATTACTCTTACGGAAAAGAAAAATCTAACATAAAATATTGAATTTAGTTGTTGCATGAGAGATTTTCAACGTAAGAGCAGTAAATCCCAATAAATATAGGGGGGAAATTTGTCATGTTGTATGAAAAAAAAAAAAATTGAACTCTAGAAATTTCTTCTATTATTACCCTCACTTCGATGTGTGTGAGATTGTGAGTCACCTTTTTATTTTATTTTTTTTAAGATGGATCTTACTCTTTTTTCTCTCAATAGAAAAGTTCCGACTTTCTACGCAATTTGCGAAGTTACAAGCCCATAAATAAATGAGTTTTATTCTTCTCTGATAATAAAAATTATCTCATTCGACTGCAAGACTACCGACAGAGAAAAAACAAATAAAGAAAGTGAAAGTATTTTTAATGAAGGGAAATTGTGTTCTCCAGGTGTGGCGGAGATAATAATCTTATATCATAAAGACATAAAAACACGTGTTGACTCTAGATTTGTTGTTAGTGGTGGAAAAAAAAATTTCTCATATTAAATGAGAAAAGTATTACTGTTTATGTTATAAAAAAAAAAGTATTGCTCTTTAATAAAAGTATAAAATGATATGTTCAGTTGCCTTGGAGGAGACAATTTTTGTTCAAAAATAAAGCCCTAATAAATATGCAGATTTATTAGTTTATATATGAGATTAATATTTTTTATGTTATAAGAGATAATTTTATCTCTTATATATATATAAAAGTGTATGAGATAATGTGAAGATAAGGAAGAGAAAAAGAAAATGAGTCATACATATTTTTATATGTATAGGAGATAAAATTATCTCCTATAATATAGGAGATATTAAACCCTTTATATAATTATGGGTTTGATGTTTTTAACGTAAAAATAATTTTATCTCTTATATACATAAAAATATGTGGAAAAAACATAGACCTCATACATTTTTATATGTATGTAGTAAATAAAATTATCTCTTATAACATGAGAAACATTATTTCTTATATTTATATATGAAAAAAATGTATTTTTACTTTTATTGTAGAAAGTTTTTTTTCTGTCATATGCATATAAAAATTAGTAAGTCCCGTTATAATGAGAAAAAAAGAGAGAAAATTAGTGAAAATAATGCAATGCACCCACTTTTACGTGAAAGTGATAGAATTTTTTTTTATGCACAATAAATATTAAACCCTTTATGTATAGATTTATGTGAAGAAATTCAATAATATTATGTAAATCTAACGATACTCGTCAAACAAAATTTATATGACATTGCTTTGTGCGTATGTGATAATTAAACAAAAATTAATGACTTGAGACCAATATTATTAGAATCGGATTGGTCATTGACCCGGCTGAGATACCGGATCACTAGGTCAATGGTTCAACCGGTTGGTCACGTGTTGAACCGCATGAACTGGATATATATATATATATATATATATATATATATATATATATATATATATATATATACATATATATATATGTATACATATATATATATGTATATATATGTGTGTGTGTGTGTTTTATAAGAGTTATGTTGTAGGAAAAGTGATTGTGTTATGTTATAGAGATTCGTTTTGCGTGCCGAAGTTTTTTGTTTTTTTTTTGCTGCGGGTCCCACAAAATGTTGTGTGTGTAGGAAACTTTTTGTGATCATGTTAAATGATAGATGATAAACCCTATATATATATATATAAATTTATATTTTATACTTAATTATATAATAAATATTTTAAATGGTGTCATCTAAACAATAACTTGATGTAATTTATTGGTATTTGCTATATTGTATATCCTCAATGCAAGGGGTTTGAACCCCATTAGATGCAATTTTTGAAATAATTATCTTAACTTAATAGTTATATAATAAATATATTAAATGATATATTTTATTCAACTAGTGATGGTGGCCTAGTGGTATGAAGTGGCGCTCCTCACAGGTGGGATTCGATTTGAGGAGCACCACTTCTTACCACTAGGCTACCATCACTTTTCTTACTCCAATGTGCTCGGTTTGAATCACACCTGCTGCCCCAAGCACATTGGAGTGAGGAGTGTCACATCATATCACTAGGCTACCATCACTTGTTATTATTTGAATGGCACCATTTAAAATATTTATTATATAATTAAGTATTTTTTGTATACATTATATAATTAAGTATAAAATATAAATTTATATATATATCATGTTCATGCGGTTCAACCAGTGACCTACTGGTTGAACCATTGACCTACTGGTTGAACCATTGACCTAATGACTCAGTACCTCAGTCGAATCAATGACTGGTCCAGTTCTAATAACATTGACTCCATAAGACATAGTTAAAAAAAATAACTTTAATTTTATAATTATATACTATTTATCATAATACATAATTAAAAAATATATAACTGGATATATCCAGTCATATTATAAATAATTTTCCCATGCCAGTATCAACTATCGACTACTGAAGCCAATAAACTTTCGAGAGAATGCGTATAGTTCGGGAATTAAAAAGGATACCAATATGATGATATTTTCCTTTCGAATTTCCAAAACGTTGCTTTCGTAGCTCAGTTGGTTAGAGCACCCGTTTAGTAAGCGGGAGGTCTTGAGTTCAACTCTCAACGAAAGCATGCTATTATTATTTTGATTGTGACATCATAATTCTCCCGGAATATTATATTAAGGATTGGTATTTGAATACCACATTGTATAATAACGTTTTTTGTTAAGTATAAATTTAATTAATTTTGTTAAATTATACGATTAAACATATAAAATTTTAAGTTATATAATGTAATATTTAATATTTAATTATATTTAAAAAATATATTATACATCAAAATAAAGCGATGTAATTAAATATCAAAATTCACTTTATATTTTAAAATCGCATTATCCATAAAGTGATGTGATTAAGTATTGACTTTTTTTAAATTGAATAAAATTTTGTGAGCTTGATATGTTTTTTAAGTAAGTAATAAATAGACCGATTGGATTGTATATAAAATCTCATTAATAGAAGCTTGCCAAAAAAAAAAAAAATCTCATTAAAAGATAAAAATATGGCAAGACTTACACACACAGAGAGATAACATTATATTAAATATTGAAAGTAACTTCTGCCAAATTGGAAACAATACATTATATCCTCCCAATAAAATGCTTTCTACTCACGCATAGCCTTATAGCATGCACCTTTGAGTTTTGATGTTTGGAGATGGAAGGGAAAATATGAGACGGAAAGATAATGACTTAATGAGGGAGGTAAAAAAAGACTTATATCCTCCTGTTTTTACCATGATGCTTTCCACTATAACCAAACCAGTAATTCTCATAGGGAAGTAAAAGCTTCAAAATTTATTGAGAATAATAGGTTGACAATTACAAACAATGTTTCTTTACCCCAAATACAAATTTCCAGAGTCCATTTTTTGGTTACAACAACAATGCAAAATACAGTCAGAAAACTAGTTTGAATTCTTCTTCCTCTTAGAGTTGATAATATCTGATCCTCTGAATGATTTTTTGACAAGGGAAGATAGGGTCAATTTCAGATCAATGGTCAACTTGGGAAGAATCAAGGACAATGTGTTCACATCTACCATGGCCCTGTGAGCTGATCCATCCACTTTAATTTTATAGAGCTCACTAAGGGCAGCAAGTGATATTGAAGAAAGTTTTGTTCCTGTTAACATAGTAAAAAGTTAAGGCTTTCATACATCAATAGCAAGTATTTGTGTATGTGTATGTGCATGTGCATGTGTGTCAAGAGAAACAAAGAGAAAGAAACCTCCAGATTTCATTAGTTCACGCGCTAAAGGAAGAGTGTCCACAAACAACCAATTAGGAGGAACCTCTGTAGAACAACGACGTAACTCATGAATGATGAATGGTACATCAAAAGAGCGAGCATTATGAGCAACCCATAACACATATCCACCAGGTTTCTCACGGCTTCGAACGTAGTGCAGCAAGATAGGAATCAGGTCCTCCATCCTAAAGAAAATTCACAAAAGCACAATAACACTCAATGATTTCCCTTGCAAAATTAATAAGTTAATCTAATCAATCACCATTGTCAATAATAAACAAACCGGTTCAAAATCAAATGGTAAAAACACGTTGATAAATAAAGCAACTGTCACGTTAACTAAATACCGAACATATAAAACCATGGACTTGTAATTTTCTTCCACTCTATCATTAGATCAACAGGGTTACCTACTAACTTAAATATCGCACCAAGCAACCGGGCACAGTGACTACAAATGAACAATTTTGGAAGAAGAAAATTGAATAAGTTGAAATTGTTGAAACTTAACATTCTCCTATCAGTTCGGTTATTGATAGTGGGAGTCTTATTTTCTAATTGCAAAATAACAAAACCAAACACTTTTTAGTTTGTGGAGAATAGATAATAACTGTAATTGTTAGCTGGATATATAGCTGAGCAGTGATGTAAATAAATTGAAGTAAATCTACACTGACCATAAGGTGGTATCTAGACCAAATGAGTTTGGTCATAGATTCTACCTCCACCAACAACTATATTCATGATGACCATATTTCTACCACTTCATCCTCACATCCTTCAAAACATGTGACTTCTTGCTCATCCAACAGACTCCTCATAAAATTAAGGGGTTGCTGACACTTCAAATCATAGCCATATACCTCAACAAGGAAAAATATTCAAGTTCTCCTAACCCCCATATATTGAACTGATCACCATTTATCCCCACGATAAATAGCCACCAATCACTTCAGAACAATTCTACACCCATTTCACAGTGAAAAATAAATAATAGGACTTAGGAAGGCTTCTACAATGTGCCATGGTCCAATAACCACCCAAACATACTCCCAAGAAAGCCATTTCCTATAAGATAAATGCGAGATGATTTAATATCCTGCTTCTCCAGTCTACAGCCTTACTTTCTCTAGTTTAAGCTGAACTTTTTTGTCTGGATGCTTGGAAGACAGGAATTCACTGGTTTGATTTTTTATAAGAAAATATCGTAAGCATAAAATAAGAAAAGTGGAAAAAGATGATAACAAATGAAAATTGGAAATTGAAGTGCTTAATTTTTTTAACTCCTCGAGTAAACTAGTGAAAACTAAATTGTGGTCACATATTCTCATCAGCTCATGCTATGACCCTAAGGAAACGTAGGGGTAAAAAGAAAACAAAAGAAAATCTCTCATATCCATCCCAAATTTACAATTTTTTGGGGGAGTCTTTGTAGGGGGTTTTCCACTTCCTTTAGGTGTGACGCTAATCACATTCGGGATACTAGGGATACACCTCCTAAATTTACAATTTTTTAAGCATTGTCTAATCAAATAAAATCCATACATAAGATGACGTTGTCTGGTAAAGTCACAGTGGAATGTTTTGCAAAGGGAAGCATAATGCAAGGAACCAAAAATATGCAAGAGCTATAGAGATTTAGGTTACCTTGGAACATCAGGTCTGTTGACCATCTGAGTGGTAATGCCATGAATATGTGAATTAGGAACATATCGTTGAGGGTTTACAAGAGTTTGGAAAGTGCTGTTCTCACCACCGTGAAGGTCTCGAAGCGCAATCTCAACGATCCGTTCATTCTCTCTTTTGAACCCGGTGGTCTCAATATCGAAAACAATAACAGTGACTAAGCTAGACAAGTCTTTATTCTGAGCAATCTCTTCTATGTCACAGTACTGAATTTCTTGGAATTGACCTAGCTGTGTTTTATTTACGTTTAATGTAGCATTTGTTAAAATTGTTTCCCTCAAAATTTCATCCTTGGTACTTCGAGATTTGGTGCTCCCGGTGCCTTCTGTATTTGTACTTATAGGTCTTCGAGTCCATTTCTTTCTGTGCCCTCCCTGAAGCCCATAAATTCTAGAACCAAAAAGCCTAACACTAGAATTGTTTCTACAAATCTTATTGAAGCTGTGGAAGGTTCCACCACAATAATTAGCTAAGCTGTGTATTCTGCATCTAGGCACTTGCAACAATGAAAAAATCATGGAGCCTGTCTTCATCTGAGTTCAGTAATGACAACTACGAAAATTATTTAATCAAGAATTCTTCATCAAATGAGCCAGCAGCTACAACCTGAAATGTAGATAAAACAGAAAAAATGTGATACACAAGCAAAGAAAAACTCTATAGGCAAAAATTATCATATAGGTCTGATCTTCTAATGCTAAATCCAGTATAACAGCAAGACAAAAATATACAGTAGTAGTTACAACTTACAAACTCATGAAGCATAAAGGAAGATATTCTATCAAAAAGAGGACATATTAGCATGTCAGGAATGACAACTAGACCTTCTGCAAACCCTAAACATCCATATTCTTTTTGAAGCAGAACAAAGATAGCAGAAAACCCATTGAATATGCAACCACTATGAACTAGATGCTGAATTACACTATGGCTTTTGACAAATAGGGCCAGCAATAAAATCCCGCTGAAAGTAGACACAAAATATTTTTCCTTAAGGCCAACAACATAGGTGACCTGAAAAATGATTGCATGTAATCGATTTCATGGGGAGATGCAGGCTTATCAATATCATCACAGGAATTCATTAACCCAGACGAGTTATAGCCCCCCCTCTTAAAAAGAAAAATTCTCCACTATCAATTTATAAAACAATATGCAAACTTGTAACCACATGCGAGCTGTGGTAACGCAACAATCATGCTTTATTATGTCATATAAATTGCTTGAAATACTCTATAGGCTATAGCAATTAATGAACGGAAAGCTTACATTTAATCAACTATACTTAAATTATTCAAACGAATCGAACAAACTAAAGGGGTTTGATGAAATGTAAAACACTAATCTCATCAACCATCCTTGTGCAATCTTCAACTTACAGATAAAAGACAAACATTGTCTTTCTGATCAAATCCCATAAGCAAGCAAAACAATAAGGCCAAAGACATTCGCTGGAGTTCATTATCTCAAATGATAGAGTAACGGGCATGAAAGGAAGATCAATCAAATCGTAACTATTTTAACCCAGATGTCTAAAAACACTAGTTGAACATTTTCTAAGCAACATCAACTAAGATAAACATTTTCCGATTAACTTTTGAAACCATTAAATTGTGGGCAAACAGGCAACAAAGAAGAAGGTTTGAAAGACGAGGCAGAGAGAATATGAGTTACCTGATAGAGGGTGTCATTGGAACTGACGAAGAAAAGCATTTCGAAGAAATTGGTAGTTATAGTTGTAGAGAGAGAGAGAGAGAGAGAAGAGAAAGAAAGAGTGCGAAGCGTGCAATGTTGGGACAAACTAGGGGGCGTGCCCCGTTCAACAACAACGTAAGTTGCGGATCGTCCCTTGTTTCACTTTTCCTCCACTCAACTCTCAACTCTCTTTTCTCTCTCTTATTATTATTATCATCTCTCACATGGAATCAGCTCACGCCAAAACCGTTTTCATTTCATTTTAATTTTATCAATAACTTGTTACAATTTTTGTTTCCATTTACCATGATGATTTCTAATTGTAAATTGGTACAAAACCGTGTGTCATCAGAGATTTTGTTTTTAGGAACATTGAATTGTAATCATAAAGAAAAGAAAAAATTCATAACAGTGACCAAGTGTCATAATTTTTTATCCAAATGTCACAGCCAAGCAACGTAATTCGCTGCTGCTGGTAGAGTGATAGCGAATTACGTTCGCCTATGATTTCGTGACACGTGATCACATTGCGTATCAAATTCGCTACCACTAGTAATGAACTTCGTCTAGTCAGTTTTTTTCTACGATAATATACGTGTCACAAAATTATTGGCACACGTAATTCACTACCAGTCGTAGCGAATTACATCACGTGTCAGTTTGATAAAAAATACTTCACGATGATATTTTGATAAAAAATTTGCCAAACAATATTTGGTCAATGTTCCCGATTTACCTAGGTCTATTCAAATTCTTGAGGTTGCATTATTGTTGAAACTTCAATGAACGCAAAACTCAAAAAAAAAAATTGGTTCAGTGAAACGAATCTTTCACTAAAAAAAAAATCATAGATTATATTATATATCTAAACCATCTTTTAAAAGAAAAACAACTTCGTCATGTGACTGATAATTTAAAAAAAGAAAATCGCAATATTTGACTGCATCGGTGTGGAATATTAGTATATTACAAGAGAATATTATAATTGCCCGATTACGGTCAATTACTGTGCTTTATTGTATAGCTAAGCAAAAATAACTACGGTGGAATCATTTAATGAAGTGAAGATCTGGACTTCTGGAGGATGCAAATTCAAATATGGTTATATCACGTGCTACGATATCTCTCGATCTGATATTCCTTTCTGGTAAAGTTATATACACACACTAGCACACTTTAATAATGTTTTGATCTAGTAAGATATATTGGTGAAACATCATGTGCGAATATGCCTTGCCTGAGATGGTTGCGTACGTTAGGTTCAATGGTGTAGCTCTATCAATTTTTGTAATGTCCCAACCAAATTTGGACATTACAAGGCCCAAATACATGCACAATTTATGCGAATGTCCTGGACCGCAGGAGTGACTACATGCAACATTTTTATAGGCTTCCTTTGACCCAAATCCTCTTTTTTGGGGTCCTTTATTTGCTTAAATCTCAAATTTGAGGTTGCAAAACAAGAGCTTTTAGCTAGTTGGGCCCAAAAAAAAAAAAGTTATTGCACAGTTGTAATGTTTGAAATTAAAACGCTATAGCTTATAACTTATAATCATGTTTACAAAATATTTTTTAACCTTAATTACGATTAAATCAAACACATGTTATTTACTACTCTTGTATCAAGTTAAGAGGGGTTCAATTTTTTGTTGAAAACTTCAAAAATCCGTGCAACTTTTTTCATAATGATTTATCTTCTCCTAAAATTTTGAATCATTTACTTAAAGTTTTTTTTATCATTTACCTGGGTGAATGATAAAAAAAAAACTTTAAATCAGGAAGAAAATCTAAATAAAGGTGTAAATGATTCAAAAAAATTGTGAGGGAAGTAAGTGATAACTAAAAAAATTCATAGGGGAGTTTTTGAAATTTTCCATTTTTTCTTAACAATGCTTGCTCGATAGTTTAAAGTTTAAACCAAAAGAAGTGAATGACAAAGGCCTTCAAAGATCCTAGAATTAAATTTAGACGAGCTCAATTTATCATGGCTTTATTCCGGCTAGTGGTTAAACAACAAAAACGGTGAAAGCATAGAATTGGGGAAACAGCCGAGAATGAGAGAATTGACACGGACATAGGAGATTACATTATAATAATTACCCATAAATCCGAAATACTTACATTAATGACTAATCGAACATATTAGCATATATGAACAGAACAAAGTAAAAGAAAAGTCAGTGAGTCCCTTGCTTGAAGGGTGGACTCTTTTCTCCCTAACTAGATTCGAATTCACTATGAAATAAACCCCTTTCACATAAATGAAGGGTATATAACTACATATCACTTTACAATACCTAACAAAAAGGGTAAAGAAAGAAAGGAAGGTTAGCTACATAACAGCAAAAAGGTTTTGTTAAATTACTGATTAGGTTACCTTTAATCTGTTTAATTAAGGAATGCTTTGTGTTCCCCTTTATCAAGCGAAAACAAAGCCGCAGGACAATGCCATCAAACAAACAGCTGCTTGTTCCTCTTCACCTAACATGTTCCTCCTCTGTTTCTTCAGAACAGAGGGTGATCGCTGCAACAAAACCTCCTCACCCAACGCCATTAACTTCACTTTTAAAGACTCCCTTAATTCTCTTCCGCCACCAACACCAACCGTATCACCAGAGCTGCTGCTGCTGCTGCTGCTGGTGCCGTTTTGTGCTCTCTCTCTCTTCTTTTCTTGTCCTTTGTTCATTCCCACCATAGAAGCCCTTCTCTTCCGGTACCTAATTCCACAAGCGTTGCACAGCGTCTGCATCAGGAAAACAAAAAAACAAAAAAAGAAAGATTGAAGACGACTCCTTACTAATAATGAAAAAATTAATGAAATTCACATACCCAAACAAAATCAATAGCAAAAAAGAGTAGAAATTAGAAATGGGTATTGTTGAGGATGAGTGATGAGTGATGACCTTGGGTCCAGCTGGTCCTCCTCTCCAGAGTGGGGTTTTGGTGGTTCTGCAATCAGTACAACACTTCTTGTTCTCACTCAATTCCAATTCCTGTATCAGAATCAAAAACTTATTTTAGTATATATATATCATCATCAACATTAGTGGAAGCAACTACCTCACTATTCACTCAAGAGTCATAAACCACCTTCACATTGAGATCCATGATTACCATTGATCCACAACACCGAAACGGCAATGAGCTAAATATGAATGAAGCGGCAGTAACCGAATAACCGAAAGGGAAAACGGGGCAAAGTGGTAGTGTGGCACCCTACTATAATACTATGAAGCTACACAAAATCCCCCCCGCATGATGCTGCTGCTGCTGCTGCTGCAGGAGGTTGAGAAACCAAAACGGATAGAAATGAAGCGAGACAGAGAGTAACCGACTATGTGAATATACCCTCAAAACCCTAGTCCTGCCCTTCGAAATGACTGAAAAGCCCTCCCTTTCTCCTCAAATACGGTACCAACCCTACAAGTTTCAGATTATAACGTCGCCACGTGTTCGTATGACGTGTATGTTTCTCCCACCCACACAATCATAGGTCACGGAAGAACGAATGGAAATTTCAAGACCCCTCTGTTTGTTAGAAATTTAGAATCTTTGTATACTCTGTATGCCTTGAAAAAATTAGTTTAATCCTTCTTCATTGGTTGGATAGATTTCATTGAATCTGCATCCAATTAAGTATAACCATATCTTTAAGATGAGGTTTTGCTTTGGCCAAATCTTAATAATCCAACTTCATTTTCTTTGCTACTATTATCAATATTTATCCAATGCATCTAAAAGACGGAGGCAAATATGAAAAGAATTGGAAAATTAAGGCACGTTTTGTTTGCGTGGGGTGGTGCCGCTAGCACATGAAATGGTATTCATATTTCATGGTATGGTACACATGAAATGGATATCAATATTTATTTCACTTCGCACAGGGTACTGGTGCGTCGCGCACACGTGAATGCAGCAGAGATCGGGGTGAAGGTGACACCGACAAGGAAATCCTCCAATTGTAAATTTGGCAAACCGAAGCAATCCACCCTATTGCTACCTTTTACGCACAATAAAAATCTTCGTTGTTGTAATAGAACCAACCTATCATTCCAATGGATAACCAGTTGCGGAAGTCATTAAGACAATACTATTTTCATTACGGATATCGGGTACAGGGGGAAAAAATCCAACCAAATATGTTATATATTAATTTTAATTGATAAAAATATATTTTAGTGCATAAAGATACATGATCTTCCTCCCTATTTCTAAAGGAATGGGATGCATCTGAGAGGACATGTAATAAAGCTCCCACTTCATGATTAACATTGATGGAAAAATATATATCAAATATTCCATTATAACTATTGTGAATTGAAAATAAAAAATAAAAATCTGCCCATGCATTGAAGAACGTCAACTGTTAAACACATTTATCCAATATAGATTGATTGACCAAGTAGGCAGGTGGTGATCGACCACCCTGGTGAATCAGCCTGAGAGTTCGATTAGCAAGATGCATTTGCATAAAAATATATGCGCCGAATGATTCTGGATTCCTTTGTCAATAGGGATGACCAGAGAGTATTAGAAAAGTAATTGGACAGTATGAATCACTAACATATTTTAATCACCTAAAACTTTCATAATTTTTATTTATAACATAGCACTATATCTGCAAAAAGACTTGATATCCAAATATCATAGAAAAAGACATCAGATCAAAGGAAAGACAAGTTCAAGATTCATGCATAGAAGGTTACAAGGTTCCGTACTTTCAGAATCTAAATAATAATAACGATTACTGCACAACAAAATTAGTTTGCACGACTTAAGCAATTTAAAGAGAATACAATAATCGAATGATTTGGGAAAACTTGAATTAACTTAAATTTTAAATAACATATAAGTAAAATTTTAATAAAAGAACTCAAAAATAATAAAAACTAATATAATCCAAACATGCACATAATTAATTTATATCTACTAATAACTTCACATTATATTGAAGCAAAATACAAAACCTGAACTACACGCTAAAGTCAAAAAGAAATTAAAAAAGGGGAGGGGGGGAATGGAAGAATTATGCTATCCCAATTTCCCACATCATTTTATACATCACATTTTAATGTAAACACACAAACTCTAATTAAAACCCATTTGAAGGCATAAATTTTCTACCACCAAATGGTCTACAGACACCATTTCTCACAATGAAATTGGCGATGCCTTCAACGGTAATTTTCAGGTTGTACTACACAGACTAACAAACTACTTTTGTCCCTAATACGGATGACTAAGGTTCAGATCTGAATCTAGAGGTTTTGTTTGCTAAGCATACTAGACACAATATCAGATACTAGAAATTTAACCTGAAAATGAATCTTCTTGATGGCAAAAAAAGCCCGTGACTGACCACTTAATAAGTTGCGTGGACAAAAAATAACAAAGCTATTTCGTAAAACCATGACAGTAACTGAAATGGCCAACGCGGGACAACAAAGAATCTTAAAAGTTAAAATATATCTAAGCTGGAATTTAATGCCAAGTAGGCTGCAAGCCCTAGAACACAAGTCACAATGGTCAATGCAAACGTAAACAAAGGAAACATGAGATGATACTAATATGAGTGCGTCTGGTAGAGTGCCAGGAAAGGAGTAAAAGTGAATGAGAGAAGCCAATAAAGCAACCAAATATCAAATATGTCCGATAATACAGAAGTTGCTGCACACTATTTTTTCTGTATAAGAGATTTTCCAAAACCAGATTAGTAAAAGTAGATAATCAACCTGAGCCGGGCCCTAGAGAGCAGAAAGAATAACAGAACTTACTATAAACTCAATAGAAAAGCTAACAGGCGAAGGGGTAAAAGAAAAACTCCAACTTTCCTTGTAACAATAACTATAATGAAGAAAAAGATAGCATTTGGTATTTGCCAAAACAAGCAGAATCATTAGTACTTACTGACCCCAATCAATGCAAGGAAAAATTACAAAACTCAACATCAATTCTATAAGAGCCAAAACTAGTATTTTAACTCTACAGTGGCAACAAAATCAAGCCACAACCCATCTGTCCCCATGATGTATGTAAAACCAGCCATTTCAAAAACCCAAGCCGGTCCAGCAACCCTCAATTATCCAAGGTTACACCTCGTAGGACCACGGACAATGAAAAGACACTGACTTGACCCCCAGCTGTTGGACTGTCATACTGGAGGACTTCCCTGATAGACCAGCCAAAACTCCTGCAGTTAACAAAATTCAAAAAGATGTCTACACGACTAAAGAAAACACAAAAGAATGCAAACTGCCAAAACTTACTTTACTAGTTCCAATCAAGAATTTGCAGAGAAACCAGAACAAAACAAAATATAATATAATGTGATCTTAGTAAAGCATGAATACCTTCTAATTAAAGTTGAATCCACCAGAAGGCAATGAGGGCACATCAGTGCCACCAAAATTAAACCCTGATTGAGAACCTTCCCCTGGAGGCATAGTCTCGTCTTCTTCCTCCAACCAGTATGTCTCGAGAATCTTCACTGCCTTTTCATAAATCTCATTATTGTCATGACTCTGGAGGTTCTCAATTTTCTCCAACCCCTCAGCATCATCAATCATTTGGGCATATAGATTGAAACCATCAGTATTGCCAACAACTTTATCAGCTTCTCCTACTTTCAATATGTTTTCAAGCCCTTCCAAACAAACTGTCACAATCCTAGGATCGGGACATATGAGAAGATCACACAAGGGCTTAATACACCCTTGATTTACAAGGTACCTGTCAACCAAGGGAAAAAAATTCTTAATATCTTAATAAAAAAAGGTTATAACACCAACAAAATCTCTTGGGGAACATTACAAACACAAGGATCTCTACGTACTTGATTTGTTCATGAGTTCCACCCGATGTAGCATTTGACATAGCCCAAGCAGCTTCTTTCTTGATATCAAACTCAGCATCTTGAAGCAAACGGACTAAAGGACCAATTATATTAGCCTCAACTACTGCCTGTAAATTATCAGAAATTGAAGAGAATTAATTATAAGCAAGTCTAAAAGCAAAAGAAAACACATCAAATATTAATCTTCTCAAATGCACAACTACAACACATGAAGACCCCCAGAAAAATATATATAAACCTGAATCTGCAGCTTATTCCCAGCTGTGATGTTTGATATGGTCCAACATGCTTCCTTCTTGATGCTTTTTTTATAATTATTAACCAAGAGATGCAGAAGACATGGAAGAGCTTGATGGTTGATGATAACCTAAGCAAAAAATCACCATATTAACATATACAAAAACAGGAAGGAAAAATACTAATCAAGGACAACCATGATTTATGATGGATAAATATGAATTCCAAGGTATAGATACAATTAGGTCATCCAAGAGGAAACATACTGAGAATGCACACGATAATGGAGTCTTCAAAGAAGAAAGAAAGATGTAACAGAACTATCTTGCACCTTAAAAAATCCATTTTCTATATAGCTGATCAGTCAATCCAATCTCAAGAAAGGCTTTGGATATGACTTCAGCAAAAACATTTCACTTTGGCACTCAACATATTTAAAGGACTCAAAATTTAATAAATGTAAAAAACCAATTCAACCCAAAAAACTTAAGCTATTAAGTGAAGGCCCATCAATGGTTTATATACTTATCTAACACGCCCCCTTACACGAAATCCTATTGGGATTGAAGGGTTAGCACAGGTAGGCTGAGCCTAATGTATCATCCACCCTTCAAGCCCAATGAGCTCTCATGTGAAGAGGCGTGTTAGAGAAATATAAAGTCATTAATGTAGTCTCACCCAATAGCTTAAGCTTTTGGGTTGAAATGGTTCTTTACAATAACATATAATAATTTCAAAAAGTGCTCAACATCAACAAGAATGAATCCCACGGAAAAATTAACAATACCATTATAATACAGGATTATTCATGGATAAAAAGTTTTTAAAAAAATGGAATTGCAAAGAATCAAGCATGATATTTGATGAGCCTTTGACACTGTCTAAGAGAATAAAAAAAAAGAAGCAGACTGGCGAGTGTTGGGTCAAGGGAAATTACACAAGTTTTACGAGAGATAAGAATGCTGCTTTGGAGTGAGGGGGAAACAGTGGTGGGAGTGTGTAACAGAATGTACACATGGTGTAGAAAATCAGAATTCAAACATGTTTCCGTTTTTATTTCCTATTAATTAGGATTGATTATGATTGATTAGGATTGATTGTGATTGATTAGAATTGATTGTGATTAGGATTGATTAGTCATCGCTTAGTCATTCTTAGCGATTCTTTCTTGTATAAATACTCACTCATGTAAATTATTCAAGATCAAATATACAAAAACTTCTTTTCAATATGGTATCAAGAAAATGATCTACACTTGCCCATTGCTCTCAGAAAAGGTACTCGATCTTGTACTACTCATCCTATTTCTAATCATATTTCATATGGAAAGTTGTCCCCAGGGTTTCGTGCTTTCAATACTATGTTGGATAGTACAAAGATACCGAGAAATATACATGAGGCTCTCAATGATCAAAAATGGAGGGATGCTGTCTTTGAAGAAATGAATGCTTTAGAAAGAAATGGAACTTGGGAGATAGTGAGCCTACCCAAAGGAAAACAGGCAGTAGGATGCAAATGGGTGTTTACAATAAAATTCAATGCAGATAATAGCATCAACAGATACAAGGCAAGATTGGTTGCAAAGGGTTTCACTCAGACTCATGGAATAGATTATCATGAGACTTTTGCTCCGGTTGCTAAAGTCAATACCATACGAGTTCTCTTATCTCTTGCTGCCAATCTAGATTGGCCTCTGCAACAGTTAGATGTGAAGAATGCATTCCTAAATGGTGACTTACATGAAGAAGTCTATATGGATCCTCCACCTGGTTTTGAAAAGGGAAATGGATCAGTGTGTAAACTAAAAAGGTCTCTATATGGATTGAAACAATCTCCCAGAGAATGGTTTGACAAATTCACACAAGCAGTCAAAAGAAGAGGCTTCATTCAAGCACAGACTGATCATACTCTCTTCCACAAACACTCTAAGGATGGTAAAATTGCTATTCTTATTGTATATGTAGATGATATAATTCTTTCAGGTGATGATATTGAGTAATTGAACACCTTGAAGAAATTTCTAGCAGCTCAATTTGAACTCAAAGACCTTGGCACTCTCAAATATTTCCTTTGTATGGAAGTTGCTAGGAGCAAAACAGGCATCACTCTAACACAAAAGAAATATGTTCTAGATCTTTTGTTGGAAACAGGAATGTTAGGGTGTAAACCTGCTGAGACACTTGTGGAACCTAATGCCAAGTTAGGTATTGAAGATGGGAATGAGGTGGATAAAGAACAATATCAGCGATTGGTTGGTAAACTAATCTACTTATCTCATACGCGTCCTGACATTGCCTTTGCGGTGAGTATGATTAGTCAATTCATGCACTCACCCAAGGAGAAGCATCTTAGTGCAGTCTATAGGGTGCTTAGATACCTCAAGAATACTCCAGGAAGAGGATTATTCTTTAAAAACGGGTATAAAAGGACAATTGAAATCTACACTGATGCAGATTGGGCAGGCTCATCAGTAGACAGGAGATCTACCTCAGGCTATTGCACCTATGTGTGGGGAAATCTTGTTACTTGGAGAAGCAAAAAGCAAACAGTGGTTGCAAGAAGTAGTGCTGAGGCAGAATTTCGAGCTTTAGCTCATGGAGTTTGTGAAGGAATCTGGTTGAGAAGACTTCTTCAAGAGTTGAAAATTTCATATTCCCTACCAATAAAACTATATTGCGACAACAAGGCAGTTGTTAGCATTGCTCAAAATCCTGTGCATCATGATCAAACAAAGCACGTGAAAGTTGATCGTCACTTCATCAAAGAAAAATTAGATGATGGAAGTGTGCGTTTGATATATGTTCCAACCAAAGAGCAAATGGCAGATATCCTTACCAAGGGTCTACACCGTCCAGCATTCGAAGACTTGATTGGCAAGTTGGGAATGATCAATATTTACCTCCCAACTTGAGGGGGAGTGTAGAAAATCAGAATTCAAACATGTTTCCGTTTTTATTTCCTATTAATTAGGATTGATTATGATTGATTAGGATTGATTGTGATTGATTAGAATTGATTGTGATTAGGATTGATTAGTCATCGCTTAGTCATTCTTAGCGATTCTTTCTTGTATAAATACTCACTCATGTAAATTATTCAAGATCAAATATACAAAAACTTCTTTTCAATACATGGCAATAAGGTATTGGACAGGAGAATTGTGCAATGATTGGAGAGGAAAGAAAACATGAATAAGGAGGGAGGGCAGGGAGGGCAGAGTCTGTGTATCAGCTCTCATTGTTATCTTTTATTCCTGCATTTCTTCTATTCTGGTATCTGTCTTTCCATTTGTTGAGCAGCATTTTTTCCCTTGTAAAGGAGATTTCCTCCTTGGGTTCGATCCTATTTTCAGTATTAATACCAGTTCCTATCACTATTACTATTTCCCGTAATGCAATATTGCTAAGTGATATACTGCATATAAGTAGATAACAACAGAACTACTAGAAATTCAAGAGCTTAATACCTGTGTCTGCACATCATCTCCAGTGACAATATTTCCAACTGTACGAAGAGCAGGAATAAGCACTGAAGGGGATGGGTGCCTGAACAAGAGCAGAATAATATTTAGAATTTGACAGCAGAATAACACTGAGATGTATACATTTTTTTCACAGCCATATTTGAGATTTACAGTACTCACAGTAGAAGCTCAACAAGTCGGCTACAAACACCAACATCAATTACCCCTTGAATTTTGTCATCTGTACCATCAGAAAGATATGAAAGTGCCCAACAGGCATCGGTCAAGACTTCTTCATCATTTGAATGGATAAGACTGGCAAGAGCAGGAAGTGCAGGTTTAACCTGTAAAAATAAAAAGGTAAAAACGAAAGAAAAGTGTACACTCGGATAAGAACCAATCAAACTAAAAAAATCTGCAAAAATCAATAATGAAGCAAAAAAATAGATCTACAAGTTTTCTTCTCTGGTGGCATGGTAAAAACGAAAGAAAAGTGTACACTCGGGTAAGAATCAATCAATCAACACACAGTCGGTGAAACAAAATCTGCAAAAATCAATGATGAAGCCAATAAATAGCTCTACAAGTTTCCTTTTCAGCGGGGGCATGATTTAAGGTGTGGCAAATACTTGTTCAATAATATGACCCTTGCATACGAAAGATAACATTTAATCAACTATAACTGCCCCTCAAGAACAACATTTCTGCACTCTGCAATTTTATAATATTTCAACCTAAACAAAAGAAAGATTTTATTTTATAGCAAAATAAGAATAAGAAGAAAAGCTGAAGGATGCTTCTCATCAGATCAAAAGAACAATTTAAAAGAGAATTCAATAAATGCAAAACATTAATATAGATGCAAGCGATATTCAACAAGAAAAGTCAAATAAATGGAACAAGTAGGAAGGTGCAATTTCATTCAACCATGGCAGAGTATTTCAACAACAAATGTGAAGATGCTATTTAGAGAGATTATGCAATGCATAATTTTATACCTGATCAAAAGTAGGCTGTGGCTTCCCCCTGCAGAAGTTTGAAAGGGTCCATGTAGCATTTCTGAGCATAGACAGCTTGGCATGCTCATTCAATTGTGCCAATAGAGGAAGCAAAGCTCCATGACTGAGAACAAGATCACGGCATCTGGGAGAATCTCCAGCAATATTGCCTAATGCCCACACAGCCTGATGGTCCCCAAAACATAGGAAGTTGTTTAAATGAAATAAATCACAATAGATGGTACATTACTACTGCAAGGTACTGTCATCCATCTTATGCTTAGTATCAGCTATAAGTAAACAAATAATAACATCACACCTACAAATAGCATATCATTCAATTCCAAAATTAACATGAACAAGTATGTTTTCTGGTCAACCAATATCCCTTTTAATGTCAGAAACAGTAAAAAATATGCTCAAATCCCAATAAAAGTAATATGTTCTCATTTTTCGAAAGCATTTAATTTTAATTGATGGATGAAGTTATGATAAGGTGTATAAAGTATACCTGTTCACGAACATCATCACTGGGAGAACCAAGAAGCTTAACAAAAATTGGAACAGCACCTTGATCAATTACTACCTTAGTGTTTTCAGATGTTCCAGAAGCTATATTAGTCAAAGCCCAAGCTGCCTCAAACTAAGACATACATTAAACAAAGTCAAGGCAATAAATAAGCAGAAGTAAATTTTATTACATAAAAATAAAACAATGCAGATAACAAACCTGCAGCTGTGGAAAATCCTCCCTCATCAAGAACTCAACAAAGCGTGGAACTACCCCAGATTGAATAACCTCCTCTATTGGTGGGCTACGTTCTGGTAGGCCAAAAACGGAGTTCATCAAAGGTCCTTTAACATTTAGTAGACAGAAAAAGAAAAAAAGAAAAACTACAGAGACCAATATCTAACCAATTGAAAGCAACTTCCGGAACTGAGTTGTTGCCTCAAACTGTAGGTTATTTTCACCACTCCAAACACCTGTAACCATGGATGGTATCTGTTCCAACTGCAGCAAGATAGAAATGGAACTACGATTCAGTAAGCTTCAACATGCTTTTGGTTTATCAAATCTAACATAACAACCATCACACCTTATGGCTTCATACAGGTGAGCATAGCACGACGAAGAAAGAGAGAGAAGATGATACAAGTTCAACATTAACTAACAAAAGAATATCATGAACGGATTTATATAACCTTTCAATAAACAAATACTGGAAATCCTCAAATGAAATATAAAACATAAACTCAAAAACCAGAGTCCTAATTGGACAATTAACCTAATCACGTGTCCAACGTGGCGGAGGGAGATAGAGATTTTTATGATAATTTGAATTTAGAAAAGTAATTTAAACAAATAATGAAAAAGCCAGAGATATAATACTTGATAAAATAAGTGATCAAACAAAACAGCAAGTGAACTTTGAAGATCTTCGGTGACAAGCGGTGTCCGATGCTAACTAAATTAATTCAACAATCATACTATATTAAAACCACAGTTAAACTAAGCATACATCGAAGTAATGAATTCCTGACACCGATTTGTGAAGCATAAAACAAATAGATGATTGGAACAAGTAATTACAGAGATGACCAGATTTCACCTTCTTCTCTACTGGAGTAGATTGAACTGATGCAGACATCTGCTGAGATTGGAAGCCCTCGCGCCTCTTCTTCTGCAAACTCTCTTCCCTACGGTTCTTGCGGATCTCGACCATGGTATCCTCTCGCCTTCTGCGACCTTCTTCAGCATCCACGGCCACCTTGTATCGATTCCGACGGACCTCGGTCCTCGAGTCTCCGGTAGGTCGATACGACATCGTGTTATAATCGAAGGTGACGGAAGCAATCCGAAGAACCAGTCACTGCACCGGTTAATCGGATTTGGATTGTGTAACCGAACCGTAGGCTTTCAGATAGAAATGGAAGGAGCGAAGCAGAAAGAGGTGAAGAGGGTTTGGGTTTTCAGAGTTTAAAAAAGAATAATGAAAAGAGGGGCGTTATATAGCATGGTCGAACCGTGGGTTTGGGACAAAACTGGACCTGGATCGCCTTGAATTTGCGGAAATGCCACTAGTTTGAATTTGAAGATGAGGGAAAAAGTTAATTTGATTGGAGGAAAAGTAACGTTGAGCCGGGACTTGGAGTAGGACGTTGCTATTTTCTTGGTCGTTTACGACGGTTCTGAACGTTGTCGTTTCCATTCGATCAAAATTCTATTAGCTTGATTCTGTATTGGGCTAAGGCCCTGACTACTTTGGAATTCAACATGGTTTATAGCCAAAATATAAACAATGTTATTACAGCCAAGGATTTTTTTTATATATTTACAATAAGAAATTAAACATACAATCTATTATATAACTATTCATATTTCTCGTCGTTAGACTAATTTTAGTGGCTTAAAAACTTTTTTGTAACAAGCTTAAAAGCTTTTTGCTATTGCATAAGTACATACTTTCAATCGATCAAACTCGGCTCAAACATTTGACTCCATTTGGAAGTTCGTATTTCTTGAAAATCAGTAAAAAATACTAGAATAAATTTTTATTGTATTTAGGTTTAGTAAAAGAAAGTTAATTACTCTTATTCATTTGAGTTTATTTTAATATATTCAAAAAAAAATTGAATATATAATTCAAAGAGGTAAAATTTACTCATTTAATTTAAGGGAAAAGTGTTTATCATTTTAAATGACACAACTTATATCTTTTTACTCTCACAAAGAGGTGGACCCACACCTTTATTTTTTTGTCAACTCTCTCTGTCCTCCTTTATCCATCTCTTTCTCTCTCTTAAAATGACACAACTTTACATCCTTTAAAATGACGCATTTTTCCCTTAATTTAAAGATCTCTTTCAATCCATCCTTTGATATAAAATCAAAGGACGAATTTAAAGGAGGCTCCATCAGGGATAGTCTCACTTATGAGAGTCTCATGGATATAATGATTCATATAAAATCAAAAAAGTATTCAAAGCCAATTTCAGCAATAACCTTCATTGACACGGGAGTTTTCCCGTACCATAATGAATCCAGCTATATTGCCTAAAGAATATCGGATTCCTTACACTGAAAGTTTCGAGCTGCTGATGGGAAGATGTTCACTACAAATTTGATCACAGAGAAGCCCATAAAAATTAAATTCTTTTCAGAATGTACAGTGATAGCCAAATTCATTAGTTCATACCTCTCATGAAAAGATCTGTTGATTGGATTCAATGTCTACACAAAGCTAGTAAGGATTTAACTCCTCCCTAACAGAACAAAGTTCAAAAGATTCTTCCAGTCATATTCTGAAGTTCATAATTTATATGCGATATTGGATGCACCAAATTATTACAAAGATGTTGTTCTTAAGTTACAAGAAGTCTATGCAGAGCCTCACATTGATTTCAAACATCCTAATCCATTATGGAAAAATCCAAAGTTTTTCATCACTCTGCCTTTCAAGCTAAATAAGGACTTCAATCCTACAAAAGCAACTCACCCAGGGATGACTCCATCGGATTAGCCCTAGCCCAAAAAGAGTGTGCAAATCTACTAGCCCAAGGGCTCATTAAGCCAACTAAATATGAATGGGCTTGCCAAGCCTTTTAAGTGGAAAAAAGATCTAAAATAATCTGAGGAAAAAAGAGGTTAGTAATTGATTATAGGTCTCTCAAGCATTTTCTCAGAGATGACAAATTCCTATTTCCAAAAATACCTAGTTTCATTCTTCAATTCAGAGAAGCCCATGTGTTCTCAAAGTTTGTCTTAAAGACAGCCTTTTGGCTATTGGGTATTCGGCCAAAAGAGAGGTATAAGACAGTTTTTTGCATTCCAAATGCCCATTATCAATGGACTGTCATGCCATATGGACCGAAGACGACTCATTCTATTTTTCAAAGAACAATAGCCCAAATATCTCAGTTCATGCTCCATAGTGCACTCATCCATATTGATGATATCTTATTGTACTCAAAGACAAAAGAATCTCATAAGAATCTGTTGAATCAATTCTTTGAGACTATGAACAATTATGGAATCATGCTGTCGGAAAGAAAGGCGCACGTGGCAGAAAATGAGATCAAGTTTTTAGGATTGAACTTCAAAGGTGGAAAATATGTTCCCATGCCACATAGAGGACAAAAACTAATGAAGTTTCATGATGAGAACCTTACAGGCAAGCAACTTCACCCATTCCTTGGGGTTTGCAATTATGCCAAAGATTTATCCCAAAATTTACCCAAATAACCTCACATCTTGGGGCTATGCTGAAAAAGAATCCACCGCAGTGGTCTTAAAAGCAGACTAATACAGTAAAAAAAACTGAAGCAACTCTGTCAGAATCTCCCTCCAGTCAAGATTTCCATTAATGGAAAGCGCATTCTACAAACCGATGCTAATGATAGCTTATGAGGAGAAATATTTTCTTGAAGAAAAAGACAACAAAAAGCATGTATGTGGATATGAAAGTGGCAAGATTTCAAAGGCTGAAAGCTATTATCACTCCACGTATAGAGAGATCTTAGACGTTAAACATGGAATTAAGATTGAATGGCTAAGATCTTGCTTTGAGTTTTTATTTTTTATTTTTTGGCATACCAATTCTAATTACCTGAACTTATGGATATCTTTACAAGCTTTAATTCTTTGAGCCAGCTATAATACTAATACCGAGACGAGATTTAATCACAGTTAAAACTCTCCACCCCTTCTCAAAAATGTATGGTGGGAATCAAACTTGGATTTTCTCCCCACCTAATCAACCTGTATTTTAATATTTGAATAATTTGACATTCAACCCGATTACTCTAAATCAACCTGTCCTAGATTACCCTAAATAAATAGAATTGCATTATTTTATTCACCAAGCAAATTAAAATTTCAAATCAAAGTACAAATAGGGTCCTTAGCCTCTTAGGTTAGTTTTCTATCTTCACCGTAAGATATTTTCAGTTGTTGTTTGTGTTCTGGACCTACATAACAGATCGCATATATTTTAGAAAAATAGGATCAAAGTTGTCTTATATTCTAAATACGAATCACCATTAAGAAGCTGAATCCTGCCAAAATATTACCATCTATGGGTAAAACACACATATAAAGGGCTAGTAGGACCCTTCACAAATACACATTTACAAAACCCTAATAGCTGCGTAATCTATCATTCCTTGTAGTGATCTCCTTTGTAGACACTGCTAGTTGACAGGTACAATAACGAATACGGTCCAAAATAATAAATAAGGTTCTTAACCTCTTAAATTAATTTTCTATTACTGTCACGAGAATTTTTATTGCGATTTTAATATAAACGAGCTCAGTCACAAATTATATACGGGTGTGCAATATAAGTGCTATTTAATTAATGTGGGCAATAGTGTACAAACCCTAACCTTTTAATTTTTTCAGAAATTTCATAATAAACACCACAATTTATTTAGATCTAGAATCACGTTTTAACACCACAATTTCATAATAACCTCTCATATATTCTTTGCTTATAGGATTTTAAAACCACAGCACAAAATTATGATACTGTTCTCTCCCATCTTTATTACATATAAGACTCAACCCATCATCTTGAGTTAAAGACACAACAGGGGCACTTTGCTTGATACGATACCCCAGTATTGAGTCAATACTACTGACAGAAAAATACCGAGGGTAAAAATGCCAAATCAATTGATCAACTTCATCAAATTGACCTTAAACTCTAATCCGAGCGAATGCATGTATCCAATCCCATGGAATCCAGATGCAGATGAAACCTAGAGATTGGATCGAATTTTCAGTCCAATTCAATAGGTATCAATTACCAAGGACGCCAGTAAAGGGATGAAAGAGTAATTTTAATTTCACAATTTCAGCAATCGAACTTAACAGCCGAAGTCGTGCATAATATATTGCCCAAGTATATATACTTAGAGGTGGTAAAGTGGGCGGCCCGCCCCGCCCCACCCCACCATACCATCAACTCGTCAAAAAATGAGTCTATCCGCCCCACTTTTGAAAATTGATTGAAAAACTCAGTCCGCCTAGTCCTGTTTGACGGGTTGGACGGGTCGGCCCGTCTATGCCCGCCATTAACCCGCCAAAAAACAAGCCCGTCCCATCCCGCCCCACCCACTTTTGAGACGAGTTGAAAAACTCAGCCCGCCCCGCCCCGTTTGACGGGTTGGCCTGCCGAGCCAAACCCGTTTCGCCGATTGTATATATACCAGTCACATTTGTATGTACAACTGGAACGGTCGAGCGGCTAACAAATGAGGAAAGAATAGTATTCTCCAAAAAAAAAAAATGAGGAAAAAATAGATAATAATGAAAGTAGTCAGACAAACCTATAAAAAGGGCTAGTAGGAAAAAATAGTATTCTAAGCCAATACGAACCTCTTCCCCCAAGCATAAAACTATAAAAAAAGCGTTCAATGAACCACAACACAAGCCACATGCCCATGCCCGAGGCCACCATTCCAATGCTCTCTCTCGTACGCTGAACCAAACATTCCGAAGTGAGGCCCACCAAAATACACATGTAGTAGCGTAAGACTTACACGGGGCCATCCAATCACCCAGTCACCAAACCAAAATATTTACATGGCTGGCCCATCAAACTGTTGATCAATCACCCCACAAATAAAAAAAGTGAATTTTTTCTCAAAAAACTAAAGTAGAAATTGATCATTGCGCAAATAATTCCCGAGTTTACTTTTTATCTTCAACCGCCAACTGTCTTTTGAGTTCAACAGCTTTGTATGCCGTACACGTTTCATGCTTTTGTCCCCACGTGGCCTTGAAATCCACACGGCAGGGAAAGAAAAACAAAAACTAAAAAAATCAGTGTTTATCTTTTAAAGAAGATAAAATTATATTTTGAAATAAATAAAATTATATTATTTTAATCAAAATTACTGTATACTACGAGAGAGAAAAAAATTGAGAATATTTTTAATTTAAATAGTAAATAAAAAATAATAAATTTAACGAGAAACATTTTTCCAAAAGAGAAAAATATGCAGACGGTGGTTTACTTGCAATTGGTCCATTGTTACATAACTAAAACCCATAGTCTACGCAGCTGATTTTTTTTTTTTTTTTTTTTTAAGTTAACCTAACTCTAAAGCCGACAGGGATTTCATTTCCATAATCAAATTTCAAATAAGAAAAAAGTTTCAAATTACAATATGGATCCAGTACATCGCACTAACAGCAAGAGTTGGTGCGCTTGGCGGCGTTGCCTCTTGATCCACCGCAGCGTCCTCTCTTGGCCGCCGTCTGATCCTGGTTCAAGTCAAAGCTCATCCCATCCCCACCCACCATCTCCACGAACATCTTTTGTAGGTCCTCCAAACTGTCCCCCTAAACAAGAATGAAACAAAAACCCCACATTACATCCATATCCTCTCCCGAATTGCCAAAAAAAGCATGTTATATTAGAATTCAATCAGTACCTCGTCTTTGACATCGTTCATCATTGAAATCATTTCTTGCATGAAATCACAGAATTCCTGCGTTAAAAATAAAACAAATCTCATACCTATAATCGAATAATCAAATAATCAAATAATCAAAATCAAATGCACCTAACTAGTTACAAAAACTAAGAGCACACAGTTGCACGAACTGCAAGGGCAATTTCGACTACCGCAAAACATCTTAAAAAGAAAAAAGAAAAAAGAAAAAAGAAATTTTGGCGAGGCAAATAGATATAATAGCAATGACACAGTTTTACCGGACACAAGACGAGAAAAACGGTATCTTCGTTTTGGGTCTACAAACCAAAACGACACAGTTTTACCTCGGCTTGTTTATGGCAAATGCTATGCCTCACGCTCTGCAACTGCAAATGAAAAGAAAGGAAAACAATACTAACTTTGTCATCTTCCTCTAAAGGGTCATAGAAGCCGGCATCGTACATTGACCTTTTAGACTGATCGGAAAGAACTGTTCCAGGGACATGTTATAAAGTAAATCGTTTATAGCCCATAAAATCCAAATGATTAACTATTATATTAATCAAAATTAAGAATAATGATCACGTAATCTGACCCGAGTAAGCTTCCTGGATTTGCTGAAACCGCCGTTTGGCTTCTCCGGCGATCGCAGGGTTCCGAGCCCATTTGTCCGGGTGCCACTTCTTCTCAGGCCCAGCCACAAAAAAACACATAATTATACAAAATTAAGAAAATATAAAATTGAAACAACAAAACAAGGAAACGGCGGCGTATAATTACCATGGCAAGCTTGCGGTAAGCAGCGCGTACATCACAGAAGGAGGCGTCCCTCCGAATCCCTAGAATCGAGTAGTAGCAAGATCCACCGTTGGATCCTCCTCCTTCCCGATCCATCAAACGCCCCTAAAAAAATCTAACGCTTAAAGCTTCAAGCCTTCAATACAAGACAAGCAGAACCCAAAGCCACATCAAATTAAACGAAGAGGAATATAAGTGAATGCACGAGGAGAAAAACGTAAATTTAAGACGTAGAGCAAAGAAGAGAGAGAAAAAAATATCTTCTCGGACCAATTCCTTTGTGGTATAAGATATGTCCCAGGAAACTTCGAGAGAGTTTGGCTGGTGAAAAAAGAAGAGAGGCTGAGATATTTTCGTGGTTATCAAAAGAAATGACACTTTAATTTTCTAAAAACTACGCCGCTCTGCCACTCATCGTTCAATCAAGTCAAATCCAAATATTGTAGAAAAAGTGATGCCATATCGTATAGAAATTTTATTTTCCTATTTTATTTTATTTCGGTAAAAGCAATCGTATTAGAAATATAATTTAACTTTTATGTACTTGTGATTCAATGTTACATTATTTAACTAGCATTCACAATGCAAGACAAAAACTAAATCAATGGCACATATCACCGATATGGATGATTTGTTGTTGCGTGAATGAATGGTCTCATATACTACGAGGTCATGTTGATCAATTTAAAGATTGATTATTTTGTAAAATAAAGTAATTCTAAAAAATATGGCGATCGGTGATATATAATTGAGGGGAACGATTAAGGTATTATGTTGATTCATTAAAAATTTTGCCCAAAATAGAACTGTCATTAAGTTAGGGTTGTATATATCTTACTTTATTGGGAGCAATTCAATAAATTAAGAATGAATATTCCCAATCTCTTGAATTTCAATAGATTATGAGAGCGGATCAATCGTTATTATATTATTAATAATTTATATATAAATAAGAGATTAAAAAAATCCTTAAATCCTAGCTCAAGTAGTGTTATTTTTGAAGTTTAAGCACTGATTTCTTATACAAAAAATGCAAATTAGAAACAGTAACCACCCACTACAAAAATGAGCATACCTTTTATATTACACGAATATTACACGAGTATGTACTCCGTTACAAATAATAGAAAAAAGGTGGAATTTTGTATTTAAAAAAAATAAAACGGTGGAATTTTTCAGTGACAATAATTATAAAAGAGTGGATAAAATGAGAAAAAATAATTATGTTATTTATTTCCAAACTTAGTAAAGATTATACCGAGTCTTGAGTACTATGAGATTACTAAAGATATTTTTCTAGGAAAATAAAAGTTTCCACTAACAAAATTATCCAAACTAACATAACCAATATCGAAAATTTTGGAAAAGAGCATAGATAATATAATTGAGACAAATATATCATAAAATTATTATTATAACCTTGGATTGAATTGTATTGTGTCAGAGTTTATATCAACAAGTGGTCACAAATTCTATCATCATTGTCCGTCCTATTAAACCGATTTGAAGGTATAAATTTTCTACAACAAAATGGTCTACAAACACCATTTCTCACAATGGAATTGGCGATGCTTTCAACAGCATTTTTCAGGTTGTACTAGATAAAGTAACAAACAATTTTTGTATCACCAAAAGATTGGTTCAAGTGATACACATTTAATTTCATTTAAATAAGATCTTTGGTTCAAGACCTTGTGAATACAATTTTTTTTTTTTTTTTTTTTGACAAAACTAACCCCACCATAATGTGTATAACGACTATGGTTGAGACCTGATTCTAGCGCTTTTGTTTGCAAAGCATACTAGACACAATATGAGATTCTAGCGTTTTTTTCTTTTTTAGTAAAATGCACCCCCGAACATTGAAGTTTTTCTGAACCCCTACTAATCAAAACGCGGCATTTAAGGGTAACAGCAAAAAATGAAAACACTTAAACAAAACACACAGGTACATACTCACTCGAGCAAAAAGACATACATTATGAAATACACACTACATGAGCACTTAAATAAAATCGCTAGTTTACTACATGTGAATTGGACGATAATTTTAACATAATCTTGAAAGGCTATTTGAAAAAAAAATAAAAATTATTAAAGGTAGACACGAAATCTTATGTTTTGTATTTGTCCTCCTTAATGCCATTTGTGATTTAGGTATCTTATCCAAAGGTTATTTTAACAAAAACTTTTGAGTAGTACGTGTTGTTATTAGTAAATACAAATGAGCAAAATTTGATAATATTATATTGCAATGTACTTGCCCAAAGGCCAGTGAATGAAAAGGACCAAAAAGATACTTGCTCCAGTTTGTTGAAATCTGATTTGGGCATTACTAGGCCTTCCAGGGATTTTGGGTCAGAAGGATAGGCCGAAAAGGATTCAAAAGAGAGAACTAAGAATGCCCCAAATCCACTGTCTAGGATCCTGATTCGTATAAAGCTCTTCGTTCCCTCACAAAGCTCTTCCATTATTTGAAGTAATAGAAACACGAACTTAGGCTATGAATAATTTTATATAACGTTTAAGTTTCACACATTGGGGGTTGATGGATTGTACATAATAAAGTAGGTTGAAGGAAAGGAGGAATAATTTATGAATTGTACATAATAAGTAGTAAACAACCTCGCTCAAAGTATATATAATACGCGCCCGACAGATTAGTCAGAAACCCAAATGTATGAGGACACATGAGAAATAAAAAAAAAAAGTTTGACACCAAACAATGAAGTTATCAATTATCAAACACTGCCATTGGGTATTCGGTCTGGCAATCATCCATTTAGTAATAAATGGGTGTTTTCCTCTCGATACCGATTTTGAAAGTATTAAAAAACAAAAACAATTATCAAACACCTGCTAATTTTAGAAATGCAGCCTTAACTTTAGAACCTGGTATCTAGGACAAGAATATGAAACAGGAATCTATCTAGCTAACAGTTACATTGCTCCAACTTTGTCCTCCTTTTGGGTTTCAATTCAGAACCCGAATCTTACACACCACACTGCTAAATTGATTGATGATGCATGCATGTCTCCACTGGCCACAGAATAATTTGGGGACTAGTCGTGAATGCTAAATTCTGCTCCTCCAATCCAATGCGAGCTATCTATATCCTTGACCCCATCCCTATGAAGGAAAAGGAAAAATATCATTTCCCGTTGAATAATCATCAGGCATTTGCTTTGGAACGTGTGATACAATAGGCGACATAGCAATATTCTCTTCCGTGCACATTCCCGATATCAGCTCTTCAACAAAACCTACTTGGGTATTATGTGCTGGTTCACCCATGTGTGATGTGGAGGTACACGGTTGACTCAAATCTTGCCTTTTTTCTAGTTGATCTGCGTTAAAGATTAAGGCTCATAAGAAAATTAAGAATCCAAAAGGAAGATATAAGAAGTATATAGAAACAAAGATAAGAACTAAAAACTCCAAATCAAAATGAGAAATAGATAAATTATTATGATTTCAGTGTACGACGTAGCAGCCTTAGTTATATAACAAATTGGAGGCCCAAATTAAACAAGGTGGAACAATTTGGTGCTTTAATTGGAGGCTAAATTGGGTAGAAAGCATTAGAATTTTTCATTTTGTTTATGACAGCAGGGAGTAAATTATTTACTATATAAGGACTGATTTATATATATTTTTTCCTTTAATAGGAATTAAATTGAAAGACAACATCAGGTACAAGGATCAAGAGTTATATTTAGCAAGCTAGTAATCAAATTAACACAAGTTGAAAATTTGTATCTCATAAAGAAACTAAAATTAAGTTTAACCTTATTTTTTATTTGATTATCTTCACTTTTGCAACTTTCGCTTACATGGGGATTTTGCACACAAAACTGTTTATGGTTTCACGTAAACATGTATATTATATTTACATCATGCGTGACACAAAACGTACATACCTTGCCGTGCAGTAGGTAACTGAACTTGAGCACCACATTGCCCCGCAGATTGTAGACTTGCCAATAGGCTGGACAAGCTGTCTATAACTGGCGTCATCAAATCTTGGACATTTCTGTAACCATCCACCAAAGTCTGCGAATGGGAGAAGGAACTTCAACTCGTAATTAAAAATATTATGATATCTTGATAATCACAAGCATTGATAATTTGATAGAATAAGAGAAATACGTACGTCAGAGTTGAGAGCATTCTTTGAACGATCAGCAACACATGTTTTGGCATGCTTAATAATTGCCTCCCGTAGTTTTGTTTTAATTTTGCCAAATTTCTACGGTCGCGGAACAAAGGATTCAGATAAAAATATACATATGAAATTATACTTTTTAAGCACTAGAGAAATAACGTACAAATTGTTATTTACACATAAAGCATAAAATAATAATCATAATAATATCCTTCCTTAATACCTCTTGCAAAGAAGATGGGTTGGTATGATGCAGCTGCAACAGATCATCAACAGTGTGTATTCCATGCAAACGCAATCGCTTATGGATTTCCCCATCTTTTCGTATCTTTGTCAAACGCCATATTTCATCATTGAGAGATGGAGGGTAGTGCTTCTCAGTGGCTGAAATTATTAGAGAAATATAATATAAAATTATTAATATAATATTTACTTACTAGTTAAAATTTTTGAGTGGGATTCAGACTGAGCAAAATGGTCACGAGTTCAATCAGGAGAAGATAAGTGTTGATTACTACTGTTTAAGACTTACCCTCTCCTCTGATATCCTTGACCTTAAAAGGTTCACTTCTACCTTCCCTAATGTCTGCTTCAATGGAATTAGATTGCACTATTTTAACTCCTAACCGGAACGATTTGCTTCTTGTCCAGCTCGAGTTATCAGTAAACACAATCTTCTCAGTGATGTAACCAACTCCATTTTCTAGTGTAATAACCGTATCTCCATTCAGTAATGGTCCTTTTCCCTCTCTTGGACTTAAAGTTTGGGAATTAAATTCCTCTGCTGTCCAATCCTCATTCTTATTGGATCCAAAGTCACCATTTAAGACACAGATCCGGATCTTCATGGGGTAACATTCTTCCCTGACTATGCGTTGCTGAGACTTAGCATCACGCAGCTCAATTTGAAGTGGTAATCCTCCCTCAGCTGTGATTTCGGATAGTGTGTAATTTGTTGGAGGCAATTTATTCATGAAGCACAATTGCAAAACTCTTCCACCACCAGATCCGCAACTAAATTGGAAACACAAAAACAACATTAGATTAGATTAGAATGAACTAATGTATAGAGTGTATGGTGGTGAAAAACATATAGGAAACACATAAATTTTGGACAAAAGAAACAAACCTTAATTGTCGTTTCAACTCCTCTCGTACCTAGTTGAAGGAATAATTATATGAATTAATGAACATACAATTTTCAAGATGAATATATATCCTCGTCAACGTCATAACTCATATATACTCTTAATTCATAAAGAAATTAGAGAGAATTCTTACCAATCTTTGAACTAAATCTTTCACGGGCGGCACTATGTCATCAGAGGTTAAGTGGAACAAAGACCTCAAATTTCCAATGATACTGCACAATAAAATAACCACAGAATTAAACAGTTATAAAAAGAAATCATAATTAAAAGTAGAACCCCTACTGAAGCAATATCGAGAACAACAAAAATTAATACAAGGTCTTCGACTGTTGTGAATCTTCACGTCTCCGCTTTGAAGGATGAGCTAGAATTTGAAGCCCACTTTCATCACCCTCCTGTTGAGATTGCCTTTTTGATTCCATTCAATATAAGAATAATTAACAATCAAATCACCTAACTCACTCAGTTAACTTCTAAAAGTAGAGTACTATATAACTACTAAAAGTTTCCTGAAAATGGAAACCGATAATGATTAGTATTTATAGAGTTGGCGGGCATCGACGAATTTACACAGAAGATTCCAGGAAATGATGTTCGTACATCTAAAACTGCTTAAATCCAACCACACGCTGCGACATTACCTAAATAAAAGGTATATATATAATATATATTGCATGAAATTTACATTTCAATTGAAATTTCCCTCCCTTCGTGTCTCTTTCTTCTTGTATTTAATACACGAAGTTGTGGAATGTCAATAATAAAACGCGTTATATATATGAAGGTAATATACAAATATTAAGTTAAAGAAATTTATTCCGATCGAATTTCTGCAGATTAATTTATCTCGTCGTTCATTTATGCATGCATAAACTAAAAGGGTCAGTAAAACTGGTATTAGTAACACTGAACTTAATTAAAGAGGTAAACGCGTAACGAGGTGGCGGGACCTGGGACGCACAAAATTTTCCAAAATAAGCGCGTTTAAATCTGAGACATGACCATGAAATTACATAAAATAGCTATCCGAAGCATTTTCATTATTTTCTTATTATGGATTATACTGCATTGCCTTTGGACGCCACTAAATAGTGCAGTCAATAATCCCCTGCTACCCTATACAAACGCAAGTATGCAAATGGTGTGGAATGACAGTAAGCAAATAATTAAGTTTTAATTTCCAGCTATGCATTTTTCTAAACACAGAAATTTAATCTCCAGAATTCCTTCCTGAGTGTAAGGTATCAGATTTGAGAGAAGAAGAAAAGGGAAAATTGTAATCTATTATTGAAAATGAAAGTTAACTTACATATAGGTGTGTAACTCTAGCATATATACTCTTAGCCTAGATAAATCACAGCCATACATTAATAACTGAATGATCTCAACCATTCAGTACTAACAGCCTAACTAACAGACTAACTCACTAACAGTACAAACAGACTAGCTGAGTGATGTTGGGCTGGGCCTCAGGGCCTCTATAGCCTTCATTCCCCCGCAAGCTGAAGAGGGCTTGGACTTGGAGTCCAGCACGCGAAGCTTGGACTTAAACGTAAGAAAAGAGACTTGAGACACCGCCTTGGTAAGGCCATCAGCGATTTGGTCAACGGCTGGAACATGGTGCACTGACATAGCCTTGCTGAGCACCTTCTCCCTGACGAAGTGGAGATCCAGCTCGAAGTGCTTGGTCCGAGAGTGGAAAATGGGGTTCGCTGTGAGGAGAACAGCAGAGAGGTTATCACAGTAGATAACCGGAGATCTTGGGAGGCAGATGCGAAGTTCGGAGAGAAGGGACTGGATCCAAGTAAGCTCAGCGACGGTAGCAGCAAGACAACGATATTCCGCCTCAGTGCTCGAGCGGCTGACCACATGCTGCTTCTTAGAAGACCATGTGACAAGATTTGAACCCAAGAAGACACAGAACCCACTTGTGGAACGCCGGTCATCAAGATCCGAGCCCCAATCAGAGTCACAATAGGCAGCCAGGTGAAAATTTGATGATGGGTTGATGGTTAACCCATGAGAAATCGTCCCACTCAGGTAACGTAGTATCCTTTTAACAGCCTTCCAATGAGTATCCAAAGGAACATGCATAAACTGACAGACTTTATTGACACTGAATGTGATTTCAGGACGAGTAATGGTGGCATATTGAAGAGCCCCAACAATAGATCGATACTGAGATGGGTCAGGATGTGGAGATCCATCACGAGAGGAGAGCTTGGCACTGGACATCATAGGAGTCGGCATAGACTTGCAGTTCTCCATGTTAGCTTTCTTAAGAAGGTCCAGAATGTACTTGGATTGGTGAAGATGCAGACCACCAGATGCAGACTTGGTGACTTCAATACCCAGAAAATAGTGAAGGTGACCAAGATCCTTGAGAGCAAAAGCATCATTGAGAGAGTGAATTAGCGACTGAATAGCAGAGGAGGATGAACCAGTGACAAGGATGTCATCAACATAGACTAGGACATATAGAGTAGCAGTAGGGGTAATGGAGATGAATAGGGAAGTGTCACATTTGGCAGTGACAAAACCCAGTCTGTGTAGGGTGCCACTGAGTTTGTCAAACCAGGCACGTGGTGCCTGTTTGAGGCCATATAGGGCCTTAGTTAACTTGCACACCAAGGTTTTATCTTTATGAATGAAACCTGGAGGTTGTTGCATGTATACTTCTTCCTGAAGATCACCATTCAGGAAGGCATTGTTCACATCCAGCTGGTGAACAGGCCATTTTCTAGAGAGAGCAGCAGTGAGGACAATCCGAATGGTAGCAGGTTTCACCACAGGACTAAAGGTTTCCTGATAATCAAAACCTTCTTGTTGGTGAAACCCCTTAGCCACTAGCCTGGCTTTATATTTTAGGATGCTGCCATCAGGATGAAATTTGGTGCGAAATACCCATTTACAGCCTATTGGAGACCTATCTGAAGGCATAGGAACCAGTTTCCAAGTATTATTTTTGAGTAAGGCTGCATACTCCTCTTGCATTGCCTTATACCAGTGGGGTGCAGCTATAGCCTGAGATACAGAAGTAGGTTCCAAAGAGGCTAAGTATGCCTTTGGCTTAAAAATGCCAGCTTTGGCTCGAGTAAGCATAGGATGAGTTGGAGGTGCCACAGGAACTTGTAAAGGTGGAGCAGACCTGCAACCGTTGCCAGATAACATAGAGGATCTGCAAGTAGGATTAGATGTGCTAACAGAAAAATCATTAATAGAATCACTCATTAAAGAATTAGGAGAGGTAGAGGGGTGAGTAATAGGAGCTATGATTGGGACAGGACAAGGAACAGTTACATTGTGTGGACTGGTATTAGTAGGCAGGATAGGGATAGCAGGAGTAGAGAGAAAAGTGGGTGACTCACTGTTTGAGAGTGTAGGAGAAACTGAGGATTGAAGAAAAGGGAATTGAGACTCATCAAAGAGAACATGTCGTGCAAAAATGACCTGACCAGTTGGTTTTAAACATTTGTAACCCTTTTGATTTGTACAGTAGCCAATAAAGGTGCATTTTTCTGATCTAAAATCAATTTTGTGCCTATTATAGGGTCTGAGGTAGGGATAGCATGCACAACCATAGGTTTTAAGAAATGAGTAATCAGGTGTTTTGTGAAACAGGGTTTCAAATGGAGACTTGTTATTTAGGTTGGGGGTGGGTAAAAGGTTAATAACGTGTGCAGCAGAAAGAAAGGCATCAGCCCAGTATTTGGTTGGTAAGTGGGATTGAGCTAAGAGAGCTAGGCCAGTTTCTACAACATGTCTATGCTTTCTTTCGGGTTGGCCATTTTGTTGATGAGTGTAGGGACATGTAAGACGATGGATAACACCTTGTTGTTGTAGATAGGGAGTGAATTTAAGGAATTCTCTGCCATTATCACTTTGGAGAGATTTTATTTTAGTATTAAGATGTAATTCAACCATAGTTTTGAACTGAATGAAAATATTGTAAGCTTGGGATTTGTTTGTCATAGGGTAAAGCCAAGTATATTTGGAAAATGCATCTACAAACAGGATGTAGTAACGAGCACCTAAAGTGCTTTCAATAGGTGCTGGACCCCAAATGTCAGTAAGGACAAGTTCCAAGGGACTGGAGTAAACTGTGTTAGTGGTTGGTAAGTGAAGTTGGTGCATTTTGGCCATACAACAAGCACAACATAATTGGGAATCAGCTTTATTGACAAATGGTATGTTACAATGTTTAAGAACCAACTTGACAGTTTGAAAAGAGGCATGAGCTAATCTCGAATGCCATAGATCTAAAGTAGAAACTTTAGAGGTATTATTACAAGATAGGATAGGTTTAGCTACAGAAAATGTAGGAACACAAGGTGGAGGTGAACTTGAAGTAGCTGCAGTAGAAAACCTTGAAGGCTTCTGTGCTCCATCAAAAGCATATAGACCATTCTTAAGGTTGCCTTGGAGAAGGATCTCCTTGGTAGCCTGAGATTTGACATAGCAGGTGTTAGAATGAAATTCAAAAAATACTTGATGTTCCTTTGCAAACTGTGAAACACTTAACAGGTTTTTGGACATACCAGGAACATGCAGAAGATTTGACAGTGTAAAGGATTTTGAACTAAAAGGTGAGTATAGAATTGAGTGACCTATGTGTTTGATTTTTAGGTTAGATCCATTACCTACTTGAACAGCATCCTGACCAGTGTATGTGGTTCTCTGCAACAGGTTGGAGGATTCTGGTGTGAAGTGATTTGTGGCTCCAGAATCTGGATACCAGCTAGAGTCAGTGAGGGAAAAATAATCAGAGGTGTCATCTTCTTGCTGCCTTGCAGCATTGTTGCTGTTAGTTACTGCCATATTGGCTTGCAGATTAGAGGAAGTATTCTGTTTCAGTGAGCTTTGGTAGCTTTGGTTGAACCTGTGATGACAATCAAGAGCTAAGTGGCCAAACCTGCCACAAACTTGGCATTGAGGTCTATTGTAGCCTCCACTACCATTGTACCTTCCTCCTCTTCCTCTGTAAGGTTGGTAATTTCCTCTGTAAGGTTGGTAATTTCCTCCACTGCCATGGAATCTGCCTCTATTTGAATTGAATCCTCCTCTACTAAAATTGGAGTTGTTGTTCTGTCTTCTGACCTGTAGCTGAGCCATATTAGCTTGAAGATTTGTGGAAAGATTCCTTCTATGTTTTTCCAGTCGTTGCTCTTGAGCCATCAACAAGGCTTCAATCTCACCAACAGTGTAAGGATCCGAACGTGAGATAACTGATGTTACAAAAGCATCATAATCTTCATTTAGTCCATCAAGTATCGCATCTATATGATCTTCACAATCAACAGGTGAACCACATGCTGCCAAAGAGTCCACTGTTTTCTTGATTGTGAGAAGGTACTTTGACACATCACCTTCCTTCTTTATGTTCTTTAACTGCACTTTCAGTTGCTTAATCTTTGCTCTCGTTTGAGACATGAAAAATTCTTCAAGTTTCTGCCAAACTTGGAAAGAGCTGGAACAACCAACTACACGCATGTAGATTGACTCAGACATGGACGATAGTAACCAAGAAAGGATCAACTGATCTTGTTGAGCAGTGACAGCAGCTGTCTGCGTATTTGTGACCTGTGTAGCATGAGGTGCACCATTGCCAACACTTTCTGCACCTTCTTCAGCAGAGGTTCTTGCAACAGGTACTGAATCTTGAACTTCTTGAGTTATGAACTTGATCAAATCATAACCTTTGATTGTAGCTAATGCTTGTTGTTTCCATGGCAGGAAATTGTCTTCATCTAGCTTAAAGGAGACTGGATTGGAGAATGTATGGACAGAGTTTTGCACAGCACGATTTGGCTCCATGGATCAGATCTAGCTCTGATACCATGTAAGGTATCAGATTTGAGAGAAGAAGAAAAGGGAAAATTGTAATCTATTATTGAAAATGAAAGTTAACTTACATATAGGTGTGTAACTCTAGCATATATACTCTTAGCCTAGATAAATCACAGCCATACATTAATAACTGAATGATCTCAACCATTCAGTACTAACAGCCTAACTAACAGACTAACTCACTAACAGTACAAACAGACTAGCTGAGTGATGTTGGGCTGGGCCTCAGGGCCTCTATAGCCTTCACTGAGAAAATTGCTAGTAGTATTTTGTCAGTAGAACATGTTTGATTCTTGCTGAAGATAAATTTGGTCAAGAAGACAGTTAAAACATTCAATGCTTGGGAATTTTAATTGTTTATTGTCTTAAATTTTACTAAATGCAAGCTTTAGCCAGGGATAAATACATACGTAATTTAAGAGGAATAGAAGTGAATTTTTCTAAAACAAAAAACTTTTATTGTTATGCTAAAGATAATGTACTTGACACTGGAAGGTATCATCATCGCTGTCATGCAAAGTTGTTAATTACCCCTAATTGGTATAATAGGAGTTATTTATTATTACTCAAACCTACTTCCTCTATTTCATATTCCACCTACTTTAATTTAATCCACTGAGATATGCTCAAGTAATTATAATAGCTAGCTATATGGATCTGTCTTGGATCGTCTCTTACTCTAAATAATTATCTCAATTCTTATATATTTTACTTTTATTATTGCCTTTTTGTTATCTTTCAACTATCATATTTTTTTTTTAAATGGGTAAAATATCACAAAATTATAGTCTTCAATAAAAATTGTTCTCGCACGAAGTTACAAGTTAGGAATGTATTATGCACCCAAAATTGAGTATAAACATAGAAAACGCGCATGAATATAATACTTGGAAAAACAAATAAGATCAACTTGAAAACAAACAATCAGAGGCTCTTTTTTTTTTTTTTTTTTTTTTGATATAAACAATCAGAGGCTCTTAGTATAAGGCCTACCTTGACCAAATCAAAATATCAAAATATACATAATTCGTATTATTCAAGTATATATGTGGCATGAAAATATAAAATAAAATAACAATAATCATTATCAAGGTGCCTGAAACTTTTTTAAAACAATTTATATAATTACTATTCTTTATTTCAAGAAAGGTCTCATGAGTAGGCAAAGAGGATAAATTCTTATATAATGACCAGATATTATATAAATACATGCCATTAAATTGAGAATATTACTTTTAGAATATTTATATATTTTTGGGGAGAGAGTGCCGTGAGCCAAAGATAAAAGTCCTAAATCATATATATATATATATATATATATTTGAGTCGTTGTTTAAATTTCATTAACGGCTCAAATATTTAATAAATCAGAATCGTTAGATACAAATAAAATCAATTATCAAGATTAATTGAGAGTGTAATTTATACTGGTATAAAATCATCCTAAATTTAGGGGTGTAAATAGACGAGCCGGCCTATAGGAGCTTTTGGCTCGGCCTACATCATATGAGACTCAGCTTATTACATAATACATATAATCAAATAGAACAGACTCAACCATCAACAAAAGCCTAATTAAAAAGTAGGCCATATACTTTCTTTTATATATCAGGTCTATAAACCTACAAAAGTATAAATCAACCTATATTATATTATATTATTATTTATTTATTTTGGTAAATATATATTATTTATTTTAAATAAAATAAATAAATTATTATTTGAATAATAAAATAATATTATTTTAATTATTTTACTTTTTTGATTATTAAATGCCTACGAGGCTTAATTATGTTAACAAACTCAGGCCAAAACTTTTGTTTTTTAGATATAAGTCAGACCAGACTTATAATTTGAGCCTACACAAACTAACAGATCATGTCAGACCTAAAATATTTTTCAAAGACTTACCTATTTAAGCCGAAGCCTAGCCCAGCCTATTCACATTCACACACGTGATATTAACTTCAATATCCATTGTTTTTTTATAAGAAAAATTAAACGTTGGCCTAAAGTTCTGCAATGTTTTCGAAGAGCCAACGCTAACAAAGACCAGATTTGATTTCAACTTTTGGTTTCTTGAAAATGATTATCGGTTGAAGAATTATACGGTGTTCAACACAATTACAGGTGTACCTCGTATACGAAGTTGAAAAAAGATATATTTTTCAAATACATAGTCGGTGCAAAGGAATCAGCTAGTTAATAATTCTTGAATGCAAAATTACAAGCGTAAAAATCAAGAAGGAAATTATCCGTTCAGATATTAATTAAAAAAAGAATAAAGGAAGTCCTAATTAATGACAACAAATAACTGGTCTTCAAGTTTTCAAGGTGTGTAAAAATGATAACTGACCTGGCCCGAAGCTATTGCTTTGGTTGAACTTTATGAGTGATGACTGAAGGCTCTTGGGCTGGGTAGGAAGTGGGAGCATTGACCAAAATGGCCCTAGCCTCCATGGCCGGCTTCCTAGCCTGTACTTCATGACGAGTAGCTCATGCTCCAAATTGGAAAGTTAGGATGGGATAATGTGGCAACAGGGATCGATCTGAATGTATGGTCAATGGTCACTGAGAGAAGAACAGCCAAAAGAAATTAAGATGGGTTCTTCAAGATATGTTATATGAATTATGAATGTGAATTTTAGACCTTACAATAAAGAAAGACTATGGAACTTGACTTGCTTGGTCAACTCCAACTATTTCTTGTTTTGTTTACTTTACTGCTCTATGTTCTTTAGTCACTCCTCCATTTTTTTTTGCTTTTCTAATTTTCTTTTGGATGATTTTCCTTTCCCGCCGTGAAGACCGAATCCGAATATTCGATGCGGTGGTCAAGCAGACATCAGAGAGGATTTGCCAATATTTGCGAAGAAAATAACGTAAAAAAATTCTGGGGACACTGCGCCTACATTTTTACATTTTTTAAATAAATCTTAATATCTTTTAAGATATTCATAGTGTTGCTTTTCAATAAAAATATAATTTATTTCCAAATATATATATAGATAAAATCATTTCTGCAGTCGCTTTACGTACAATAACGACAGGTGTATGAATATGATTCTCCACGTTTAATGCTTTTTTTCATCTTTTGTATGGTTATGATTCCTCGTATTTAATGCTTTCACCTATATATAAGGCAAGTATTTGATTGCTGCACATACAACAGCTGCAGAAATGTAAACTCCATATGTATATATAAGAAAAATATTTGTCATTTTAAATGACGTAAAATTATGTTATTTTAAGAAAGAGATAGACACAGAGTAAATTTTTTTATTTAAATTTAAATTAAAAAAAAATCACCCACTTTCTCTCACCCATGATTTTCATTTTATGTATTATCTCTCTCTTAAAATGATATATCTTATGTCATTTAAAATGACAAACCCAAACCCTATATAAATATATAAATTTTTTTATTTCAAAAGTTTTCATAATTGAAATATAAAAAATAACAAATGATTATATTTTTATTAAAAAAAAAAACACAACAAACAATCAAAGAACTTTATTTAATTATTATTATTTTTGTATTAGTAAGTCTTGCGGTGGAGTGTGGGTTCACTTTAACCACAAATGGAAACAGCTTTTATTGAGCAAATCCGTCCAAATTAATATTTTAAAAACAGCAGCTTACCAAAAAAAAAAAAAAATTAAAAAACAGCAATATTAGAAAAATGCACAAGGGAAACGTGGAAATATTAAATTCCATTCTCTCACTTTTTTTTTTTTAATACAATTTGTACGGATAAGAATTACCATGAATGAACATTGCCCGAGCACCAGTACTGGGCACAGGCTTGATTTTACAGCTACAGATCATACATAGAGAAATTGACACGATATTTATGAATCAACAAATTATATATAACATCATCCTTAAGTGGAATTGTTGTTACATTAATCATAAGAGAATGAATAGAATAAATATAATCAGATGAGTCCATATTGTTTGTAACACCTAGTATTGTACTAGAAGAAATTTTCCCTTGAAGGGTCTCTTCATTGGCGCCCTTGTCGTTGGAAAAACACAATTTAAGGAAACAAAGCATGAACTATAATAGAAAAGATATAGTTTATTACTGACGATGAAAAGATTTTGCCTTCCTTTTAGCTACATGCATTATGACCCATTTGAGAGCTGTTCGAATCTTATGCCAAACTGTCTTGCGTTTCCCTTTGCTTGATACATACACAGCAGAGTTGGGTAAAGAGGAACGATTGCTACATTCTGCTCCATCATCATATGTATAGGGGAAAGGATTTGCTTGCACCAGTTGGTTAATGGGAGGAAAGAAACTTGCAAATTCATCAATCTGTGATACATTACCGAGCCATCCGTTTCCATCATCAACAGAGATAAACTGTCCCTCTGCTGAACCTTCCTGGTCAATCCGTGCGGCTTCATCAATAATTGATGTTGAGGTTGATGCTTGACACAAGTATGGCCACGTTTCTGGTTGGCCTGTAGATCATAGAACAAGAACTACAACTCAAGATCACATAAATGAGGAACTGAAAATGAGAGGGCATAAAAGAGACAAGTAAATAGAATTCTTTTTCGCCCACTTCATCACTTAATGAAGTATTCATACAGTAAAAATGTAGAGATCACATAGTAAACTACCACATGAATAAGAGTCAACTAATATTAAGGTTGTGCAAAACAATAAAAAAACTGAAAACTATGAATTGTAATTAAAATAACTGATTTTAAAAAATCAATTCATGAATCGAACTGATTTTTAAAAACAGTTCAAGAATCGAATTGATTTTTAGAAAATGATTCAAAAATTGATTTTTTTTTCTTTTTTTTATTTCTCTATTTTTCTTTTTTATTTATGGAAAAAATGTTTGTCCTTTTAAATGACACAACTTATATCATTTCACTCTCACAAAGAGGTGGGATCCACATCTTTATTTTTTTTATCCACTCTCTCTCCTCCTTTATCTATCTCTTTCTCTCACTTAAAATGACACAACTTTACCTCCTTTAAAATGATACACACTTTTCCCTTTATTTATTTAGTGGCTTTTTTTATTTTTATTTTTAGAGGAAGGTTATACTTACAACTAATTTTTTTTACAACCTCTTACAACCATATCTTAACACCGTTGATTTCCGTCAATCAACAGTTATCATTTATTGTGAATTAATAATTAATTAATGAATTTAATTTGAGAAAATCATAACCGCTGATTGACAGAAATCAACGGTGTTAAGATATGGTTGTAAAAAAAAAATGGTTGTAAGTATAACTTTTCTCTTTTTTTTATTACTTTATTTCTTTAATTTTTTAATTTTTTCCTTTTCTTTTAAAATAGGTTCGATCCGAGCTGATTCTGAATCAAACTGAGCTGTTTTCGAACCTAATCGAATCATTTAAATCAATTCAGTTCAGTTCTTCAAAAAATTTCTGTTCAATTCAATTCATGCACACCTCAATCAACCATGACTTAGCAAACTCATATTAAACCAATATTTGTAGGCTAAGAGAAGGAGTTTAAGCCATATTAAAGAGGTATAATATAAAATTATTAATATAATTTCACTTAATCAGTTAAAGTTTCGGATTAAATTAATTTTTTACATGGTATCAAAGCGTCTACGACCAAGTGATCATAGATTTTTTTCCTCACCGCCCGACTCTATAAAAAGAATAATTAAATATTGTGGAGTATCTTAACACAAGTAGCCAGGGCTGGAAGCATTATTCACCCTTCAAGTCCAATGAGTTCTTGTATGAGGGGTTTAGAGAAATATAATATAAAATCATTAATATAAGGGCTTAACATTTCTGCAGCAGCCGTAGATAATGTTATCTACAACTGACACAGAAAAGTGGGCCCCACGGCTTTAAAAAAAAAACTCAGTATCTGTTGTCGTATCCTAGGATTCGGACGTGTATCCTTGCTTGCTGTAGGTACAGCAGCTGCAGAAATCATTTTGCCTTAATATAATCTCACCTAATAACTTAATCTTTTATGTTTAAAGAGTCCTTTACATCAAATATTAATATTTTGCATGATATCTTTGTGTTAATTGATATTCTTGTATTAGCCAATATTTCGCTGGATTTGCTTAGAAATCTCTTTCGGCATAAGAAATTTATGGGTTTGGTGTTTGTCCTTTTAAATGACATAGAATTATGTCTTTTAAGTGAGAGAAAAAGATATACAATGGACCAACAAAGCCCGGCATAATTGGTAGATAGTTGGGTCCTTTAAACATGCTGACAAGGGTTTCAATCCTTGGCCGTGTGCAGTGGCGGACCCAAAAAATTTTATAGTGGGGGGCGAAAAAAATTATATTATAAAGAAAAGTACATACAATCGTATATGAACTTAATATAAAGAGTCTAAAAGAGTTTTATTACAAAATTCAAGGTCAATTTACTTAACTCTTGCTCTACGTTTTTTCATATTATTAAACTCTTCTATAATTGAATCTGTGCTAAAATTCAAAAAATTTCCTTTTCAATATATGTAATTAAAGAATCATCAAGAATTTGGTCTTCCATTTGATTTCGAAGTCTGGTCATGATTATTTTCATGGCAGATAAAGCTCTTTCAGTAATTGCCATAAAAATTGGGATAGTGAGCACAAGTCTAATCACTCTATCAATAAGAGGATAAATAATTGATTTTCCAGATGTGTTCGATTTTGAATTTTTTTCTTCGGCCCTAAAAGTTTGCTACTTCATTTGGAGAAATTGCAATTTCAATCTCCAAATTTTGTGTTTGCTTAATTTTTTTAGTCCAAATTTAATTTCTCATCCCAAAATTATATATATATAGTAAAAAAAATTAAAAATCAGGGAGGGGCGGTGGCCAACCCTAGTGTAAAGCCCGGCCACTTGCAAGAATCAATGACTGTCCCCACACACTAACACGAGACTTTTCAGTGTGCTTTGTCCTCACTCGCACACTTCCCGGGAAAACTTCCCAGGCGGTCACCCATCCCAGAATTGCTCCAAGTCAAGCACGCTTAACTGTGGAGTTCTTCCGATCTGGGCTACCGAAAAGTAGATGCATCTTGTTAGTATAGTTAGTACCAATTAATTTTTATAAGTCATTCCTAACTGTACCGTCCCATACCAGCACAGTCTCTGGAATCCCTCTCTTTCGGGTGTTGATTCGATTCATTCATGAACCCCCAAGCTGCAAGATTTGGCATGAGTCGCTCATTGTCCGTGCCCTTTCGCACCGGCGATCACTCCCTGCCCTTGCCAACTCTTGGGATGTTACACCTAGCCCCTCTCCTGGGTCCGCCTCTGGCCATGTATACAGAAAAGCTTTGTTGGAAGAAGTTGTACTTATGCACGTGATCTCTCCGTATCGAGGGGATTAGTTATTGACTCTTTCCTGAGGTAACCTTGGAACAATTTCAAAAAAGAAAATAAAAGAAAGATACACAATGGAAATCCCTCCACGAAAGTGAATGATTTTTTTTAATTTAAATTTTAAATAAAAAACTAGTTTTGGACAAACATTTTCCCCAAAATGTATTCAAGAAAAACATCCTTCCCCGTTTGAATTGCTAAATGAACGGCCGAGGAAAAAATGCACTTTATGTTTGATATACATGAGGATGTTGCACAGAAGTGTTTATGCAGGACACAGGTATATAGTACCTTGCTGAGCAATTGGGAAGTCGAACTGTCGCGGACCTTGACCTGGATCACCATATTGTGCAGCTTGTACACCTGTCAATGTCTTCATCAAGTCTTGTGTTGTAGTCTCAAGTGGCACCAGATCCTTCAAATTTTTGTAAGCTTGCTGCTTAACTCTTTCCACCAAAAGCTGCCAGAGAGAGAAGTGTCTCGATCACATTAATTCAGTTAAAAGGTACAAGCACAGCTAGCTAGGTTATAATAAGATATGGATCATTAAATTTAGGAATCCATAGACGAAGCAGTAAAGTTCATTCCAAATAGCTATTCACATCCACAGGAACTTTTAGAATAAATAATAAAAACGAACCTTCTCTTCAAAATTCAGAGATTGTAGAGAACGGAAATTTTGGCCATTAAGAGCCACCTCCACAACTTCATAGATGCAATTGAAGACAAGGAATGTTAAGTGTTCTGCTGCGGGATAGATGTAGCGCTCATCATTGTTTACATCACAACCTTGAGCATGTTCAATAATTGTATCCCATGACCTAGCTGCAACTTTGCCGATTTTCTACTTTCCCGAAGCGAAAAAATAGGACCAGCATATATACTCGCATGTCAGTATTAGACAACGAAATTAAAAACTTCAAGAGCTAAAGTAGAGAATCATTATTCCTCATGCAAGAATATTTAAAAGAATATATTTAACCTCTAGTAATGAAGCTTGGTTGGTTATGTACAACCGCAAAAGATCCTTGACAGTTTTTATTCCAATCAAGGACAATTGCTTGTGAAGTTTACCACCTTTAGCTATCCTTTTCAGACGCCACACCTCATCATTCAATGAAGGACGGTCGTGTTTCTTGTATGCTGAAATGACCAAAACACATACAAAATGTAAAAACAAAGCCATCAGACACCAACATGATGGCAAAAAATAAATAAATTATGGTTTAGGACTTACCCACACCTCGGTTATCCAAGACCTTAAAAGGTTCACTTCTACCTTCCCTAATGTCCGCTTCAATGGAATTAGATTGCACTATTTTAACTCCTAACCGGAACGATTTGCTTCTTGTCCAGCACGAATTATCAGTAAACACAATCTTCTCTGTGATGTAACCAACTCCATTTTCTAGTGTAATAACCGTATCCCCAATCAGTAACGGTCCTTTTCCCTCTCTTGGACTTAAAGTTTGGGCATTAAATTCCTCTGCAATCCAATCCTCATTCTCATTGGATCCAAAGTCACCATTTAAGACACAGATCCGGATCTTCATGGGGTAACATTCTTCCCTGACTATGCGTTGCTGAGACTTAGCATCACGCAGCTCGATTTGAAGTGAAGATCCTCCCTCAGCTGTGATTTTGAACTGTGTGAAAATTGTTGGAGGCAATTTATTCATGAAGCACAATTGCAAAACTCTTCCACCACCAGATCCGCAACTAAATTGGAAACACAAAAACAACATTAGATTAGAATGAACTAGTGTATGGTGGTGAAAAACATATAGGAAAAACATAAATTTTGCACAAAAGAAACAAACCATGGGGATAGGTGACGCTGGAGCATAGGTGGAAGCACATCTTGCAGCTAGTTGGGGAACAAAACAACATAAGACTTACTATAAAAGCTTGGCAAGCAAGACAAGTTAGTTAATATACTTACTAGAGACTCGGTGCTTACCACTTTTCGAAGTACAGGTTCCAAGTACAATGCGATTTCATTTGTCACATTACTACTGGCAGAGGCACTGCACATTCACCACAGAAGAAGAAGTAACGTTTAGAGTGCAAAAAGGTACATCAAATAAACCCAAAAGCAGCACACACAGAAATAAACACATACAGAGACGAAAGGTGTGGGGTCTCTGCTTGTTCTGGCTCGCCACGTCTCCGCTTACCAGAAACTCGAAGATCCCTCTCATCATTACCCTGACCCTCCTCACGAGATACCCTTTTCGATGCCATCCCACTCCACAAACCTCCAACTCACACGCAAATCAATAACTCTCTGTTTCTCAGAAATAAGCTCAAAACAATGCTTGGAAACACACACTAACCCCGTTTTTATAGAGGGACTGAGAGAGACGAAGATTCAAGGAAAATTCTCCATGAGGGCCTCGTCATTTTTTATGTAAGAATGACTTGATTGAAGTCAAAATAAACCTTTTTAGATTAGATATAACATTTCGGAAAGAACAATAACATATTTATGACAAAAAGACTTTTTGTATACTAGCTAGTTAGTTAGTACTGAATGGTAGAATATTGATTGGGTACTGATTAAAGAGCAGAATATACTAAAAGTAGATTGCAGAAGCAATTTAATTATGATATCACAAGTTTATGCATAGAATTACTATATTCATATATCAATACAAAATCTAATAACTTGCCCCACGCGGTATCATCAACTATTATATTAATAAAAAAGGAAGAACTCCAGAAATTCCCAAACTTAGGAACTCAAGAGATAACGAAAGTAACTACGCGTTGTCTGAACGAGTAGGACCGACAAAACTGCAACTCTTGATGGACTAGTGACTAGGGATACTAGTTAACCAGAGAGAGCAAGAGCATAACGGTTCTTGTGGCCCTGATTTCAGATATATAAAAAAATAAAAAATTGCAGACGCGTGAGCTGATTAAATTTGCGAGCAAAATTTCCATAACCACGCGTTTAAATAATCACGGTCACGTTTAGGGAGTCAATTACGTGCTCAATTTTTTTCTTCTATAGCAACTTTTTCAAGAAAATCCTTTAGTGAGGAGCTTCTTGGAACTTGGTGATTAACTAGAATCTTCGTTCACTTCCACAGAAGTGAACACATTATCGAGTGTAGTTATCTTAATAGGCTCGGGTAAACTAGAGTGTCCAAAAGTTGTCCATCTTCCAGTTCGAAAAGCTTTTTGGGAGACAGAAGTTGCGGAATGGATACATGCTTGAAAGTTAAAAGGAAAGAATGGTAGTTTCTTCGTTTAATATTCAGAAGTCTTCAGTTGCAGTTTTACTGCAAGGACTCTGCACAGTTAACAAATAAGCTAGAGAAAGTTTGTGGCTTTTGGAACATGAACTTCACTTTTCGATCAATAAACCTTCCCAGCAATCCACAGAGTGGCTTATATAATCATGTAAGTAAATCTATGGATATTATTTTGAGATCTGTTCTGTATGGGATAGCCTATGTCATGGATGGTCACATAATATGGTTTACGCTTGGATTATATTAAAATGTCATTGAAATTACCATGGTAGGAAATGTCTCCGGTGGTCCAAAATACACACAAAATGTTGTTAATTTTATTTTGATCATGGAAGTGAAAAAGTTTACAATACACAAGAAAAAAAAAATTATTCAATTAGTTTCTGCATTAATTAAGTTGAACATGCTGCGCTTACTATCATATGAATATTAATTAACCGCCAGCGACGGATGTTACAGCTTAGCACGAAGATACACAGCCAACAACTTTACTTCTGCTACTTTGTTAGAATGAGTTATTTAAGGTTCTTGTATACTGAAGAGCAATGCTACTTACACAACTCCCTCTAGCATCCACTATATTAAACTACTAATGTGACTGAGTACGTGCTGCTACCGACTTTATGGTCCAAATTAATATATATTTAATTTTTTCCTATCAAATTTTAGATAAAGCCACACCACATCTGTAGTTTTGAGGGGTTGACAGATTGTATAAGTAACATTTCTCTGCATTTAGCAAATAATAGTTTGCAGTCCAAAAATATTACTTAAAATGGAAGTAACAATAAAAACGAGTAAGGGTCCTCTTGTTTTTAAGCTAGAAGCTACTTATAAACTAAAGCTAAAAAAGAGAGCTTAAAAAAGAAGCTAAAAGTTGTTTGGAAATTACATGAAAATTTTAGCTTAAAATTTACTTAAAAGCACATATTTCAAGAAAATTATCTCTCTTTCTATCTTTATCACTCTTCATTTAAAAAAAAAAGCACACAATTCAAGAAAAACAGATAAGAGCTTAAAAAAAACTCCTCCTAGGAGCTTTTAATTTTCAGCTTTTTTCTTCGTTATAGAAAAAAGAGCTTTTCATTATAAGAGCTTTTCCCAAAACCTGTTTGGCCTAACTTATGCTTATAAGTAACTTCTAGCTTAAAAAAAGAGGATCCAAACGGGCACTAAATATATCTCAAATTGATCTGTATTCAATATTTCACTGAATGTTTATACAGGGAGTATTAACAGAATAAATTTTGAATTGATGATGGACCAGTATCTATAAAATTTATTTTACAGACAAGACAACCACCACAGATTGTGTATAAATAACTTGACTATAACATACAGGAGGACTCTTCTTACCGGTCTCTTCACAATTCTAAGAAATCTAGGGAACTTGTATCCTAGGCTCTTAGGCATATTCTATCTAGTACCCAACAAAGGAAATAAAACAGCAGTCTAATAGTCATAGCAAAACAGCTTTGCTTTCTTTTTGGCAGCTGCATCCCTTCTCACTGATAAGACCCATAGAGCAACCCGAATCTTCTGCCACACCGCTTTCGGTTTCTCACTGTTGGATATATCCAGGGCAGAATTGAGGAAAGGAGAATGGCTGCTACATTCTGCTTCATCAGAACCAAAGCAAATGCCATTTTCTAGCCCCCATGTTGTATAAGGAGGATAATCATTTATGAATTGAAACTCTGAACTCTCATTCTCTGTCGAATAACCACATTGCATAGCTGGAAAATATGATCCATTAAGGTTCCAACAACTACCCCCTTCAGTGTACATTCCAGAGGAAAATTCATCCTCCACCTGACTGTTTGGTGGCACTTCTCTTTTGTCTGGCAGTGGATCAGCGCAGATTTGGTAATTATGCATTCCTTCATCAATATTTGAAGCAGAGATAATTGGTGGAGTATGACCTGTCCATGTTTGTTGTTGGCCTGCACAAGACAGGTTCAAAAATTATTGCAAAGTATTCAACAGGTAGAACGGAATTGGCGAAAAGAGGACAAGAGCTGTATAACAGAGATAGTCACATACATGAGAAAAAGGAAAGTTTTGAAAGCATTGAATTACACAGAAAGACATGTCAAGTTCGGTATTGTATAAGGAATGATATTGATGTTGTGGTAGAAATCAATATGGCATGATATACCAAAATTTGCCATGGTCCTTGTTCATCTTGTGGAAGTTTCTTCCAATATAAAAATTTTAGTTAGGATATGCATCCCTAGTTTATTACTACTCCAAATAGAAAAAGAAACAAATGACCTTTATGTTTGAATAACTTGGACTATATTGCAGAATAACTGTTTATGTACACTCCCTCACGTTTTAATTTAACATATCAGCAAGACAAAATGTCCGTATAGCGCAACCAGCTCTTCAATTGCCCTTGGTCAGTAATTGACCTCTTGTAAGTTCAAAGTTTTGATGAGCGATACAGTATAAGAGAGAACAAAATGAAATAGCCAGAAATTATACCATTATATGCAACTTGTGCTGTTGAGATATTAATCTGTTGCACATCTTGGTCTGGAGCGTCAGACTGCCTTGCTTTTAGAAATGCCGCTAGGTTTAAGCAGTTCAGGAAAGTTTCATCAATTGATTTCAAGTTATTGACATTTTTGTAAGCATGCTGCTTCACTATTTCTACCAAATGCTGCCAAGGAAGAACGAACATTATCACTTTTTTGATCCAGAGGCAAAAAATATGATATTATATAAATAATGATAAGACGGGAATCACTAATTTAAAGAAACCAAAGATGCTAAAGAAAAGTTTTCTTTAAAACCAATTTCACAACCAAATCCGAAAGGATATGAACGCATACATTCTCGCTGGGGGTGAGAGCATCTGGTGAATAATAATCTTGTCCATCAAATGTCACTCCCACAACGACGTAGATGCAATTGAATAGCAGGCCTATTGGTTGTTCTGCTGTGTGATAGCCGTAGAGCTTGTAATCATCTATCACACAGGCCTTGGCATGTTCAGTAATTGCTAACCATGACTTCTTCTGAATGTTGCCAAATTTCTGCATCTCCAGAGCAAAAATTTTCAACGAACATACACCTTTTAAGTGTAGATTTCATTAATTATTTATGAAAAGGGCAAGATAAGTAAAGAACGGTTACAACAACCCATAAAAGAAGAAAAGAAAAAGAAACAATCTTTTACCTCATATAACGAAGATGCGTTGGTTATGTATAACTGCAAGAGATCCTTAACAGTGTGAATTCCATGGAGAGAGAGCCGCTGGTGGATTTTTCCTTCTTTAGCAATTTTCTCCAAACGCCAGATATCATCATTCAAGGATGGAGGGTGGTGCTTCTTGTTAGCTTAAATGAGCAAATTACATGTCAGTTATGGAGTTGGGCCAAAAGAAAGATTATAATGAAAAATAAAAACAAACAGATACAAAAGTATCATGCAAACAATAGTTATGTCCTATTTGGAAATAGACAATGAGAAAGAGAAGTGAACTATTAAGACTCACGCTCTCCTCTGTTGTCTTTGACCACAAAAGGTTCACTTCTACCTTCCTTAATGTTTTCTCCACTGGAAGTTGGTTGCACAACTTTGGCTCCTAGCCTGAACTTTCTGCTTCTTAGCCATCTCGAGTTATCAGTGAAGATGATTTTAGTAATGCAACCAACTCCATTTTTTAAAGTAATAAACCTCTCTCCAATCAATAGTGGCCCTTTACCATCTCTTTCACGTAAGATATTGGCATTGAATTCCCCTTCATTCAAATCCTCACTGCCATTGGATCCAAACTCACCATTGAGAGCACAGATCTCTATCTTTTTTGAGGAGAGGGGACCATCATTGACTACAGACTGAGATCTAACATCAAATAGAACAATATGAAGAGGTGATTTGTCCTCTGCTAATATTTTAGACATGGTAAAAATTGTATCAGGCAACTTTTTAGGAAAACGCAACTGAAAGGGTTTGGCTCCAGATATGCCAGCATGATTAACCCTTCCTCTGCAAAAAATTTGTAAAAAAAAGAATAGTAAACTACTAGCTTTAACCAAATAAACAGATGAGAGGAAAAGTTGGTGAGAATCAGTTTGGTATTGTATTAAAAAAAGAAAAAAAAAAAGAATCAGTTTGGTACAGATCAATATTTTGACCCCATACCACCACAGGCAATGAATGCAACAATTGTTTCTTCTTAACACAATCCGGACATTAAAAACAAACCTTGAGAGTAGGTAACCCTGGATTACACGCTCCACCTCCTCTGTTACCTATTTGAGGAAGACAAGTGAATCAACCAAATCACATTTCAAAACAAATCATGCATACTTTAATTGGATACTAGGTACCTGTTCAAATACTAGCCAAACAAAAGAGATCTATATCACCAAAAAATAAAAGGCTTCTTGGAAAATAGGACGAGAAGCTGGAGAGCAACAGAGTTAAAGGAATGACAAATTTGAAAGGAACAAATAATCGGGCCCATGCTTCTCTTTTCTCCACAAATCAAATAGTAAGCATAACTAATGTGTGGGAATCACAAATATATGTACTAAGCAAAAGCAGAAACCTGGGGAACATTGAGGATGGCATACTACTAGGTACATTTGAACAGGAGCTTGAATGTGACAGGTACTTTCAAATGTAGAATATACTCAAAACTAGCTTAAATAAACAGAAAACAATCCTTCTTAACACCATATCATAAAGATAATAGATTCTTTCATTTCTTACCACTCTTCGTATGAAAATTTCCAAGTAGGAATCGCGGTCATTCAACCACAGTGCGTTTATTACATTTCTAATGCCACTGCACAATGAAACACAAAATAAAATTTAGAGCTCACAGTCCAAAAAACGCCAAAATAAGTATAAAAATAACAAATACCTGATTGATGCTTGTTTGGTATCACCACGGCTCCGTTTGGACTCCTGAATTGGAATTTTACCACTGCCTTCATGCTCCTTGTGAGATTGACGATTTGATACCATCCAAAAAATTACAAAGAAAATGAACAACCCTCTCTTCTCTGAACTCCCAATGATATAACTCAACTAAGTGGTTAGAACTAAGATGAACTCAAGCAAAAACGACCCTACATATATATATATATACACACACACAGAAAACGGTGCGTTGACCAAATGCAGGAAGAAGCGAGGAAGCCTCCTCATTCAACTGCAGTTCACTAACAGAACACGTTAATTCTAGAAAGTCAAGCTTTGTATTTTCACTGAGAATTCTCAGAAATTACTAACACTTGTTTATCAAAATAAAAAAATTGGTTACCATAAATATCTTGAATGACTACCACCGAAAGTGTTGAGATATATAGTCTCACATTGTATGTGCAACTAATGTGGAGTTTATAAGACCTTGGACACTTCCGCTAACACTTTTGTGTGGTGTATCTCAATATTCTTTACATGGTATTAGAGCCTCATATTCCGGGTTTAATCTTCACCGCTCTCCACTTTCTCTTATGAAATTTCTTTCTTCCGATAGAAATTTCTTTCTTTTGAATGGTGTATCCCAAGTTGGAAAGTCTTACAAGGGATCTCTAAACTCAAAAATTCAAGATAAGTACTAACTAAACGCGTCTTATTGCAAATGAAGACAACAACATTGATACGCCTAATTATGATGAACATGGAAAATTAGAGACAGAAAGGGATAGGCCGGCAGTTATTTGGGATGTGACCAACGGATTTCCAAACAAAACATGCACACACTTTCTTTTCCCTACTAGCAGACACGCTTACAAATGACAATGTTTTTCTCCAAGTACGCGTTTAGAGGACACGTACTACAAATGATGACTGAGAATGCCTACACTAACCGAAGCATTTTTACCCCCAATCTTTAATGGGTACAAAAGTTTTGTCAAACGTCGATTCAACCAAAAACTTAATAGTTTTTGGTTACTTCTAACACGTAATCGCACAAGAGACTTTTATCATAAAAGTCCACTCAAAAGTAAATAATACACAGGTTCACTTATTTGTATTAGAAAACTTTTTAAAATTTAATTAATTAAATAAAAACAGTGAGGATTGAACTTACAAATATATGCATGCAATTTGATCGCATATTTGTCAAAGGTGAATGAAGTTAAATTAGAAATACAAATATATATCGAGACTATGATATCATGTAAAACGTTAACTCAATCCAAAAACTTAAACTATTAGATGAAACTATATTAATAATTTTTATAGGTCTCTAACCATTTGCAATTCAATTATTAAGGCATAGTTAACATTAAAAAAAAAAAATTCCCAAAACACAGCTATATTTCAACTGAAATTTTGGCCTTGGGCTCACAATACTATTATCGAGTATGAACAAAATAACACCTTTGAGATGAAATAAATTAAACACTGATTCAGTTTCAGTCTCCGCATTTGGAATGAATTTTTAGTGAAACGGTGGTATTATAGCTATATATTCTAGGATATATATCAGGGTTTTAAAACCCCGTCACACCCTGGAATCAACCCCACCGGATCATGAAAAGAGAAAAAAATAACTTTAATATTTTTTTATTTTATTTTATATAACGATAAGAATTAAACACATAACTTAATACAAAGTACCTAAACCCCTTATTACTAGACCAATCTTAGTGGCTAACTTTAATATTATAATTATATACTCCTCGAAATATATAATTTTTTTTTATTACAATAGGAATTGAACAGTACACACACCACACCATAAGCGGATCTAGGTGTATGAGAAGGGGGGCAAGTGTCCACCCTTAAAATATGATTTAAAAATACAAAAATACCCTTCTCTTAAAATTTAAATTTTTCCAATTCAATTTTGGAGTAGGATATTGTAACGGGAGAGGTTATAGTTACTACCTCTTTTTCTTACTACCTGTTACTACTAAATCGTAACCGTTGATTTCCGTCAATCTAACGGTTATAATTTATTGGGTCATTCTTATTAATTAATTATTAATTTTCATTAAATTATAACCGTTAGATTGACGAAAATCAACAGTTACGATTTAGTAGTAACAAGTAGTAAAAAAGAGAGGTAGTAATTATAACCTTCCCCTATTGTAACAACCAATTAAGGTTATTACCAATGTTACTACCAATTAATTTCACAGTTAGATCGATTATGTTGATCCAACGGTTATATTTATTTCTATCTTTGTATAGTTATGATTCTCCATATTTAATATTTTATATTTATTTTCACCTTTGTATAGTTATAATTTTTCATATTTAATGCTTTTACATTAAATATGGGGATCATAACCATACAAAGATGGAAATAAATATACTCGTTGGATCAACATAATCGATCTAATGGTGGTAAAATTGATTAGTAGTAACCCTAATTGGTTGTTACGATATCCTACTCCTTTAATTTCCCTCGTTCTATTTTATTTTCCCGTGAGTTTTTTTTTTCTCCTCCACCTTCATTATCCAAACCTAACAGCAGAGAGCTCTATTCCAGACCCATCGTGTGCATCTACATACTGATTAATCTCCTCTCAAACCTCAATTTCTGTTATTGGAAGTTGGAACATTTGCTTCTTCCTCATCATCGGTCCAGTTGAGTTGCAATCCGTCCAGATCTAGATCTAAACCAGACCCAACCAGTCGGCAGCTGCTCGCAAGTCGCATTCAAGACCAGATCCAGATCTATATGTACTTAAACTTTTGAGTGCCCACCCTTCATTAATTTCCTGGATCCGCCACTGCACCACACAACACTACACACCCCCATTAGACTAACCCCTAGTGGTTTGAGTATATAATTATAATGGAAAAAGTGTTTGTCATTTTAAATGACAGAAAGTTATGTCATTTTAAGAGAGATACAGACACAGAAAATTTGAATTTTAAATTAAAAAAATCACCCACTTTCTCTCTTCCATGTTTTTCATTTTTCTGTGTCTATCTCTCTCTTAAAATGGCATAACTTATGTCATTTAAAATGACAAACACCAAACCCAATTATAATATGCCAGTTGCACTACAAATTTTGTTTCCCCATTTGAATTTTTCTGTACAAAAAAGTCAAGGAAATGGGTTTTTTTTTTTCTTTTTTTGTGTTGAGGTGGGGTTGATATAATCAACATGCACGACAGCACGAGGGTTGAACAACCTAACTCAACAGGCTAGGGTGAGGAATGCACGGCCGTGGGATGCTAGGGTGCACATATTTTTCCACAAATTAATTTCCAAGAAATTCTTTTGCTGCAGTTAGGAACTTTCCCACACACATAATATTTTCTATATATAAATTTGTTGAAAATTTCAAAGTCCATATCATCTAGTTTTATTTAGAAATCAAAATTTACAAATTTATTTTGCGTAGTTCTCTACGACTCTCAGTTATGATATTTTGCGCATTAATAATAATCAAGTTCGTGTAGTATAGACATTTTCAGTGTTAGATATGATAGGTATCAGTGTCTCATAAAATTCTACATGTTTTTCCTCCGTTATCTTACTACTAATTCATAACCAACATCATCTATTCTAGAATGACTGCATATAGAAGTGTTAAAAAATTTAAAAGATATTTCTTTTTTTTCTTTTTTTGTAAATAAAGATATTTCTTAATAGTATGCTTATCTCTTAAAATATATTAGAGTGCCTTAAAAATCATGTATTAAGAATAATTTTCATATTTTATTATTTTTTTAGTTAATCAGGATTTGAAATCTAGAATAATATTTTGTCCTTTTGAACATATCATATCGTGATTATTTCAGAATCTCTATTGTTTCATTTCCTTATTTTCTATATAAATTCAAGTAATTTTAATATAGTATGATATTAAAATTCATTACCTACCTGGAGAATAGTTTTTGATTTCTATTGTGTTGAGCTTATGGTACTTGATTACCACGGTACCACCAAGCCCAGATTTTGTGTTTTTTATTTACTTTCGGTTAGGAGGGTTTGGAATTCGGATTGGATCGGTTTTGAAACAAAAATCATTCGATTTAATTTCTTCGGTTTGATCATTTAATCATCCATTTGGTTTGGATTTTATTTTATTTTAAATTTGATCTAATTTTATTGGGTTTGGATTGAATCGGTTTTTTGGTTTTTTGAAAATAGCTATATCAAAATAAAGTCATTCAAAATTATAAACCACTGAAAAATTCAAGCCTTCAAACTAAAATAAGTTTTAAAATGCATGAAGAATTAAAATAGATTAATAAATAGATTAAATTAAGTATCATATTGGCCAATAGTCAGCTTTTGTGGCTGAATTATGAGGTGTTCTCAAAGGTCTTCAATCTGCTTGGAATGAGGGTTGGAGATGCTATATTTTAGAAAGTGATTCAAGTTCAGTTATCACTTTGCTCACCAAAAACGGGAGAGCAGCTCGAGAGTCCCGGCTGGTGGCTCGCATTCGAGCATGATTACGGAAAGATTGGGATGTTCAGCTTATTCATATCTACAGAGAAAGTAATAGCTGTGCAGATTGGCTATCTAAATATCCACTGGACCATGTAATGGAGAATAATCTGTGTATTTTTAGTTCCCATCCCTTTGGTATTTTGCCATTGTATTTGGCTGATTTTTCTTTGGTCTGTATTTTCGTAACGTTGTTTTGACTTAAGTGTTTCTTTTGGGGGGTTTTCTCATTTATGCTTACCAAAAAACAGATTAATAAATAATAAATAACTGAAATAAGATAGTTTGCTATCAATAAAATCCAAGATTTCAAGTCTATAAAATAATAAGGTTCCAAGTCAAAATCTTTCAAAAATAATAAATATATAATATATTGGATCGATTTTCACCAACTACATCAAAAACTGATCCAACCCAATTAAAATATGCAAAAAAATTGATTTTTAATTTTTCAATTTTCAATTTTTTAGTTTGGTCACTGCGGTTTGGATCGGTTGATGACCACTTCTACTTTCGATCTCTCCTTTTTCTTTTATTTTTATGATGATTGATATTTCGTAATATCATAATTGTATATTAGAATAATTTAAAATATATTAGATGATTTCTTACAAAATAATTTTATATATTTTATTATTTAAGAGTTAATATGTTATTTTTTGAACATGCTATGTAATTTTACACACAAAAAATATTATTTAGAAACTCTTGTTTCATCTTTTTCATCTTTACTCAACTCGAGTGAAGAATTTAAGAGATTTAAATAGATAGTGAGAGAAACAAAATTATAAAAAAAATTATTTTGTGTATAATGACATGATCATATGATATTCATAATAATATTAAATTCTTAATACTAAATAAAAAAAATATCTTCATACCTAAAATACTTTTAAATATATTTTTTTTTTGGTGAAAAAATATTTTTAAAATAGGGCAGATTAACTTATACAAGCAGAACAATTAAAGATCTTACATCCAATCTAGCTGTTAATTAAGTGCCTAAATTAAAATAATTAAATATAAATGAATTAACGGCAATTGCACTGGTATTAATTGATCATGTCTATTAAAAGATAATAATATTATTATAAAATATCTCATGTGCTAACAGAAAAATATTGCAATGATGTGTATAAAAAAAAAATATTGCAACGATCTACTTTAAAAAAAGATATTGCAATAGATCTCTTATATATATGAGAAATTATTCTCTCATTTTATATGAAATAACTATCTCATGCTATTTTCATATGAAAAGTTGTGTCACTACTTTTTATTCAATGGGTGATGGATTCCACCACATCATATATCTATGGTAGGAGATACTTATCTCCAATAACACGAGATATGTATATATAAGTGAGTAAATTCTCTTTAGCATAAAGTGACTCCATAATTGTTATTATATATGCAGAAGAATAGAGTAGAGACCCTTATTATTATTCCCTAGTCAAGCTTGCTCGTGATTGGATGTCAAGGGCGTGACGCGAACTGTGAAAGATAACCACGTGGCTAACTTGGCTTGCAATCAATGCATATGACTGGCTGCCTGTGCCAATGCACACTTAAAAAACGTCAAGAGTAATTGTCGGTGACTCGGCCGTTAAATAATTTATTAATGTAAACAAAAACGGTTTATGACAAAAGATATTCGTATAAATTTGTCGCCTTCAGTTTGGTGATGAGAATTAATGTTTAGAGCCAAAAGTAAATATGAAATCACTTTTTGGATGTAGACTACCGAATTAATTTTACGCTCTTCGCGACGATGGAGATAAGTAGTGGAGACACCCATGAAAAAATAAAAAAAAAATTGTAGTAAAATGTGCCCCATTTTACGTACATTTGGTTAGCATAATTTATTTCGACCTTTCCAAAATCCCTCACCCGGGCCATAATGACAACAGTTTCAGAATATGCGCGAGAGAAACGGTTAATATGAATCTTTCGTTACAAAGTTTAAGGGTGTGATGTTTCTCATATTGAATGTGATAAAATTATTTTTTATACATATAAAAAAATACATTTAGTTCATGTAGAGTCATATAAAGAGAAAAGAGAAAAAAAATAATGAGCTCCATATATTCTTATATATATATATATAAGAGAGATGATTTTATCTTTTATAGCATATGAGACATTAAATCCACAGTTTAAACAAGGTAAATTGCAGAAAAGAGCGTAAAAGTATATAAAAAATAGAATTTAATTATGCGAAAAAAATTACGTTATTATCTAATAATACACTATCAGTCAAAAGTTTTAATATTGCTAAATTTATTCAATAATATAATAATATGTTATTAAATAATATTTTATTTTATTTTGTATTAGCAATATATATATATATATATATATATATATATATATATGAGACAGGATCCTTTGACACCGGTGTCAAAAAAAAAGTTTGACACCTCATCTGAGAGCCGTTAGATTAAAAAAAATCAACGATTCTGATTTGTAAGCATGTGACACCATTGATTTTTTTTAATCTAACGGCTCTCAGATGAGGTGTCAAACTTTTTCTTTGACACCGGTGTCAAAGGATCCTGCCTCTATATATATATATATATATATATATATATTTTATATTTATACTTCAAAAGTTAAAAATGTTAATATAATATAATTCGGCCACAATTATTCTCGTAACCAGCACTCGAGTAATTAATTGTCGCATTTCTCTGTGAGATTAATACAACTTTCGTTAGATTACCAAAAAAAAAATACAACTTTCGTTAGTTCAAATATCAATTATCTACCGAGCATTGTAACGTGTGCCTGTCACCCAAGTGGGGGTAATAAAGTAGTGGGAGATATTTGATACTGAAAAAAAAAAATATATCAATTATTTGTATAACTTTTTATTTTTAATAATTTTTGTTAACATGCATGTGTATAAAAACATTAGAATTGTTATTATTTAAATTTATGAAGGCAAATAAAAAAAAGTCATGTGAGGTTGCAAGTCTTATTTATATATATATATCATTAAGTTAGTACTAATGTTGTGGGTCGGGGGCAACGTTCAAATCGAATAATCTATAGCTATTTCAAGCCAAAATTTATAACTAATATATTATATAATAATAATTTCGAATTATGCAAGCGAGTCCAGAAAGGACTTAAAAAAAGGTATAAGCATGTTGATGGAATTCCAAGTTATTTATTTGAATTTTTATGAAGTATATAAGCATTAAGAAAACATCTCAAATATATAAATATTCCTTTAAAAAAAAGTGGTAACAGTTGTAAACGTGGCAGTTGCGGACAGGCTAATATGTTATAGTCTTCTAGAATTAGTTGATCGAGGGTGGGTTTAAGTTAAGAGCCAAATTTAACTTGCGGCTATTACGGCAAAATAGGTTGAAACACAAAATAAAACATGGCATGTTGTTGGTCATGAGTTGTATGTCCCCTTCCACTCTTATTCCAGGTTAAGAACATGTCTCTCCCTTTAACCTCTCTATTTCATTCTTCTCCTTAAATTCTAGCATTTTGGAGACCTTCAATTTCAATTATCTCTATCTTCCTCTCTCTCTCCCTTAAACCAAGTCAGGTAAAAGGGAGAGAGAAGAAGAAGAGCTAGTTGAACACCGAAAAGGTTTTTAAGAAAAGAGGTGAGGTGAGGTGTTCATCATCCATCACCTTAAGGAAAATGGAAGAGCTCCAATACCAATACGGTCGATCCTCCAATGGAGCTAGCACCAACCCATATGATGTGAAAGTGAGAAGCATGAACGACAACAAAATGTGGGTAAGCAACAATAACACGACCTCTTCATCTTGGTATTCTTACGAGGCACCTAAAGAACGTTACGTAACGACGAAGGTGACAAAGTCAAAGAAAACAGACTCGTGGTGGAATAACCCTGAGAGGAAGAGAAAGCGAAGAGTGGCAAAATACAAGCTTTACACATCCGAAGGTAAATTCAAGCAATCTGTGAAGAATGGATTTCGCTGGTTAAAGATCAAATGCTTCAAGTTCGTAACCAATTTCTAGTGCAATGCAATGAATGGAATATGACATCATCTTTATCTTTTATATTTATATGTTTACTATATTAAGAGATATATGATGATGGCAATCGTAGAAATCATGATTAATTGTATACGTTCGTTCTTGCTTGCATGTCTTCTTTTTGTAGCATTTCCCCCAAACTTTCTTGGATTAGTTCTACCATTTTTTTTTATTCATCTGATCTTTTTTCTTCCATCAATGATCGGTGATCGCATAAACCTGATATATATAATGACCTGGGATCGATGTCCATGTTTTTTGATAGCGAAATCCTAAACGCATTTGCAGCAGTAATTTTTATCTTTTTTTCACGTGGCGTGTGTGGTGCAGAATGTAAATAAATAATAATAAAAAAACGTTTAGCCTTATAAATAATTCAAGATAAAAAAAATTAATCTCACTATATATTTAAATTTAAAACAAATGGATTTAAAATTTTAAATAAATAGATCTTGTAAATCTCAAAGTGTATTAGTTAATATAATCCGAAGTAATTTTTTATTAAAATATACTCAACTAAAAAGTTATAAGAATATTATCTTACCAGAAAAGTTAGGGTTAAGTTATTCTATCAACCTTTTCTTATGCTTACTTTACCAACAATTCTCTATTATTGTAAGATCAAAATATTAAGAGGAGAGAAAAATAATAAAAGTTAGTTGATATTTTGATGTAATAGTGTTGGATAGTAATAAATAAAATAAACAGAAAAAAAAATATGTAAAATAATATATCCAAAAAATTATAAGCAATAACAAGCTATGAGTGGTTATATTATGTATCTTTCTCATATGTGTTATCAATTATCATACTAATAATATCTTATAATTTTCTTTTGGCAAAGTGTGCATTAACAATAACATACTAATAATATCTTATCCTATTTCATATTTAAAGTTAGTACTTTTGAAGTTATTTCTTTAAAGGTAATATTGAGAGTAAAACCTCATTCTCCTAAGTTTATTCTTTTACATGTAAAGTTGGTATTTTAAAGTTATTTCTTTTAAAAGTTGTGAATGTGTCATTACTCTCTTCAAATATTTTCTTATTAATCTTTTGTATTCTTTTGATTTATCTTCTATCTTTGAGTTTGTAAAGTTGATAAATGTATTAATATTAGTTATGAGAACGATTTAAAATCAAGCTTAGAGAACTACCTTTGGTACCAAATGAATATTACAAAATATGTAATCTTTTTCCTCAATGATTGAATGATTATGAAGTGATTAACCCACAAGGGGATCAGAATAACTATACTTATATCCGTCATACAGAACCCAGTAAATTTGTGCGCTCACAGAATTGAGCATTAGTCATTCAGTTAAAGATTACACGTTTCTTTATATGTTTGTATCTAAAATCCACAAAAGTTAGGGTATGTTTGAATGAAGAACCCACAAAGGTCTGGGCTTATATTTATTATTATTCATGATATTATTTTCTTATTATAAACATGTTTTTGAGAAAATAATATTTTTCACTAAAGAGACTGGATTAATTATAGTTTGAAAATCGTAATATTATTGAAATTTTTCTAACATGTGTTTATATTTATGCTAACTTTTCCATAAAGTAAGCAAGCCAGTATATGTAGCGTTGGAGTTGGATAAACTATATGATTAAAACTTTTGAAGATAGTTCAGAGTTCAGTAGAATGATTGGTAGAGTGGAAATTTTTTTTTTAGATGATGATGATGTAATATAGACTACTTCAGATGTATCAGAGAATTTGATTTCAATCTAATATATAATTAAATTTAAGTGTATTTTATTTAATATAATTTAAGAAGTAATTTAATTTTATTATTACGCTGTACTTAATACTATGCAATATTAACGTACCGATAGATAACATGGTGTTAAAATAAGGCTCCTTTAACTAATAATGGCAACATAGTGACATCGGAAACGAAGCCATGGGTTCCAAATTGAAGGAAACTCACCGAAAAAGCAAAATATAATATACAAATAGCGGCATATATATAGTTGATGCGTGGTAATATGGCATGGAATAACCAATTTGTTGAAATAAAATTGTTGATCTAGTGGAAATCTAATTAGATATCAGGATTTAATTTATTCAAAAGGTAATAACTTCAAATATTGAGTTCTACAATTTAATTTATGTCACATTTTCTTAAATGTCACGCAAATAGTATTTTTTATTTGACTGTCACATGTTTAGATTTACTATCCTTCATAGCAAACTTGGTTAGGTTATGTGACATATTCTCATTAGTGTATCAAGTTCGCTACCAGTCATAGCGAACTTTGTCACCTATAATTTTATGCTACTTGTACATTTTGCAAAAAAAAAAAAAAAACTAACTTAACTAAATTCATTATGACTGTTAACGAATTTGGCAAACTAATTGAAATGTATCACGTGATCTAACCAAGTTTGCTATAGTTGGTAACAAATTTACACACATAACATTACTGTTCGTGTGATATTTAGACAAATTTTTCTAAATAACGTGACAATAATTTTATCACTGCTCCGAATATAAAGATATACAAATCCAAAATTGGATTATTTTGATGAAACAAGTGAGCAAACAGAAGGATTAATTTTGATTTCCGATCGTATAGGTTTGGATTCAATGTGCACAAATGCACATTTATGTATTTCTATCATTAGTCTCTCTCTCGCTCTCTCTCTCTCTTTGTCATTAGTAATCCTATCTTTGCATAGAAGGCACTCTACCAACTGTTTTGTTGACTTGAATAGCACATGGCAGAGTTCTAGTGAACATAGATTAATTATGCAATATGAATCTAATCTAAGATTTTTATAATCATAAAGGTGCAATTATAAGAGTATAGTGACATAACATTGCAACGCAATCCCATATAGTCCTAGTCTCCTAGATACTTTTTTCTGGTAACTATTTTAAAGAATGATTATTCAAAATAATAATAGTAAAAATAAATCAAATTAGTTGTAGTTTATCAAAAATAAACCTATGTGTACCCTCTATTTGTTTATTTTTAATTTGAATCCGAAAACCATACCCCTCCACAGTCCCACACACGACCTCACCCCTCTCTCTCTCTCTCTGGTCATTTTCAATCGCTGATTTTTCTTTCCCTCTCTTACTTGTGTCGTGTCTCACTCTCACACTGAAGTCACAGATCTTTTCTCCGTTCCTCGCTTTGATTAGTTTCGTGGACAAATTGAGAGGCATTTTTAAAAGGGTGAATGAGCAAGGGAAGGGTTTTGTTTTGTTGTGTTGTGTTGTGTTGTGTTGCCCTTTTAAAAAATTCAAAATTTATTTGGATTGGTAGATGATTACTGATAATAAAGCGTATGCATTGCCTGCAATTGTGATTGCTGATTCTCGTGATTTTTGCAACAAGGACTCTTGAAGTTTGAAATTGGGGTTCTGAAGGATCTCTCATTTCAGGTAAGATTTCAATTAACTATTTTCTATTGTATTTTCAGGTCCGCTAGTTTCATTCAAAATGTTATTTGATTTGGAGATGAGAGATTTGGGTTCTGGAGTTGAGAGAACCTAATTGTCAAAAAATGTTTCCTTTCACCACACAACACTACACTCTGTATGTTGTTCATGTGGAATCTTGCGTTGTTTAACTGTGTTAGGAAAAACGAGAAATGGGGATGGAGAAAAAACGTTCCAAGGGAAGCTTCCTCAGCTTGTTTGATTGGAATGCCAAATCTCGAAAGAAGTTGGTTTGGAACAATCCTACCTTACCTGGTAATATTAATAACGTGCTGTCTCTCATGTTCGTTTTTATTGTTGTTGTTTGCTTGCCATGTCCATATATTGAATATTCTTCTTCAATGCTTTTGTCGCACTCTCCTGTTAGTCTAATGTGCCTATTCTAAATGTTTCCGCCACATTAACTGTAGAGGCTTCAAAGCAAGGAAAAGAAAATGTGGAGAACTTGCCCAAGTCGCAGCTCAATAGGGTGTGCATTTGTTCCACTTTTTGCAGTCTGCTTGTTATTTGTTGTAATTTTTACATTTTGTTAATTTTTTTCGTTGATTATTGCAATTGTTTCAGGTAAAGGTGGATGAAAATGGTGCTAGTTCAAGTAATATTGCAAGTTGTGATTTTAATTCCACCCTCTCAATTTGTAGTGATGAAGGATGTGGGAATAAAGCCCCTGGGTTAGTAGCGAGACTAATGGGTTTGGATTCATTGCCAGCTTCGGCAGTCACTGACCTCTCCTGCACTTTGTTGAATGGCTCTAACTCTCATGGAGCTCCTCATCCTCATGAGGGTGCTCTTCATTCAATGGATGACGTGCGCCATGTGGAATACATAAACAAGGCACCTAAGCTGGAGAAGTCTTCTTTGGGTGCCATGGAATCTAGGGCACAGAAAGTGGAAAACCGGCCAATAAAGAGATTCCAAACTGAAATGTTGCCTCCAAAGTCAGCTAAACCCATTCCAGTTACTCACAATAAACTCTTGTCTCCTATCAAGAGTCCTGGTTTTCAGACACCAAAGAATGCAGCAGATATAATGGAGGCAGCTGCTAAGATAATTGAGGCAAGCCCTCGGCCATATATGAAGAATAGAATGTCTTCAGTTGGGCCCTCATCTGTTCCCTTGAGAATTATTGATTTGAAAGAGAGATTGGAAGCTGCACACTATGCATCCATGCCTGAAAAGCTCATGGATCCAAGCACTGCCAACCCTGCAAATGGCAAGTCTAGTGAGACGAGCAGTAATTTGTATAAATGTACTTCAGCATTCAAGAGTTCAAGAGATTCAGAAAAAAATAGTTCTTGTCATCTAGCCAGTAATGGAAAATCAGTTTCACTTGCAATACAAGCCAAAACCAATGTTCAGAGCCAAGTTACATTGTCTTCAAATGTTAATAGGAAATATATGAAGCAGAAAGAACAGAACGGGATGAAGTCAAACCAGTTCTTGAGGAGCCAGAAACCAAGTACACACCAAGCCATGCAGCAGAGAACTTGCACAAGCCGGAAAAGCAATGTTCTTGCGCAGAATAATCAAAAGCAAAATGGAGGGACCACCAAAGGTAAATCTACTTCAAAAATAGATTCCAATAAGCCAACAACACAAGCTTCGTCTTCAGAAAATTCTTCTGGAATAAGGAAGGCGTCAAACAAGGGTGCTGTAAATGCCAATATTCAGCCTAAAAGGTCAACCACTAGGGCAACTGATAACAAAAATGAGTTTCCAGCATCCAAAACAGAGAGTATTTCCCGGAAGAAAAAGTATATCAGCAGAGGTGTTCATGAGGCAAGAGGTCCTGATAATGCAGTTAATAATTTTGAAAGCAAGTCCATAAAATGCAATATTACAACTGATGGAAGTATTGATCAGGATGCATTTAACATGAAAGAAAGCAAGGATGTTATCTCATTTACTTTTACATCTCCCTTGAGGAGAAGCTTGCCTGAGTCACCATCCTCTACTGAGCAAGTGATGGGAACGAGAAATAAAATTGGTGTTCATTCTCTTGGGCAAAGTGATAACTTTTATCCCAAAAAATTATCATTATCTCCTATGATAGACAGTGATGCTTTAAGTGTCCTGTTGGAGAAAAAGTTGCAAGAATTGACATCTAGAATTAACTTACCTCAATGTACCCTGGCCACAGAGGGCTCTTCTGCTGGTTTGAGATCTAGTTTGCAAGACAAAGTTTCCAGTATGGTAAGCACCACTTCTAGGGAACAAGACCAAAGCTTTCACCCTGACCTGTTCAGTGATAAACTGGATAGCATGCATGAGTATCGTTGCTGTTCAAGTGATGATCCAGTGCTTAATATGAATCAGCAACTGCAGGTATCTCATTTCTTTTATGTTTTCAGCTTCTTCTATTATGATTTTCATTTCAATTATTAATTATTGAAATATCTTCCTACTAACTTTCTGCCATCAATTAATAAAGAGAATATGTTGAAGGGTTTAGGTTAAGAAAAGGAATGTTGAGGATGCAAACTACAAATTTCTGAGATTTGGTTTAAATGTTCCACACATCATTTACAGAATTAGATTTTACAAATTAGGTTATTTTCAATTTTCGATAATCTTTGAACTGAGAAGAACCATATGCTTATTATCTTAGTACTTAATCACTTGTGCAGACATCAGATGTAATGGAAGATCCTTGCTGTAGCAGCAACAGTGCAAGTGGAAATGATCTAGCTGTTACAGTTTCTGAAACTTCTTTTGTCAGTGAAAGTTACTTGAATAGTGAAGACAGTTCATATGGTAATGTTTTAGTTTTTATCTTTTCACTGCTGATGAGCATAATTTGTTCAGATCCAAAAGCAAAATCTCACAACTTGTCTAGCTTTTACCTTCATAATAGAAATTGAATCAAGGAGTCAAAGAACCAGAAGGCTTTCTTGTTATTATTATTTTTTCTGTAATGCCTATCAGTGCTTCCTCTTTTTCAGGCAGCAGATTTGATTCTTCCATGCAAGATGAAGAAATATCTAATTTTTCCCAGATAAATGAATCTGTATCACTTGAAAATGAGGTGAAATGGCCAGAGCTAAGCTCTTCCACATTGGTGGGGGGAAATGTGGTCAAACAATTAAGCGGAATTTCAAATTTGGTAGATTTTAAAAGATTAAGGAACATGGAACTTGAATATGTACAGGATATACTTAGCAATGCAGAGTTTATGGCTGAAGAATTTGTCATGGGTCACGCTAATACGGTCATAATGCCAAATCTCTTTGATCTGTTGGAGAATCAGAGTAATGGAACAGAAAACTATGGAGAAGAGTACTCCAAGGTTGAAAGGAAGGTTTTATTTGACATTGTAAGCGAGTGCCTGGAGTTGAGATGTAGGAAAGCTTTTGTTGGAAGGTGCAAAGCATGGACTAGATGGGTGACATCAGTTCAGAGGAAGAGCTGGTTGGCAGAGGAATTGTACAAGGAGATGCTGGCTTTTAAAAGCATGGAAGAGGTAATGGTAGATGAGCTTGTCAGCAAGGACATGAGCACTGGATGCGGTAGATGGCTTGACTTTGACGTTGAAGCATTTGAAGAGGGTTTAGAGGTTGAGCAGGACATACTAGATTATATGATTAATGAATTGGTTTTTGATTTGTTGCTTGTTTAACCCTTTGGTGGCTTCCAAATTTTTCCAATATATATATTATGTAATGGGTATGAAGAAAATGATCCATACCATTAAAATTCTTAAAAAGAAAAGGGGGGAAGTGTCCCGTGGAATAGTAGAGTTCCTGTTAAGGAACTTATTTATATGATTAGTATAGTTGTTGCATTGGAAAATTTATATGTCGAACGTTAATGAATTTCCCCGTTGAATTGCTAGTCTGCGTCAATCATCGATCCTTTCCGCTACTGAAGACGTCTTGTTTTTCAGTGAGAATAGCTTCGATGGAAAATTTGAATCGTGAGTTATTGTTGTGGTCACTGGCCATTATTCGTTGTAGGGCGTGAAGTTATTGTTGACAACCAACTCCTTTGAATGCCACAAGTTTAAACGTTTCTTTTGTCTGAATATTTAATATTCCTTACACTCCTCCTCCACACCTTTTGTGAATTGTGGAAGAACTATTTCTCTTTATATGTTCAACATACAGGCTAATCAAAATGGGGTCAACAAACCAATGTATCATGTTTCCAATGTAGTGATGGGCTCAAAGCCCACTTCAAACTTCATTAACAATATTAAGCTTATGAAGGCTAAGATTATTTTGTTCGAAAATGATTTGGGGTGATCACATTCACGGGTCTAGTAGATTGGTGAAGCCTTTGATTTTCATTCGATCTCATTTGATTTTCATTTTTATTTATAAGTAAATACGAAAGAATTTTTTTCTCTACAAGAAAAAAGATTAATAAACCAGCAAAACTATTCTTTAGCTTTTATGAAAAGATTTAAGTGTTGGCGTAAATACTAGTTTATACAAAATAAAAATTCAATAATAACTCACTCTTGTTTCATATTCATATTCTACGAAATATATATAAAACTCCAGGTATCAAACATTGAAAAGTTTTTTTCTTTTCTCTTTATTACTTATCTCATTTATATTTAACATTTCAAAATAAAAAACAGTTTTAAGTTAGAAGTGGGGAAATTTATTAGCTAACTATAATATTTTCCCTAATATGCTTGTATTGAATTTTTCGTCCTATTGATATGTGATTTGGACAAGATTCTTCGAATTTTATAACTAATGATCTTCCGGTTACTAATAAGTAAATTTATCGTTGCTCTAAGACTGAAAATTTAATAAAATCTTTACTCCTATTTTTTTTTAAAAAAGAACTAAATTATCAAAAATACATGATTTGTGATCTTTATTATTTTAAATTTATTTTATAATTAAAAATTGAACTAAATTTACATAAATATGAATTTCTTTGTCCATTTTGATGGACTTATCATTACATTTATTATATATATATATATATATATATATATATATTTTATATAAATAAGATTCAAGTTTTTAATAATAAAAATTATAATAAAGAAAAAATTCATGTTTAGGAATATATATAATAATTCATAATTTATAATTATCTATAAAATTTATAATTTGTTTACCAAAAAAAAATAAAAATTATAATTTGATGTATTTTGATAATTTCATTTAAATTTATAATTTGATGTATTTTGATTAATTTATTTATATATATTTTTATAAGATTAAATTATTCGAAGAAAATAATAATAAAAATAATTAAATTTTAAAATAATTTCATTAAAATTTATGTTTATTTAATTTATTAATATATTTATTGAATAAAAAATAGTTCAAATTATTGTATAATAATATAACAAAATTTATATTTAATTATAATAAAAATACTGAGTTCGACGCCATTCCAAGTTCCAACTAACAACATTTTTATAATAATTTTGTACTAAAAAAGTAAAAGCAGAGCGCCGAACTCAACTTCAATCGTTTGTTAACGCTCTTGTTATATTTATTTATGTATCTATCTATGTTGTTATTTGTTTGTTTTTTCGCAGTCAGTTGTTTGTTGCAGTTCTCTTCTCGGGAATAGCAGAATAATGGAACTCCAAACTCCAAGCAATAATGGCCATAACACAAACCAAGATCTTCCCAAACCCAACAATGGCGAAGCCCTTCATCCTCATCACTCTTTCTTCGAACACAACGACAGCGCATGTTCCACTCCTTACGTCAGCGCCCCTTCCAGTCCCACTCCCATCACCGGCTTCTTCTACAGTGCTCCGGCGAGTCCAATGCACTTCGCCATAACCGCCGGTTCATCTCAGTCTTCTTCTCTGCCTCCTGCTAACGAGTTTGAATTCTCGGCGCGCTTCGGCTCGACCGGGTTTAACAGTTCCGGTTCGATGAGCTCGGCTGATGAGTTATTCTTGAACGGTCAGATCCGGCCCATGAAGCTTTCGACCCATTTGGAGCGGCCACAGGTACTTGCTCCCTTGCTGGATCTGCACGAAGAAGAAGAAGAAGAAGAAGTTGAATCGTCGCATGTGGTACGAGGTAGAGATCTGAGGTTGCGTGATAAGTCACTGCGCAGAAGAACAAGATCTTTGTCGCCTCTGAGAAACACACCTTCAGAGTGGACAGAGAACGAGGATGTAACCTTAAGGGATGATGAAAATACGAACAAGAAGGGTTGTTCCTCGGAGAATAAAGAAGGGGACAGTATGTGTTTGGAGACATCTCCAACTCCTTCGGTTTCAGCTTCTTCTTCGAGGTCTTCTTCAGCTGGAAGGAGTTCAAAGAGATGGGTTTTCTTGAAGGATTTTCTCAGAAGCAAAAGCGAAGGAAGGAGTAACAACAAGTTCTGGTCCACCATTTCCTTCTCTCCAACCAAGGATAAGAAAAATCAGGGAAATGGGTCTTCTGGGATCCCAAAATCCAAGGGAAATTCCCAAGCTTTCTCGAAGAAGGTTACCGGCAAGCCAACCAACGGCGTCGGAAAGAGACGGGTGCCGCCGTCGCCGCATGAGTTGCATTATAAAGTGAACAGAGCTCAAGCAGAGGAGCTGAGAAAGAAGACTTTTTTGCCTTATAAGCAGGGTCTGTTTGGGTTTAGTTCCAAGGGTTATGGTGCTGTGAGTGGCTTTGCTAGAGCGTTAAACCCTGTCTCCTCCAGATAAAATGTTCTATTGGGGTTTTTTTTCATAAAAAAAATTGTATAGATCGATTATTAATATCACTATCATTTCTTCATTTTGGAATCGTTTAGAGTAGATTAGTTTGGAAACTTTGAGATCCCACATGTATCAATTGTTGAAGAAGGGGATAGTATCCTCCATTCCACGAGAGGCTTCTTCTTTCCCCCATCGTCCTTGTATAAGCCGATAAACTATGTGCAATGTATTATGTTTACTCGCAGCATTTTACTATTTACACTTGCTGTGCAGTAACTCTATTTTATATTCACACTTGTCTTTCTTAGTTCTAGGTCTGAAACTTGATGCGTTCGATCCAACTCCACGGTTAATCTTAGGGATTAATATTTTTTATTATAAGAAATAATTTTATCTTTTAAATATAAAATTTGTGTGGGATCATATTAAGAAAAATAAAAATAAAATAAGTTCTATATATTTTTATATATATAAAAGATAAAATTATTTTTTAAAACATGATAATCTTCTCTGTTTAGAATGGTACCCTCTAACAGCCTCCTCAGTTTTTCTCCCTTTTTCTGTCTAAATCCATTTGTCGTGGTTAAATCAGGCCTAAGCAACGTCATCATTGGTTAGTATGTTTACAGCTTGTACTACCGATATATAATATACACAAGGGGGATAGAGAATTGCATCATACTACAAAGTTGTATCATTAAATTCATGTAAAGGGATTCCCAATAATAAAAAAAAGGGGGGGACGGTTTCAGAATCCACGTGGTGTGGGGAGCCCTATGAGGTGGTTTAGGCCCCAGAGTAACAGTGTAAACACAACTCAGTTGCATATGGCAAATAGATGAGATGACCCCAGTTTGCTCCTTGTCTAATTGCCTATCCTAATACTTGCTTTGGAGGGCCATAAGGTGTTTACATTTATTATTATATAATTATACCATCATGATTGTTGATACATCATATTGGATTTAGTTAAAAGAGTTTTGCTAACATATATGCGACAAGGTGCCTCTTGAGATGTGGACATAAAGTAGATTGAGATTATTTGATATTGACTCACCTATCAGTACATTACAAGTTGGAAAGGAACCCATAAGAGATGCTCTGTATATTCTTTTGGCTGCTTTTATATGTGTCTTTTAAATGTGAGTTTTATAAGAGATATGTTGTAGGAAAAGTGATTGTGTAATATTATAGAGATTCGTTTTACGTGTCATAGTTTTTTTTTTTTTTTTTTTTTTTTTGCTTTAAAAAGTGCGAGCTCCACAAAATATTGTGTGTGTAGGAAAGTTTTTCTGATCATGTTAAAGGACAAACTAAAACCCCTTTAATAATATTATACTGTATACTGCCCTCTCACTTTTGCCCAGTACTAGTACTATTGATTATTAAAAGGATTTCCGAGGAGTTGTTAGTTGTTAATATACCTGGCGGAAAATGTTCAAAATTTAGCCAAAAACTGAGGTATGAAAGTCAATGAGGCCACCGCTCCTTGATAAGCCGGTGGCATTTGTATTTTAGCTTTTTATTTTTATTTTTAATACAACGAAAAATTAAACACATAATATAAATTGTTCAAATCTCTCAAATACTAGACCAATTCTAATTGTTTATATTTTAGCTGCTTCAAAACCTGAAAGTTACAGCAAAATCACGCCCCGTTCTCTCGACTCCAGTTTTATTATTTAACAATTTGGAGTTACGTCCCAATTTCTATGTTATCTCAGGAATCAATGGTAGTAAAATAAGAGGCCGTTTTTAAGGAAACCCGCCAAAATAAATAAATAAATTGGAGACTTTTGTTTCTTTTTTTCTTTGGGGTACTAAATTACGGAACAGTGACCATTTTGTCACCGTTGACAAAAAAATTTATCAGACTGTCACGCAAACAGTAAATTTTGTCAAAATGTCACGTGACATATTTCGCTATACTGTGTAGCGAAATATGTGTGCAAATAATTCGCTACACAGAGCAGCGAAATATGTCACGTCAGAACCAAAAATGCCACGTGTCAAACATGGAAAATTTCGCTATACAAGGAATTAACAATTTGGATTTTCTATATAAATTGTTAATTCCTTCTATAAATCTTTTACACCAAAATCCAAATGATTCTCTGATTGGTATACATTATTCAAAAATGCAACTTTTTCGGTTGTGTAGCGAAATTCTCTCTATTTGACACGTGATATTTTTAGTTATGTGCATTTTAACGTGACATATTTCGTTACACTGTGTAGCAAATTATTTGTACACATATTTCGCTACACAATGTAGCAAAATATGCCACGTGATATTTTGACAAAATTTATTATTGACGTAGTAGTCTGATATTTTTTTTTTTTTGCCAATAATAACACTTTGTTAATTGTTCCACTAAGTTACTAACTAGCTCTAGGGTTTAGACTTTAGAGGAGTGTTTAAGTATTGAGAGAGGGATGTTTAAATTTCTTACCTTTCTTAGTACCTAAACACTGTTCATCATTTTGACGCTTCCGTTCAATCACCTGCGTACTTTACCTGTTCCTAGGATTCCTTTTCCTTCGTGCCAATTTCTTGTTCTTTTTGCCCTCTTTTTATTTTTTTTAATATTGACATAATATTTGCCACTTGTTTGTTTGGTCGAAACTTTTTTTTTTAGTACACTGGTCGAAACCTTTTAACTCAAGGGGAAGAAAAAAGAAAAAAAAAATGGATCCTTAATGGCTTCACTATGCATTTAAAAATAAAATTTTACTTAAAAAAATAATAAAAGAGAATAAAAAATTGTAAAACATAAAATCATAACATAATAATAAAAATAGTTTTATAAGAGTTATGTTGTAGGAAAAATGATTGTGTAATGTTATAGAGATTCGTTTTGCGTGCTGTAGTTTTTTTTTTTTTTTTTTTCAAAAAGTGTGGGCTTCACAAAATATTCGGTGTGTAAGAAACTTTGTTGTGTCATGTTAAATGATAAATGCAAATCTCTAAATAAAAATTATAAAAACGTAAAAACATTTAAAATATTAATAAAAATTTTTGATAAAAAAATAATATAAAAATATAATAATAAATAGAGATTTTAACTTTTAACTCCAAAAAAAAAAAGAGATTTTAACTTTTATAACTATGGGAAGAGAATATGAGTGTCGCCAAACTCAACGCAAACCTCTATGCATTAGAGTCAGGATTATGGTAACAGGTAACTCTTTTTGTCTGTTTGCTATTCCGGGAAAGTGTAGTGTGATCTTCAATTCAATCACATCAGATTACTCGCAAAGGTGCTCATTCGTGCTTGTGGGCCTTGTTGAAACGGCACTAAAATGGGGTAACCTACCATTTCTGAATTCTAATTGGTATGAGTTGGATTTTGCCAAATTGATGACCTTTTCTTCTTTTCCTCTTTCTCCCCACCCTACCACCAAGCCAGGGCACAGGGCACAGGTAATTGCAGGCCCTGGACCATCTTGCAGTACACGTAATTGTACCTATAATCACTATTTGTGCAATTAACAGACAATAATGAAGATAATGGGGCAACAGAAATTAGAGAATTGAGCTTGAAAACAAAGAGACAGAGAGAAAATGAATTTCAGCAATTTAGAAATGTCAAATTGTTTCCTTTTATTTTTATTTATGACTAAATTTTTCCAGTTTATGCAACCAACATATAAGTTGAATAAGAAATTTGTTGGAACTTCTGAAATACAGTGAAAATGGGAAAAACAAAATTTTATATAAAATGTTGTCTTTATTATTAGTGATAGAGCGTTGAGACGAAAACTCTTAACTATGTATATCTTATAGTCAATATGCATTAGAAGGGTTTAATGGAAATTCTATAAGCTCCTTTCACCTCTTAGGAAAGAAAACTGCTCTTCAAACCTTGTCTCGTAAATCATAGCGGCAATGATAATTTCTTACATGAATAACGATCTTGTGCAACAAATATAATTTGGGAAACTGCATTCAGACACCAGACGAAAAAGTTGCTAGTTATGTCTTTATGGGCTTTGCATTGAGCGTGTTCTGTTCTGGTTCGGACATAAACAGATACAGCTTCTTGTACGTGCGAGATTATGATTGTAGGCCGGCAAGGACAGTCACAATCAGAGGATCGAAAACCAGCTAAACTTTTAACACTGCATTGCTTGCAAGTTGCAACCAAAACAGCTCAATGAAAAAGTAACAGTAAAAGGAAAAAAAAAAAAAAAAACTACAATGATCTCCATATTAAACCTGAACCTGATGTCATCCTAATTGGTTTGTATATGATTTCTCAGATGAACGTCTATCTTTTGCTTTAATTTTTAGGACCTAATACATGACAAGTGCAAAAAATGTGCGTAAAAGACATATCTCAGGAATTACAAATTATATCTCCCCGCAGAATTGAAAGCAATGACTCTTCTAACACCATAAGATCAAGCAAAGGTAGATAAGATGTTCTTCTTGAGAGTGAATTCGTCTGCCTTTGCTGCGCTGATTGACTGCACCAAAAGACAGAAAAATTCAAGCATGTTCAAACAAGTAATCCAAATTGACGTCAAATATGATAGCTTTTTACGTGCCAGTTCAGTACAGAACATTTACAATTGAAAACTACTTCTGTAATTAAATCATCAGTGCTGCTTCCCATTGGCCAAACCTAATCATTTTTGCTAGTTGATTACTTAGAGTGTTAGGCATATCACCATCAGACTCTTTACTTAAACCTTCAATAAACAAGAATTACGAGAACAGTGCTACCATTTACATCGTCACAAGTAGTATGATACTTAGAGCTCCTAAACTTGACAATCAAAGAATATCTTCACTGTTAAAAAAGTGTAAGAAGCAGTTGAAAAAAAGAAAATGGAGTTCCGTTAAAAAGAACCCAACCCATACGTAGCAGGGGTTATTTATACAAAATGTTTATTATTGTGATATTTTTATTTAATAGATAAACATTTAGTGAATGTTTTAGTTGATTTTGCTTTAAGAAAAGCCTATACTCAATCTTAACATACTCAGAATATAAAGTTCGTAAGGAATGGCTTTGGTACAAAGCAGTTTGTTTAAAAAATTTGTTGAGTTGTAGAATGTTAATCCAAAAAATTCCTTATCTTGTTGCTATGCGGCAAATAATTTCTTGTTCAAGAGAACTTGAGAGGAAAAGCAGTGTATATATGCGCATGGCCATAAACTTATAAGGTTTAATCTGTGATTCGGTTTTTGAATATTTTTCAAAACGAAAATACTGAATTTAACCCAACTATTATTTCTCAGGTGGTTGCTTCATCTTTCAAATAATTTTCATGTCGGTGGACATAGGCCCACCCATCTCAAGAAGAGAAATAATGTCCAATTTGATAAGATGATATTCATGTTTCATATTCGATATTTTAATCGTATTATACACTGATATATTTATGATATTAAACATGAAAAATGGAATAAATTACCTTCTCAAGCATGCGCTCAAGACGTTGAATCTCATTCTTTGCATAGTCTGAACCCTTTTCCATACTGTTCTTAGCAAGTTTTAAGTAGAGGTTACCATATCTGGGAGAAACAAAAAGACACATCAAAGAAAACGAAAACAAAAACAAAAAAATATTCTTTTGTAGAAAAGAAAGACTTGTAGCAGAACATTTTGGGCTTCACAATAACCACAATTCAATATAAAAGTTATGTAAACCAGAACATAGCAGAACCATAAAATCATTCAAACCTGGCATCAGAGCCCTTAAGCTTTTTAACTTCATCCTCAAGCCGGGAAAAGACTGCCTTCTTTTCATTATTGTCAGCACTCACAAACTCCTTCACCAAGTCATCCAGAGATTCTATTATACCAGCCTACAGCAAGAATAATTAAGCCATTCAAATATAAATGTTAGCTAAACAATATAGCTAATAATAAAATATATCATTCTGGTTGTTTTATTAGTAAACATATATTGTTTAACTAACTTTAGAAGTAAGTTGTCCCTGCCCGTCACGGTTGGTGCCACATCTCTCATTAATGAAAGCTACAAAATCATTCAAATCACGACCACCATCATAATCTTCACCAGCTTTATTGCTCTTTGGGAAAAACTTCAATGTGGGATAACCACTAATACCATATCTGTATTGGCAAGCTTCACAAATTAGGCACACACACTTCAGAAATATGATACCAACCAAGTTTAATTAGAACACAAATAAAAATGTCACTGAACATACTTCTCTGCCAAATCCTTGTTCTTGTCAGCATCAACATTGGCTATAACTACTTTTTCCTCCAGTTTAAATGCTGCAGCAACCTTTTCATAAGTCTGCAGAAATATTTAAAGTTTTATCAGGATTGACCTTGATATAGACACAAGCAGGGGAAACTCATTAAGCTATAACTATAAGCTAAATTAGAAGTCTAAGGACCGGATAACATCCTTACAGGGGCAAGGGCCTTGCAGTGACCACACCTGGAAGACATAATCAAATTTATGAAGAAAAAATATTCAAAAAAAATTTGAAAAATGAAAAATATTTCACCATATGATAAGGTTTTGGAAGATCATCTGATGGTTAATCTATACTTACCATGGTGCATAGAACTCCACCAGAACATCTTTTGTTTCATCCAAGACAACCTCATCAAAGTTATCTGAGGAGAGAACTACCACACTGGATGGGATAGAAGCTAACTTCACATTGGTACCTACATTAACAAGACATTTGATACCAATGACAAAATCAACTGAATACTACGCTAACAAATGTTAAGTTGAGAAACACTCAAAATGCCATGTAGAACAAAGAATAGATGGCAAATTACCAATCCAGCAGGGTACAGTAGAGACACTGAAAAGGATGGCAATAAAAGAGGATAACAGCATGGGATGGTTATATTGTTAAGTATTCAGTACATTGACTCAAAAGTCAATGATAATGTTGGATAATAATTTCAAACAAAATCAATCAGAAATGCATGAATGTAACACAATCCATTTAGTCATAAATAGATGTGAAAGGATGACAGTAGCTTCCCCTGCAAGTGCATACCAACAAAGGAAAAAAAAACTTACGTTCAACATTCTTAAAAAAGCATTTGAAAGTACTATATTCCAGATATTGTAAACTTATTGATACTCTTCAGATCTCCTATACAATTAAAAAAAGAAATTCAAAATATGCTAAAGTTACAACCCCAAGATTAGCATACCAATCAACAAACTTGTTTTAAAACACAAATATTGACATCATGCAAATAAGCAGAAGAAGAGATTTTTATTTTTATTTTTTTAAAAAAAAGACAACTAACAACAGCAGAATTCAACAAATACCAAGAGACCAATTCTCATAAATACCTCCTTCAATGTTCACAAACGCAACAAGGGCTTCTGCAGTACGTGCACCTTCATACCTAAAGAAGGTAGAATTTTTTCAGATGTTAGTAACACAAGCAATGAAAAGCATCAAGTTCAGAACAGGAAAATTTCTGACATTTTCAATGGTAAAAATAAAATAAAATGAAGTTTGAAAGTGAAATAAATAGGCAAAGTTCTCACTTCTTTGGTTCTAGAGATCCCTTAGGAAACCACAGAATTGTAGGGTAACCAGAAACCCCATATTTACTGCAAAGGCTTTTATGAGCATCACAATCCACCTGCAGCCGTATGAAGTTCAAATTATTAACCAAAGATGGTCCCAATTATGATATCAGTAAAACTTAAAGATGAAAAATAATGAGAGACAGTGACAGTGATTAACCTTCCCAATCAAAATGGACTTGGTTTTTCTAAAACTTGTTCCAAGTGTTTCAAACTCTGGGGCAAGCCTTTTACAGTGTCCACACCTGACATGGAAAACACAAAATTTCTAAAGGAAAAGAAGACATCAAATTTTTATTGAGTTGAAATAGTCAAAACACATAAAGCGAAGCGCAGCATCAGATCAGAGAATTGAGATTTGTTATTATTACTTACCAGGGAGCATAAAACTCGACGAGAGCGCCGCGATCCTTGCCAACCTCATTTTCGAATGAATCCTCTGTGAGCACGACGACGACGTCGTCTGCTGAAACCGATGAGAGAAAAACCAGAGCCATGGCTCCCACACATAACATCATCCTCATCTTCGAGCTCAACATTGTTAGCTTAGCTTCGCTTCCAGTTCCTCGTCGATATTTCTAAAATCAAAATGGAAAACCGTTAAGGCCTGTCGATGTTATATATGAATTCATGCACCTCGCTTCCTCTGATCACACTGTCTGTTCCTCTTTGCTGTTATATATGAATTCTCTTTGATGTTCCTCTTTTAATTTTCTTTCCTTACCTAATGATAATTATGCTACATAGAAGGAATATTAATAAGTCATTATAGTTTCTTTTAAGTTTACGTAGTCCAATAAAAATCCTATTATACTTTCTCCCAGTGTTATTAATTTAATGTAAATGAGTCTTCTCAACCCTATTGATTTTAAACCCTTATTATTGATTTTGAGATTTTAAAAGAAAGAATAAATATTTTGGATTTCCTTAAACCGACATTAGTAAGGTGTTCAAAATTATATTTTATTTTTAAAATCACAAAGCTCATATTAATTTTTTTAAAAATTAGGAGTGACTAAAACAAGAAAAATGATCATATATTTATAGGATAGGATCCGTTTGTAAGAGTTTGTAAACAAAAAAGTTTATAAATATAACCTGCCACATAGCTATTCATGAAAAATGATTGCAATTTGAGTATATCTAATACATACACTTTTTTTTGGGTACATTCTAATATATACAAATTTAAATACAAGTAGTGATTAGCTGTGTAAATGGGTTGTGCCGGTCTATAGGTACCTACGGCTTAGCCTATTAGAAATAGATAATCGAATTGAATAGGCCTGAGATTTTTAAAAAATCTATTTAAAAAATAGAACATCGACTTTTTTATATATGTCGGACCTATAAGCCTACAAGTGGGCTTATATCATATTATTTATTTTAAATAAAATAAAAAAATTAATATTTTGATAATTTTAAATAATAAAATAATATTATTTTAATTTTTTTTTCTAATAATTAGGATATTAATAATTAAGATAATATAATTTAAGTATGAGTTTTATAAGAGTTATGTTGTAGGAAAAATGATTGTGTTATGTTATAGAGATTCGTTTTGTGTGCCAAAATTTTTATTTTTTTTTGCTGCGAGACCCAATATTAAATGATAGATGATAAACTAGTATACATAAAATAAAGTATTTTGTCCTTCAAAAACTACTATTAAAGGGGTGTTGCGAGAATCGAACTCGCGACCTCTCGCACCCGAAGCGAGAATCATACCACTAGACCAAACACCCAGTAATTTGATTCAAAATTCTTAGAATCTCTATTTAACAATTATTACCATAGCCCCTTCTACCTTCAATTTCATTCCCCAAACACTAGGGTTTTTCTAACAAATTGCTAATTCAAATTGGCTTCTGCCATTTGTTTCAATCAATTATTAAACACCTTCAGCCATTCTTGTAACTGCCTCTAGATTCGTTGTGTTTTGTCGTGTCAATGTCTAACACCAGCAACAATGTAAGTGTTGAATTTAGAATCTACTCCTTATTTCATCTCCACAATCTCGTCGAAGTTTTTCGAGGGGGCAGCTTTTTCATTTTTTCATTTTATTTTTTTGTTCATCTGAGTATTAATTTGATTTCCTTGAATCAGGTCGTTGGGGTTGACAACACGTTCAGAAGAAAATTTGATCGAGAAGAGTATCTGGAACGAGCTCGGGAGCGTGAGAGGCAGGTAACTTTTTCGTGTTCCTTCTATGCTGATATCTGCTTCTGATTTTTCAATTTTTTTTTTTTTTTGATAATTTAGGCTGGTTAATTATGCTTTTGTGTATTCAATTTTGAACAGGAGGAGGAGAGAGCGAAACCTAAAGGTAAGTCATTTACCTTACTTTATATGCTTCTATTTACATTTTGCTATCAGCTTCTAGTTTCTTTTTCTTTTTCTTTTTTCGCTTGAATATTTGTGACTTATTTTAAAATACTACCCAGTTCGTGATTGAGGTGGTGCAATGTTTAAGTAACATTGCATTGAGTAACTACTAACATCATCTTATTGGTGCAGCTAAAGGTCCTGCCGTTCAGAGGAAGCCCTTGAAACATAGAGATTATGAAGTGGACCTTGAATCCCGCTTGGGCAAGACTCAGGTATGCTACTGCTGACACTAAGGTCAATGCTCTAGTAGTTCCAAATGAATACGAAGCATCTATAAGATTTCTTTTTTTAAAAAAATAAATAAATTTATTATTATATTTTTAATGAGAAAACATTTATAAGCGTTCTAAGTTGTAGGTCATGAGGGGTCATAAAATTTTATCATATGATTCTGCTGTACTGATAACATGTAATCTCTTGTAGGTTGTTACACCGGTTGCACCACTAAGCCAGCAGGTACCTGTCTTCCATATTATTTTAGATTTCTAGTTATCGTTAAACATTGTATTCAGGTATTCAGGTACCTTTATTTCTTTTTGTCGGGGGTGGTGTTAAGGATGATTCGGAGCAATTCTTTTATTGAATTCTATAGTTTTCCAAGTTCATATGTACCCAAAAGTGATGAGCTCTGTTGTTAATCAGATGTCTGTTTCATGTCGAAACATGTATGAAGTTTGAGTATTGATATAACATAGGTCCCCAAAAAAAAGTATTGCACTTTTGCCATAACTCAGGCTGTTAATTGCCAAGAAACCCAATACTTACCTAACTCAAGTCCAGGCCTATCATTTTATAACTCTTTTGTAGCACTGTTAGAAATGTATGTGGCATTGTGAATGAATACCCATAAACGTTCTCCTCTCAAACTTCTGTGACATATGAGAATGCCTTTTGGTGCATGCTTCACATATGGATCCGCAGTTCAGTTGGATTAAGGCTTTACTCAGTTTGGGGACCCTAGCTGGGCATATTTATGTATGATCTTAGTGGGAGAGATTATTTGAAACTACATGACACATGAAATAAGTACCTGGAAATTGTCATCCTTGCTGCCTCTTGTTCATGGAAATTTTCAACCTTGGTGGATGTTACTTGTATATATGCACCAAGGAGTACAAGAAATTGGAAATATCATATACTTGGATGTTACAGTTTTTGTTTTTGCTATCTGGATGATCATTTTGTTTCACATTTTATGTAGCACTTTTGAATTTAATAACGTATTTTGCAGGCTGGATATTACTGCTCAGTTTGTGAGTGTGTGGTAAAGGACTCTGCAAACTACTTGGATCATATTAATGGAAAGAAACGTATGTAGTCTTTTTGACATGTTTCTTCTGATTTTTCTGTGTAAGTAATGCTTGAATTGCCTTCACTTTGCTCATGGTTATTCTTACTTTGTTCCTTAGATCAAAGAGCTTTGGGCATGTCTATGCGAGTAGAACGTGCTTCTCTCCAACAGGTACACCTTAATATAGTCTTCTAATACCTATGAATTCAAGTGACCAAACCAGTACCTTTGACATTGCATGAGTTTTATATATATATATATATATATATATATATATATATATATATAGGGGCAGGATATTTTTACACTGGTATAAGAATAAAAAACCTTAAACCAAATCTTGATCATTGATTTGCTTGCATCTAACGGCTCAAATATCTTGTAAATCATAACCGTTAGATATAAATAGGATCAACGATCAAGACTGAGAGTAACTTAGACCGGTGTAAAATGATCCTGACCCATATATATATATTGCATGCATGCGTGCCTTTGTGTGTCATTTGGTTTCTGTAGTTTTATATGTGGCTCTGTATGACAGTAGTAAATCTTTTGATGAAACAGGTTCAGGAAAGATTTGAAAATCTCAAGAAACGTAAAGATCTTGGCAGCTTCACAGAGCAAGGTAAAGCCTTGAATAAGAGGAGGGGGATTGACTAGTTTTTTAGGAGAACCATACAACTTTCAAGTCTGTATATTGTCTTTTTCTTTCCTGGCCTGGAATTATAGAAGTTCAAATGTTTTTTCATTTAAGATCAGTGGTGTGAATCTTGAACTAAAATTTAGCGGAAATTTGATAAATTTAAATGGGTAAATTATAATTTCTGAAATACTCATGTGAAACTTTTAAAATTTCAGTATAATGTAATATTTTCATAATTTTAAGGAAGTAAAATGTAATATTTTGAAGTACTCGTGGTGTTTTGAAATACTTTGGCAGCCCCTACTCCACGGTATGGTCCTTAATTGTGGAAATTAACTTACACTTTTTCACAGATCTTGATGAGCGGATATTAAAACAGCAACAAGAGGAGGAAGAAAGAAAGCGACTGCGTCGAGAAAAGAAAAAAGAGAAGGTCAGAATGTGTATAGTTGCTTGTCTTGAGTCAGTATATATGCAATAAGTTGGAAGAAACCTTTTTCAATCCACTTTCTCCCGTTTCTGTTTTGTATTTATACTTTCCTATTGTCATCAAGTAAAATCATTTTTAATGTCATTTACCTATTTTAACTGTTAAAAATTGCATCCATCTTTCTAAAGATGATTTTAATAATTAAAGATTGCTTTTTCTTTTTCATAAATTTGTAATTAACTAATATTCAATTTTATATTCAGAAGGAGAAGGCAGTGGAAGAACCTGAAACCGACCCTGATGTTGCAGCCATGATGGGGTTTGGGGGTTTCCGGTCATCCAAGAAATGATGACATTCTTCATGCGTGAAAAGCTGTTTATGAAATTGTGGGCCTCAAACAGTTGTTTGCGACCTGGTCCTAGCGTCATACTCAATCATGTAATTTTTTGGTTCTTGGACATTTCTTATGATAACTAACCTGATGTATTATATAAGTTTGATACTTGTATTCTCTAGTATTTTCTATAGTGGGTAGCGACAACTCGCCGTAGCTAATGGAAATCCATTATGAACTTCTGATGCAATTTTCTAGAGGGCTACTGCTTTTCGAGGGTTGATTTATTTTGATTGAGAAAAATGGCTACAACAGTCTTCATTCTGCATAATCGTTTTGACAATACATGCTTAATTTATGATGAACATTCTTGCCAGCCAGGATAATAGAACAGGCATTTTCCATGGTGACTCGTCCTCATTCTCTGATTTATGCTACCTAGTATTGTGTTTTTTGTCGTGTCAATAAAACGCTGCATTTATCACTAGAAGCTGAAATTGTAAATGGCAGGGGGAGACTATCGGAAAGCATTTGTCATCTCACCGGAGGAATGATATCTAACTTATGTACGAAACTAAAACACTGTCGCTGCCTTAAAGGGATTGTTACTGAACCTTACGTGCGTATGCATAACTGTCCTGAGAATGCATAGCGATCTAATAGAAACTACTCAAGCCCCTCATTACTAAATCAAACCTAAACTGTTTCTTTATATCAAAATAATGAATGAAAATGTTTAAAAATTAGGGCACATTCGATTCATAACTGCATCCCTTGCAGCTCAAAAGTAAAATGCAGGGTATCCAGTTCCCCAGGTCATCGAGTTGAATCACTCCTCCCAAACTGAAATGCATTAAGTGCAATTCAAATATCTGTCCTACTACCTTGGCCATTGTGTTCATCTGCAGGTTATTCAAGTTCTTAGAGAATAGAAGATGCCCCCAAGTAATAAGGGGTACAGAGTCCACAATTACTACAAAGGAATTACCGAGGATGATTTATGGGACTGAGGGGGTGAAGTCATAGTGATTCAATGAAAGATGATTTTATTTTAAGTGGTTCAATAGGGCCCTGGATGCTTCATAAGCAGTATTTACAAGTTTGATTTTTTTCTTCGGGTAAAGGAGAATCATGTGAATCTGAAGCCTGATTTGTTAGCATCCAGAGTGTATTATGTGAGTGAGGTTTATACATTTGGACTACACTTATTCTTTCAGTATCTATGTGACTCTAATTCAATGGCTAATTTTTTAGAACCAACGTGTAATATGTTTATGTACTTCGTTGAACCATCCAGAAATGCACTAACATGTCGATAAGTATTAATTTAATATGAAAGGTTTGGTTCAGATTTCACCATATGAATTGCACAAAGACAACAACCATGCATATTACAAGGAACTTTTGATTATCTGCTTCTAAAGAAGTTTAATGTTTTTGTATTTCTCAATGCTAGTACATTTTGTCACATTAAATAAACTGCTGCTGCGACCGGGATGAAGAGATAGAATCTAATAAAATTGCATAACTTGCGAGCACTGCTTATATCTCCACCGGTGTACTCTCCCCAATTGAAATTTCCTACTCATAACACATTTTTCCAGACTAAAAATAATAACAATAATGGTAAGAAAGGATAGAAAATAGCAAGCCCAAAATGATATAAATCTCCATTGATGGACGATAAGATAACCAAACATGCCATGAAAGAAATTGTCTTGCCGATGAAAGCTAATTGTTGAAAGTAGTGTATCAAGGCTTTTATCCAGTGGCAGAGCCAGGTGCGATCTGGGTGTGGCATCGACCCGGGTTAAATTTTAACAAATTGTACTTATCATGTATAATTATATAATTAATTATAATTTGGCACAGTCTAAAATTATAATTTGGCCCGGGCTAAAATTTATAATTTGACCCTACCGGAGTCCGGATCAAATTATAATTTGTATTAAGTTATGTGTTCCATTTTCATTTATATAAAAAAAATTAAAATATATTCAATAAAAATTAAAAATATTTAATAAAATTATAATTCTTTTTTATGCTTCCTGCTCAAGTATTTTGTATTTAATATAATTTAAGTATATTATGATATGAACTAACTAAAATTAAGAAAAATAAATACACATAATTTTTTTGACCCGAACTCCGGTTGAAACTTGGCTCCGCCACTGCTTTTATCCAATTGGGAAGAACAGAACGCTAACGTGATGTCATCAAATATATCTTAAGAGCTTATTGTCAAAAGCACGATAAGGCTTATGTTATACTTTGTTCCTGCAGCTCCTGTTATGCACATATCCCATCATAATTTGCAGTTACAAGATGCATAGCACGTAGAAAATGATCAAAGCTTAGAATATAGAATTAAGTAATAACCTAAATAACAGCAAAACATTGCAATGGAAATTATAATAACATTAGCAATGAATAAATATTCCTTTAGGAAGAGTGAGAGAATGCGTGTCTATACTCTATAGTCTTGTGGGACTGGGAACAGAGTTAAGTGCATTTGAGGGGAAACACGATTAGAACTTCAGATGAACAGGCTGATGAGGGTATTTATTGCTGATTTGTTTGTTCTTTTTTATGAAGACAAGATGAACAATATGGTAACTGGAGCTGACAAAGTAGGCCAACTCATGAAGGGAAAAGAGAAAATGAATGTGAGGTTGGTTGATGAATATAGAGAATGAAACAGTGTGTTACCACCAACTTGTACTTCCCATATAACAATAGTGAAAGGAATAAAAATGAAAAATTAATTAAAATGGAGATGCGGGGTATCGATCCCCGTACCTCTCGCATGCTAAGCGAGCGCTCTACCATCTGAGCTACATCCCCATGTTTTTCTGTTTACGTGAACATAATTCTAATTATATAAATTTAAACTATTGCATCCGAAATTTTCTTGGTCAATTTTTTAGGTGAAAGTTGGAGACAGAGAAGTTACAACTTAACGTTCACTAATAATTTTAAGAATATAATCTTCATTTGTTTAATTTTTTGTTTTTTTCCCCAAAATACTTATTTGACAAATTCTTACTTTTATGGGATCTGACCATGATAATTAAAATCGAGATTTTACCTAAAATCGAAACGAAAATAAAAAATCGTAAAATTCTAATGTAAAAAATTTTGATGTAAAAAATCGTAAAAACATTTAAAATTTTGTTTAAAAAAAATCGTAAAATCGTAAAAGCACAAATTTAAATCAGGATTTTAACTATCATGGGTTTGACCATTACTTTTTCCTTCTTCTTTTTTTCCCTTTTTCAATCTCATGAATATGAGATATAATTACTTCTAATACCCAACTAGTTAGAAGCCGTGAATGCATGTTTTTTTATTCCAAAAAATAAATAAATATTGTATGTGGAAAAATAAAATAGAAGTAATATCTTAAAATATATGATTTTTTAAAAAATAATATTTTTCAACGTATACACACTCTCATAGAAGTATATTTTCAATGCCTCAAAAATGTGAGAAAGTTTGAAAATAATTATATAACCACATTTTCCCATTCTACTGTAGTATATTTGCATCAGCACAATATCAAGTAAAGTTGTGTCTCACATTTAAACGAGAACATTGGATGACTATTTCCTAAACCAATTAAGGGCCCGTTAGCTAGTAAAACATAAATTTTGTATGTTTTAAAAAAAGTAGACTTTTAGTTTTTTTTTTTTTTTTTAAAGTAGCCACTAGCCATAGTACAAATGTTTTTATTTCTGAAAAAAAAAAAAAAAATCCATCCAAACAGGTTCTAAAAAACACTTTTTAAATTAGTCCCATAACATTTAAGGAGGTAATAAGTGACTTTCAATTTCAACCATCAAAATTAAATTTATTACTCAAGATTCATTGTGTCTTGATTGAGATTTTCAATATTTTGACGTCTATTTTATGCAATCAATTCTTCATTACTTTGATAATGTCTCCCGAATCTCAAACTAAAAGCTAAGGAACGAAAAGTTAAGCTTTTTTTTTTTCACAGAAGTAGATGTAGTTAAAAGTTCAGCTTGCGTAATGATTTGTTCCCCGCCCACATTTATAAAAATCATCAATCACCACAAGTCAACTGAAATTCGCTCAGCATATCATATCATGGTAAGGAACCCAGTCATTTTTTATAAATTAAAATTAAAATATACTTCAATTTCGCAAACAACACCTCCAATTCTTAACTATAGAAACAAGCTTCTACAAATGAGATACCAAGCAATCACTTACTAAAGGACTATTTGATGTATTGAGAAAGCCATTTGAAACCCTCTCCGTAACCCATTTTCTTCACAATACTGCACATGAATACCTCCATGGGACGGACATTTGAGTCTGACAAATTTACCTTACCCTTGCCTGTGGTGAAGTTGGCCAGGCCCAAATGGTAACGCAACTCTTCTTCTGATGCAGCATATGGAATATCTATTTTGTTTCCAAGGATGAGGAAAGGTACATTGCCCAAAGATTCATCAGAGAGGAGAGCATCCAGCTCTTTTTTTGACTCAGCAAATCTTTCCTTGTCGTAAGCATCAACCAAGTAGACCACTGCATCTACCTGCATCAAAGAAGGATACAACTTAATTATGATCATAAAAAATTAAATAGAAAGATAACAAGAGCACAAGCAAATAATATATCTCAAGCAAGAAAATTATTTTTCACTTAAAATATTGAGCACGTTACTAACTCATAAATTGCTTCAGAAGCAAATAAACTAGCAGACCCTCAAAGTGAAAAGGCACTATCAGCAAACTATGATTATGATTTATGCCAATCAGATAAACAATTGAAGATTTTTGGTAAAATAAAATAAGGCATGAGTTCTTTAATTCAGCTGTAGTCATATATGATATAACTAATTAGATATTAGTCTTTTAGAACATTCTGCAACAAGAGATTGGTTTCTAACAAGTCACTATACTGCCAATTACAGTACTGTGCAAAAGAAGAAAATTTTAATCTAGCCAATAGCTAGAACTACAAGTTCACAGATTCTAATTCAAATCTCTTGTGCAGCTTTATATCTGCTATCGCTAAATGATCAACACGCATTAGCATGTGTAACCAGAAAAAAGAAAAAAAAACATTACATTGGAGAGCAAGATTTAATCTTAATATAACTATAGAAGGCCTAGCGGCATCCAATCATATGCTTTCATAAGATGCATGATTGAGATAGTCTCTCTGTTAGGCTAAACAAAAGTCTGTTGGGGACAAGGAAAAAGAGAGAGACCTGGGCATAGTAATCTTTCCAGACTCTTCGAGCAATCTGATGACCCCCAAGATCAAAAGCTTTAAACTTGATCTTCCCAATACTCAACTCCTCTGATGTTGGATACTGTGTCGGCTGATGCTGGACTAATCTCTGCAAAACCAACTCTCATACTAAAAAACATCACAAAGACAAGGTAATATAGCATAGACCATGGTAATATCAGGACTCAGGAACCTAAAGACTGAGAAGTACACGCTTGCTGTCAATATGTCTTGCTTTCCAAAACCACAAAATAATTGATGGCGGAAAAACAGAAGAAATCCAATAAGATTTAAATAGATGTCTGACTCAAGTACAAAGCATTAGACCAGAACATGTTAATATAAAAGAACATAGGCAATAATGTGTAAAGCAATGTAATATAAGGAAGCTAGATAGTTGAATTGCACGTTTATATTAACACGTCTTTCCTCAAAAAAGGAAATAGCTTGACTGGGTTAAAAAGAGGAATTCGAAAATATAAACCAAAACGGGTAAAATTTTCCTCAGCTAAGAGAAAATAAATTATGTTGATTTGAATATCAAAGTAACACAATGCTAATTTTTTTCAGTAAGATACATATATCCTTGGTCCGGGAAACATATCAAGCACGATTTTCTTTCATATCACGGACCGCTACTTTTCCCAGCAAACAATATGTGTAAAAATATAACTCTTTTCACCAAAAAAATAAAATAAAATAAAATCAACTAACCAAATAAAGTTCTCAGTAAAGATTGAACAAGTGTTGGAATAGAAAAAGGAAATAAGGGCAGAGATCGGCCACGATTGACGAATAAACATTAATCCCAAAAAGAATAAAATATCGGTAATGATTAGGAAAAGGAAAAATTGATGAAATTGAAAACAAAAGATGACGCACCTCATCTTTGAGCATATGAAGCAAGGTGGTTTTGCCAGCGTTATCAAGCCCTAAGAATAAGATCTTAGCCTCCTTCTGCCACAGCCCAAGCGATGCTAGAACCCCATAAAACCAATCCAACAAAAACATTGTCTTTATATCTTTTACGATCGACCTCAATACAATTCAATTCCAAGCCCTAATATGTATCAATCACCGCACACTGAAAAAAGTTCAAGTTTCGAGTACAAAGACCTAACCCCAAAACCAGAGGAGACAGAAAGGGGTTGGTTACTTTCGCATTAGGGTCCGTTTGATTGCGTTATAACGATGGATATGTGGGACTTGGACCGGTGACTGGCTCACCCGGTTTGGGATCGGTTTTTGGTTCTCTGTTAGTAGTCACTTCACTTGTCTCATGTCTGTTCTGCCGTCTAGTATTTTATGACCTGGTTACCGGGTCCATCAACAAAGGTGCGTATGAACGTTATTAACTTAAGTGGTTGAGATATTGAGTTATTAAATCACTAGGTGAGTTATTAGTTGAAGCGGAAATATGTGATAAATATAATGATAAAAGTATTTTAATTAATGTATAATTATGGTTTAATTGTTGACGTTACATTACAAGTGTTATTTAGACGCACGCCTTCAATTTCATGGATGGAATAATCTTCAAATATTTTGCATAAAGTTTTACTAGTAGCCTACTGATGTTAGTTTAGCACGCTAAAATCCAGTTTAGAATTAAACGGGTACGACCTACTGATTCGATCCCATTTTTAGTAACCCCGATATGTATTTATTAGAGTTTAGTAAAGTAAAAGTTAAAAGAATTGACGTTAAAATAATTGATTTATGTTTGAAAGTTAAATTTGTAGCCTATTCAAAGAGTTGAAGTATGTAGGATATATGTGATCTACTTATCTTAAAGAGATAATTAAGATTAGTATAAAAAATTTGTAGGGATAAATTATTTTACCTACTCTTATTTTATCTACTTTTGTTTACCACTCTTAACACAGATAGATTATAATTTCATCCAATGACAGAGATTTGCGAGATAAAATAAACTTTTTTATCCCCTTAGCCTCTCATCTTTTTTCTCTCCTTCCACCATTTTTCTTTATCAATGAAGACAAAAACAGAGAAGCACGTGGGATCAAAATCTCTTGTGAGTTTGAATTGGTTTTTTGTTCATTCTATTTGTTATGAATTTAGTAAAATAGTTTTGTTGAACATGGTTGTTGCAATATGCCAATAGTATGACAGTAATTCGAATACCAAATTCTTAATTTTTCTCTCTAATGGCATTTCAGCATCCAAAATTGTACACCTTGTTGGAAAGTGCCAAATAAATTTTTGTTGGAAACAATTTTTGCATTTTGCTAACAAATAAAGGTCTATTTCGAAAGTTTTAGTAACAAATATAAGACATTGTTATGAGTTTTAATTCATCCTCTATATTTAGAGAGAAAGGATGAGAGGTAATAAGGAAATGAAAAAAGTAAAAGGTTTATATTATCAATCAGAAAGTATTGACTTACTCCAAAAAAAAAAATATATTCGTATTAACATTTTTTTAGATAAAGATAATAAGAATAAAAAAATAAAAGTCATCTTACTCCAATTCTCAATTTGAGTAAGAACTGTAGGCAAACAAGCATCAGAAATCATGTCACAAACAAATAAATTATTAAATAATAAAAAGGAAAAATGTTTATCCTTTTAAATGACACAACTTATATTCTTTCACTCTTACAAAGAGGCAGGATCCTCACTTTTATTTTTTTTGTCAAGTCTCTCTCTTCTTTTATTTATCTTTTTCTCTTTCTTAAATGACACATATAATATTCAAAAAAAATTAATAAATAAAAAAATAAAAAAATATGAAAACGACGCCATCAGCGCCAAAAAAAAATAGAGAACGACGCCTGTAGTGCCAAAATGGCCAAGAGTGACACCTTTTGCTTTGATTCTCACGCTCTTCGCGTGGATATGTATTTGTTTACAACGTCATTCGCGCCAACTTAGCGTGGACGTATACGTATATAAAATAAATAATAATAATAAATTGAAAATAAAAACACTACGTGGTAACACCCCATATCTCTAACACATTAAAAGTAGAAGATTCATTTAACTAACAATCATTACATGATGTGAATTTTTTTTAGAAAAAACAGAAGATTACGTAATATAAGTTACGTAACCTATAAACGTAATATATTCTTCCCCGTATAAATACATCCTTGCATGAAATGAATGAAGGAAAATCAAATACGGAGAATAAGAAAGAACAAAAGAAAATTTTAAGAGAAAAAACAAGAGGATTTGGAAGGAGAAAGGAAAAAAACAGAATCAAAAGAAGGTAATATTAGGTGATAAAAAACGTTCTCTCATTTTTTTTATTCTTCAAAATGAAGATTAATTTTACTTGCCACTGTCGTTCTGTCATGCTCTTTTTATTCTTTAGTTCAAGTTTAATTCGTTTCTGTAGTTTGATTTCATTTAGTGATTTTTCTTCTTACAATATCTTTATGTCCTTTTAAATTTTATTTCTTTTCAACAACTGATTATCATGTTGACGAATTGTTTGGTACCAAATAATTATGAATAGAATGTGTATATTTAACTGATGAAGACTGCCTTATCGTGGCACAGAGTTTGGGTTCAGACGATTATAGGATAAGGGACGCCTTATCGTGGTTTGAGCTCCTCCACAATAAATCTTTCATATGCAGAAGACCACAAAATTGGGAAATTATTTAACTTCAGTTAAATATTACAAAATGTATTATTTATTATATTATTTCATTTTATTAAATTATCTGAGAGAATGATATTTTTCGTTATTACGGCTGGAAATGGTTATAGTTTGAAAACCTCAATGTCACTGAGAATTTTCTCACGTGTGTTTTTTTGTGCTAACCTTTCCAGAAAATCATAATGCCTGTTCTAAGCTTAGCATGTGAAGGATGGAGTATCAATATTTACTCTTATGAGGACCGCATGAAGTTTTATATTGTAGTAAAAAATCAAGGAGCTGCTTTGATATTCTATGCTGATATTGTGGAGACCTACACCTATAGGCTAGATTAGGATAAGACTTTTGTATTGTATAATTATGTGATGTCAGTATGTAAGATATAAACTGAAGTGATGTAATATTTAGTAGACTGTAGGACCTATGTAAAATAACTCCTTTTTGTATCTGACGTAATATTATCTATAAAGTAATGTTGATAGATGTTTATATAATTTTCTTTACTGTTGTTATCATCGATGTGTATTAATTAATAACATTAATTCCCTTCCATCTTATTTCTCATTGACTATGCGTAAACGTAAATATAAATGTAAATAAAAGAAATCATGTAATATTCCTTATAAACATTTGTAGCAAGGGATGTTACAACACAACTTTACATCGTTTAAAATGTTCTCATAATAAAATATACAAATGGAGAATGTTTAATTATTTTTTTCACCAGAACAAAACAAAAGATCGAATGGTAATGTTGGGCCCACCGTGTTGAAATAAGAAAAACCAGAAGCCCAAACCTTGAAACCGCCAACCGATTCAACCAAGTAACCGAACCACTTGCCGTGCTCAATTCGGGCACAAACCACAAACCAATTCCTATACTATAAAATTAAGGTTGCTGCAATAGTACTTCATCGGTCAAATTGTAAGAGCTGTCAATCACTCACTTCCCTTTTTTTTCCTTCTGAGTAATCAAACTCTATCTGGCAAATGAACGAAGAAGAAGGAAACAAACGGCGGGTCCTGGTGGCTGTGGACGAAGGCGAAGAAAGTATGTATGCCCTCTCTTGGTGCCTCAAGAATATAGTTTTGCAAAATTCCAGGGATACCCTTATCCTTCTATACGTCAAGCCCCTTCGTGCCGTTTACACCCCTTTAGATGGCACGGGTAGGGTAGATGATCCTGAAACTCCAGGTATTTTTGTTTTTTTAATTTAAAAAAAAAATTGTTATATATTCCTCTCTCTCTCTCTTGCTATCTGTTTCAGTTTTGGTAAATTAATTGGTGGCGTGTTTGTATTTAAGGATATATGTTTTCGTCGGACATAAGCGCAGCCATGGATAGGTATAGCCAAGAAGTGGCGGATTGCGTTTTAGAGAAAGCCAAGAAATTGTGTAAATATCTCCAACATGTACGTATGTTCCTTCTTTCATTTGTCCTACTCGTATGTACCTGTTATTTTGATGATAAAGGGGTATTGTACGTTCATTCGTAATGACGTATATGCCCCTCAAGAATTACTGTAATTATAATATATATATCTTTCTCTAGCTAGTTCCCTTAGTTTGCCCCGTTATGTTATGTTATGTTATGGGTCTTGAATAGGTTGAGGTGGAGACGAGGGTAGAGAATGGCGACCCCAGGGACGTAATATGTGAGATGTCTGAAAAGTTGGCCGCGGACATACTTGTCATGGGAAGCCATGGCTATGGTCTCGTCAAGAGGTACTCATCCATTCCACTTTAATTACAGCGCACGTTACTTTAGGCTTAATATATATGTAAATAAACAGTACATTAAATTGTTCTTGGGGACCTGAATTGTAGGGCCTTTCTTGGAAGTGTGAGCAATTACTGCGCACAGAACGTGAAGTGCCCAGTTTTGATAGTTAAGAAGCCAAAACCACCTGCTGGTGCTGGGGACATATAATTATAATAAATAATATGCTAATTTTGTTCTTTTATGTTTTTTTTGTATAAGTTTAGTGACTTGGGTATGTGTCGTTAAAATTAGTTCTTCTGGAATCACTACTAGATGAAATTTCCCTTGCAAATTTACTACTATATTATAATAAATAATATACTAATTTTCCTTGCAAATTCTCTCGCGAGGGAAATTAGTAGCGAAGATAAAATTAGCGACGAAATTTGCATAATAATTTCCTCGCTGTACAGGATTTTTCTAGTAGTGAATGTCATGTGAAATGGTTAATGTTGAAGCCTATATATAGTGGAGGCTTTCTTTACAATCTTTGTTGGAGAAAGCTTTGAGGATTGAGAATGCCTTGCGGATACGGGTGTGAATTCAGTGAACATTCCAGTGGGTCGCCCTATAGTATAATTGTATTAGAAAATTGTTAGGCTAGCCTAATGTTATGTAGGTAATCTTGCGTAAGATATTTGGGTTAGTTCGATCCCTTGTATTTCTATTTACTTACTTGAGTGAGCATCTGTTTTGATCATATACAATATGGGAAATTATACTCTTATCTTACATAAGATTCTTATCTCATTTTACACTCACATAAAAAGACGTACCTCACTTTTCTTTTCTTTTCTTTTTTAAATTGGTGGCCCCATTTGATGAAAATATTTATTATGGTCCAGGACCACCCAATGATCTGTTGCTCCTTCTCACATCATCAATTTTTACTTTCCCTTCTTACCCCTATTATTTTTTCTCTTTTTCAATTTTACCCCTCCATTTACACTAAGGGATCACCTAAAAAATGGTGGTCCCGGACCACAATAAATAATCTCTCATTTAATTTATCTCACAACATGAGATAACTTCTCTCATACAACATGAGAGAAGTAAAACCCTATACATATATCTATTAGTCCTCAGGTTAATTTACTTAATAAATAATCTTTCGTTTTAAAAGTTTTTCAATGTTGTCGTTCCATTTCCGTCTAATGATTACTAACAAAAAAAGAGAGACTGTCAACAAGGTGTGGCACAAGTGGCTAAGGAGTCGGTCCATACCCCAAAGGGCGTGGGTTCGACTCCCTCTGGCCGCTTTAAAGGTCCTTGTTGATGGGTAAACTGTAAAGCGGGTTTAGTTTGCCGCTGTCCCTGGCGTAAATTCTCATAGAGGTTGAACAGGTCTGCCCTGGCCCTGGCGGGTTACATCCTGTGTCTCCCCTGCCAGAACATTCTTGTACTTAAAAAAAAGAAAAAAGAGTGAGACTGTTATCATTTTTTCCAAAGATGTGGTAATGTATTTTACTTTGTGCAACGTCGCAATCACTGGCGGACCCAGCCATGGGCAAATGTCCGCAAGTGCCCACATAAAATTTTGGATTTTTTTTTTTTTTTTTTTTTATCTTTGTAGGTATTTATTTGTATGTTGATTCAATATTTATATTAGGAGTAAATATCATTTTAAGTTTCTAATAAAAAACATGGTCCCCACTTTAGTCTCTTATCAAAAATTAGTCTCGAGGTCCCTACGAAATTCAAAGTGAATCAATTTAGTTAAAATCGTGGTTCCTCACTAATTCAAAAAAGACCTACATTAGTTACTCAAAAAGACTAAAATGAGTTCACTTTAAATTTCATAAGGACTAGGTAACTATTTTTTTTTATAATAGACTAAAGTGAGTACCGAATTTTTTGTTGGAGACCAAAAATGATATTTATTCTTATATTAGTTAGCAACGTACGGAGATGATTAAAATAACGTAGCAACGCTCTCTTCCTCCCCTACCATGTACCCATTCTCACGCTCTCTTCATCTCCTTTGTTTCCTTTCTAGACAAGGCCTTCAGTGTGATTTTGCTTGTCTTCTGTACAAATAGTGTTGACTTTTTTATTCACCACTATAAAATAGAATAGAATGATGATGTATGGATGTACTTAAGTATATTTTCATATTTGTTTTGGAGGATTGGTAAGATTTAAGAGAAAAAATGATGGGTCAAAATATTGCCTGCAGCTTGTTATGGAAGCAACTAGATTATGAGCGAGTTTAAGCGTTAACTTAAACTTTTTTTACAAAAAAAATTTGGGAGCACCCGCCACTAAATGTGCGGACATAAACAAATTTTTCTGGGTCCGCCACTGGTCGCAATGATGTTTCATTTTTAACTTTTTAATGAATAAAAAATGAAAAATGTTTGACGTTTGATTTATTATTTGTTCATGTAATTTTTTTTTTGTTTAATTACTGCTTGTGTTCCTGATGCTGATGGTACGTTTCAAACCATACTTGCAGAATCTAGCATTTTAGATAAAGGTTCTAAAGATGAATTTTAATATTAAAATATTAAATAATTAAAATTAGGAAATATGACTTAAAATATGATTAATCCTTGTGGAAATTAATAAATGCCTCATGTATAAAATAAATAAATAAATTGCCATTAACGGAGTATAAAAAAGAAGCATTATTTTAATTTTAACATGTTTTTGGGATAAAAAATACAATTGAATTATAATATGATAGGCCAGGTTTTTAAGAACTTAATACAACATTAAAAAAAATAATTAATTTTAAAAAGATAGGTAGTTATAATGAAATCCCAACTTTATAGTTTTAGTCATTGGTTGTTTTTTATTTTTATTTTCTTTGCTACTTTTATTTTTTTAATTTTCTTTATTATTTAAATCTCGTTGTTAATTTTATCAGTCTAAATAATTAAAATTGTCATAATCTGGTAATTCCACGATTTTCATGAAAATTATACTTTGTTTATAACTTATTGTAAGATGTAACATTTTCTTGAATTCAATTTACTCTCACAAATAACAGTAATCCATAAATATTTATTAGAATTGATTTTTAAAACACCTTCAATAAAAAATTATATCATCATTTCATGTTGTATTATTGCATTATTAAACGAACTTGATATGCTATTTGTTATCGAATTGATTAAATAATGTACCAAGGCATTATGAGATATTAATATACATTTTTATTAACTTTGATATTACATTGAAAGTAAACTATTTATAGTTAATTGACAATAATATATTTAAAAATATATATTTTAATATATTAATATTGAAATGATATATTAGTTCTTGAGTTTTGTACTTGTAAGCAATATCAATACATTAACCCTTTATCAGGCCTAATCCCACTCCTTAGGTCTGATTAAGTTATACATCATTTTGATGTATTAAAGGATTTTGCTGTATAAGCTTATACTATACGATGGTCACATCAAACAATTAAAAATGTCATAACGTATAATATAAGTTTATACTATCAAGCCTTATACATCACTCCAAACAAGTCCTAAGGGTTTAAGAAATTTTTTCTCTATAACATTCATACAAATAGGTTTCATTACAGAGAAAAAAGAGAGAAAAATTTAATAAAATTCACTCCCTTTTATGGGTTTGGTGTTTGTCATTTTAAATGACATAAGTTATGTCATTTTAAGAGAGAGATAGACACAGAAAAACGAAAATCATGGGAGAGAGAGAAAGTGAGTGGTTTTTTTAATTTAAAATTCAAATTTTCTGTTTCTGTATCTCTCTTAAAATCTCATTTAAAATGACAAACACTTTTTCCCACTTTTATATTATAAAATATGAATGTGGTGGAAAAATGCAAAACGCAAAAATATTTTTTTCTACTATTCCTAAAGCAGGTGAGAAATTTTCCCCTCACTCTCGTGTCTCAACGCGCAACAGACTTTGCTCGGGTCGGTTAGATCTTTAAATTGTACAGTGCTTCTTTCCTTTGCTCAAAATGCGTGGGCTTAAACGCTAGCATAGGCCCATCTTGTTCGTCTTCGATTCAATAAACCCCGAGGTTGATGAGCGAACCTCCGAGTACTGTTTTCAGTGTCATATACTCATATCCTTCCTTATTTGCAGTACTTTCCCATACACGACGAGAGTAACGGTATGTCCTCTTTCCTACGAAGATCGCTTAGGATTAGGAGGTCCAATATTGTTACTGGCTTCTCCTTCTTTCTATACAAACATGTCGGAAACTCGTCTGAGTCGCGTCGCTACTTGTCTCATTCCCTTCTCCACAATACTATTCCTTGTTTCGCTTCTAATTCGCTTCCAAGTACCAATTATTCTTATGGGTCTCACCAATTTATTGTCTCTCCCACACGGGTTCGCTTCTGGGGTTCTCAAGCCGCCGCCACTGAACACTCAACCTCTGATGGCCTTACTGTTCAAGGAATTCTAGCCAATAATTGGACCATTCTTGAAGAGAACGAAACCGATTGGAAGAGTCATGCCACTGCCGTTGCTCAATCTATTCATTTGATCAAACGCCGCTTACAGGTCACCTTTTTTTTTTTTGAATTTAACACAAATCTAATACAAATTACCCAAATCCCTCACCATTAGTGGCTTAGGTCACTCTTCAATTTCACTCCCAAAGTCCTGTTTTACACTCAGGGTAGCATCTTAATTAATCATGATTTGTTTAGTGGTTAATAATTAGTTAATTACAAATTGTCTTTGTTTTTTGGTGGTTCTGATCTGAGCTCACTCGTATAACTGCTCCAAGTTTTAATTTTTTGTTGGTGTCTGTTTCATAGAACTTGATCAGATGTTTGTATTGGACTGCACTGCATAAACCTCTCTTAAATAAAATCTTCATGTTTTATGATGGCAGTGGACGAAATTGAAGGTTAGGTTGGATATGTTATCAGCCCAGCTGAATAAGCCAGACCTTTGGGATGATCCTGTCCATGCAGGTAAAATAAGCCGCGAGCATGGTTCGCTCCTAGGAAAAATGAAAGAGGTAAATGCATTGGAGCAAGAGTTACTAGAGCACATTGACATGATAAAGCTTGCTCGTGAAGAGAATGACGCAGAATTGGAATCGGTGGGAACTCACTTCATCTCCTAGGCATGTATTCATCTGTTTTTGTCACTATAGTCTCTCAGATAAAAGAGTGTGGTTGTGGTACTTAATAATCTAACTTATATCTCCGTTTGATTTTGGCACTCAAAAGTATATTGAAAACGTGGATCTAAGCCGGTGAGGGCATGGTAATTTATTGTCATAAGTAAGAAAACTTAAGTAGACTTGGATTATTTAAATTGTATTGAAATGATAGATGATAGATAGGACTCAAGAGGTAGATTTAATTTAGAGGAAACATGCATCATTGTTGTAAATGGCAAAAACATGTTTTATTGTAGTTTATTCTCTTACAAGGTTTGTGGTGTTTGATAGATCCTTTCTTACTAGAAGAAAGCAACTTATATTCATGCAGAGACTATCTCCCTTTTCAGGAATCATTGAAAGCGTTGCTTATTATGAGAAGAAAGGCAAAAGAGAAAGAGCTAGAGGCATTGCTTTCTGGGGAGCAAGATTCTTGTCCTTGCTACATTGAGGTTGTTTTCATAGATATTTAGAAATTGCAATTATTGCATTGGTATTTTTCTTGAAAAGTATCCTTGTATATGCCCAAGTCTTTGATTTTGTTCTAAGAATATGAGGCTGGCATGCTGCACTAGAATATATTGCAACTTCTCTTTTTTTCCTTGTCCAACATTATTAGAGCAGTGAACATGAGCTGTGTTTATGCATGTGTGTGCCTATTGAAGCTGCTTTTTTTATTATTTAATATAGGTTCAGGCTGGGGCTGGGGGTACAGAGAGCATGGACTGGGCTGCAATGGTCATGCAGATGTATAAGTCATGGGCCCAGCGGCGTGGATATGAAGTAACTGTAATGGATGAAATGCCTGGTGAGATTGCAGGAATTAAGGTTCTTCCTCTTACCATCTTCCATGAGTTATTTCAAAGTATTTTACATTTTTCCACATAGCTCTTGCATTCTTGGATTCATGTCGCATTTGTACCTACCTCTTATGTGACTATGCTTTCTGATTTTCAAGTACCAAGTTGCTTTAACTTTCATTTAAGCTTCAAGCAAGATTACCATGAGGATTTTCATTTCCATTTGGGGCCTCTAGTTTAACATAGTTTGGGCCTGCGGCACTCATTCCCGTAGATTATATTTTCCATTTTAGGCAACTGTTAGTTCCTGAATATAGATCAATTTACTTTTTCAGCGAGCCACAATCAAAGTAGATGGTGAGTTTGCATTTGGATATGCCAAAGCAGAAGTAGGGGTGCACAGGCTGGTGCGTATATCACCTTTTGACAGTAATAAGCGCCGGCATACTTCATTTGCTGCTGTAGCAGTGATTCCAATACTTGGTGATGTATCTGCTCGTGTACAAATTAATGAATCTGATCTTCGAATTGAACGATTTCGTGCTGGTGGTGCTGGTGGCCAGCATGTTAATACAACTGAGAGTGCTGTTAGAATAATTCATATTCCTACGGGAGTTACTGCAACTTGTCAGAATGAAAGGTATGAAATGTGTGTGCATATTCATGCATTGACAGTGTTGTGTTATTAGATATTGATATTGGTTATGATTTTAAAACAGATCACAGCATCAAAATAAGGCTTCAGCAATGTCTGTACTTCAATCAAGATTAGACCAACTGGAGATGGCACGCCAGGCACACTTAAATGCACAACATACACAATCTCTCACTGACATAACTTGGGGCAGTCAGATACGTAGTTATGTGCTCCATGTAGGTTTGAGATTGTATATATACCCTCTTGTCCTGACAAGTTTTGATGATCAGAGCATTACATTAACTATTTTTATCTATGATGCAGCCTTACCGTATGGTGAAAGATCTTAGAACTAACTATGAGGTTTCAGACACTGACTCTGTCCTTGAGGGAGATCTAGACGGTTTCATCTTTAGCTATTTATCAGCTTCTTTGGATAAAGATGAAGATAATGCTTAAATCAATCAAATTCCCTGACAATGGTGGCACATTGCATATTTAGTGCGGAAATGGATATATGCTCGGGCACATTTTCAGCATCTGAGATGAAGTCAACTGTCCTTCAGGTGTTGTCATTCCTCGTCAAGGTCTATCAGAGTGCAAAGAAGCATGCTATTTTCACAGCCTATAGGTATTTTTGCGGTAATAAATAAATGAATGTGCACAATTGAACATGGAAGTATGAAGCTCAAAGGCTTCATTACAAGTGGCTTGCGCAGTGGGAATAACTTCCCAATGACCTGTGATGCAGCCGACCATGATTCTTGTTCTTTAAAGTTCATTTACTTACATATATAACTCTAGTAGAAGTTACATGAGATTTGGATCCTTTTTGTTCCTGAGAAAAAAAAGATACAAACGATCCTTGTAGATGGCTTGCCAATTGTGCTCAAGGAATTATGAGCGTGGAGAAATTCTTGTAATTTATTTTGAAGATCATGACTCGACTCTCATTCTTAGAGAAAAAAGATGGCATCTAAATCCGATTAAGCGCGGATGAATATATGGATGGATTTGTGTTTTTTTTTTTGCTACATTAGTGAATTTAACCGTATATCAACATAAATTAATGGTAGCTTTTAATGTGATGGGGGCTGTTGTGGCTGTTGGGATAAGTTGCAGAATACTGTTCCTCAACTCTTTAGAACGAAGTGCATTCCATGAGCTTATACCTTTATTCAGACCAGGATCATCCTCCACGCATGAACCAGCATAAATATTTGCCATTTCTCTTTCGTCGAGCAAAGTTTGTGGGTCATAGTCTGTTAGCAATATTTCAATGAAGTCGCTAGAATCTTCGTAAGTGGACCCAGGTTCATGTAATTGTTAATCTCTTGCGCATGACAGAGAATCCGTTGCCAAGAAAATACCATAATCATCACGTCCTTGACCACACGGTTCTTGAAGTTTTTGATGGTTGATTGCCTCATTGGGTGGAGAGCAAATGTCTATTGACAAAATCAGGTAAGGGGACGGGCATTGAACAATAAAAAATGAAGATGTATTGTGATGAGTATTGAAATGACGTTTACCTGAAGTTGGTGAAGTTGAACCGTTGATGTCATTTAGAAACCATGGCATTGTACTGTCAAATTGCTGAACTTCTTCAGTTGAAACTCCAGGTAGTACAGGATGAATAGATTGTTGTTGACTTGTTGTTGTTGACTAGCTAGGGTGGTTTTGGACCCACTTAGATTTCGACCAATAGAGAAGTCTCTTTCACTTTGACCTTGATATAATTGTGAATCAAAATGAGGACGAAACGGCAAATTAGGAGAAGGTCTTAGGCTCAGCTGCAGCAACCGGTCATCACACATTGTATGAGCTTCTCGTAGTGTTTGTCAAGAGCTCCAGGTGGGAATTGAAGGTAGTGCGTCCTCCTGAGTTGAATAGTTATCATTTACAGGACAGACACACAACGCGGGAAGCTATCGACTGGTCCATCCCTTGGAGTTGGAGAGGACCTCAACGTATTAAGTTGTTACCAAGTGATCATGCCCTTTTTCATTCAAAAAAATAAATAACACACCGATGTTTTGAAGCTTAACAACCTCCAGTGAAATCTTGTGACAAAATCCACTTAGTTAGCTTTCTTTTTCTTGGCAACGGAGTAGCCTCGTGAAAGAACTCTGGCGCTTTGTCTAGCTGAAGGGAAAATTAATTTGATATACATCAATGGCAATTATAGCCTAAAGAGTATATTATGGTTAAGAACTGAGATCCAAAGGAAATAGAAGAAATCCTAGTCAAATAAAATACACAGATAGAGAGAAAAAGGGAGGAGCGAAAAATCTATTGTAATACGGCACAAGTATATCGCGCAAATGGAAGTATGCCACGTCAGCATGTATAATAATAAGACATAGTGCGATACAATGAATTTCAATGCATCATATGCACTGTAGATGCTCTCAGGGAGAAGAGATAGTGAAAAAGATATGAGAAGTTAAATAAAAATAATTAGATAAAATATACGATTAAATAAAAACTAATCAATTAATAATTTCCTTTATTTCTATGATACTATTAATGGGTAAAGAATTTTTTCAGTCACCGGAGATAAAGTTATTTCCAGTGAACTCAAAAAGACGTCGTTTTGGGACGAAAATCAAGGTGTTTTTATAATTATAATATATTGCAGGGTTATATTAATTGTTGTCATTATAATTTTTTAATATTATAACCCAAAACGACGTCGTTTTGAGCTCACTGAAGATAACTTTATCTCCTTATCTCCAGTGACCGGAGAAATACTTTTCCCTACTATTAATACGTATATATAGATAATAACATTTTTAAACTACTTTCAAGAGTATATACATAAGGACCCTCTCCCAATTTTATTTTATTTTCCTTTTTGGGCGCTCAAACGAACCAAGCTCTTTGCTGCTTTTGACATTCGATATATTTTCTAGACTAAATAAAAACAGCGCTCACCACACTCGCTTTTAGTCTTGGCAAAAATGAACCAACCCATCGGGTTACCTCGTAACTCGGCTAAAATGAGCCGGGTTGGGTTAGGAAAAATGAGTTAATAACTCGAGTCAGCCAGACTCATTTCAGCTCGAAAAAAATCGAGTCAACCCACGAGTCAAACGGATTGGTTCGCGAGTTATGTTTTTTTTAATATAAAATTATAAAAATTAATGAAGGTAAAGTGGAAAGCTAAAACCTAAAATCTAATTCCAAAAACCCAAACAAAAATACCCTGCAACTGCCAATAAGTTCAAAACCGTGCATTAAGGACTTTTTTATAGTATGTGTGACAGTATGAATGTGGTGCCAACTGCCAATAAGTCCAAGTCCAAATGCAAAATTTTCTATGGTTTATCTATATAATGTCTTTGTATTGAATGAATTAATAATTTAGGAAAAAAAGTAGAAGTTATAGCATCAATGAAATTTATTTTATTTTTTATTTTTTTCGTGCCAACCCTAACCCGACTCGGGTGGATTGGGTTGAGTTTTCTGGCTCATTTATTTTTCGAGCCGACCCTAACCCGACTCGTTTTTTTGAGTTGAACGCAGATTGAATCGAGTTGACCCGTTTTGCCAACCCGAGACTCGTGCTATCCAATCGGCCAATCTACCCATTCATATCAAGGTTGAATATTATTTTCTCCATCAAAATCCCATGAATTAAAGGAACTTCAGAATATTGAGAATTTTGGATAATGTCCCTTAGTTATTTGTTAAAATTAGTAATTTATCTTTAACGTAAAATGAAAAATTGAAAAATGAACATATTTTAGTATATGTCATGAAATTATAGGAACTTCTTCTTTGTTTCTTTCAAGGACGAAAAATACATCAATTTGGAGAATCTCAGGTCGGTTTTTTCTCAGTTATTGCTCGCATTGCCAAAATGTTCTGCCATTGTATTTCAATCTTCCTTTTCACACGATTTCGTAATATCTCCCACCCCAGCTTTTGCTTTAAATAGTAACACTTGACCACCAAGTCTCCTTTATTTGCAGCCACAACCTGCAAATGATAATTTTTACAACTAATATGATGTTCTATCAAGATGATCTTTTCACTAAGATGTTTTTATCAAGATGATCTTCTCAAGATTTTCAAAAATGTTTTTATGACGTTTTATCGGATGTCCCCGAAGGGACTTTTTATGACGTTTTATCAAGATGATCTTAATATAGTTTCTCAAGGAAGAAGTACGGCTATGCATGGGTCAGGTCGGGTTAAGTTTTTACCTAACTTGATTTTTGTAGGTCAGGTATTTTGACCCGACCCACTTTAATTTGATCCAAGTCAGGTCTGACTTGTTTTGGATTTTTTTGAACTAGTTCAAAATTGGGTCACATCTGACCTGATTTGATTTCTAAAGTGGGTCTAACTAGGTTTCTGGAGTGGTTCAAATTTGACCTGACCCATTTTGACTTGGTTTCATCACAAAATTTTGTCAAAATTTCTACGTTGCAAACGACAAAAATTTCGTCACAAAATTATTTTTTCGTCGGAATACTTTTTGTCGAAAAACGACGGAATTTTTTCTCTAATGAAAATTTTTACAAAAATAAATTTTCTATCGAAATTTAATTTCTGTCAAAAGTTTTGACAAAAATGATTTCCTCCATAAAATGTTCTAAGAGGGCGTTTGGTTGAGGAGAAATTTTTTGAATACTAGGGAAATGTAATTGATAGGGAAATGGTTGGAAAGTGAGTTTAGTAGGAAAATGTAAAAAAAGTTGTTTGGTTTGCCAAAAGTTTACCGGGAAAATTGGGTTAAATTTTTTGAGTGTGTGTTTGGTTGAAGATATAATATTGATAGGAAAATTATTTGAAAATACTAAAATACCCTTTTTTTTATTGTTTTTAAAAGTGAGTTACCATTGTGTGAATTGTGTGTTGCACATTTCTACCAATGACAAATAAAAAGGTTTTCATATCTCTGTAATCCTCTCATTCTCTAGTTTCGTTGGTCGGGAATCATCACTTGGGAACGGCGATGAAACATGGGGAAATTCTCAAAGAAAGCTTAGCACTGCACTTGTGGAACAGGCAGAGTAAGAAGCTAAAGGTAGAAAAAGGAAGCATTATATCAAGTTGTTGCATCTTCTGCAACTCCTGGAATTAAAGTTAGAAATAAAGAGGATTCGAGCAACTCCTGCATCTTCTGCACCGTCGTTGTTTCTATTCAACGACCTCAGATTGGAGCAGCAACGCTTACGGACTCGGGGTTAAGCAAGGGTAGTTTTGGCAGCACTTTATTTCATGGTTTTCACTTACCTAGTTATTGATGGAATACCACTATCAAAAGAGGATTTGAGCGCTGTTGTTTTGGTCCAATTTTGCATGCAAACCTCATTTGCTAGGAAAATAAGTTAGGTAGGCAAATTTTGAGATCACTTGAACCAAACATGGATAATCAACTTACCCACTTTCAGTTGCCTAGGAAAATTTTGAGATATCTTATACCAAACACAACCTAAACAAAAAAAGAATTCAGTCAAAAATTTTGACGGAATGTTTTTCGTTCAAAATTTCGATGGGAATGTGTTCTGACGAAAATTTCGATGGAAATTATTTTGAGAGAAATGTTTCATTTGAAACTTTTGACGAAATTTAGATTCTCTAAAGAATTTTTGACAGAATATTTTTTCCGTCAAATTTTTTTATCGAAATATATTTTGTCAAAAAATTTTACGAAAATTTTTCACAGAAATGTGTTCCTTTGCAAATTTTGATAGAAATATTTTTTATCAAAAAACTTGACGAAAATATTTAGTCGAAAATTTTCGTTGAAAATGTGTTTTGCTAAAAATTTCAACGAAATTTTTTTTTGTCAAAAGTTTAATGAAAATGTGTTTCGTCGAATTTTTGTGAAATATTCTGACGAAATTTAGACTCCGTAAAAAAATTTCGCATAAATGTTTTTAGTCACAAATTTTAATGAAAATATTTGAGAAAAATTTTGATGGAAATATTTTCCGTAAAAAATTTTGACGTAATTATTTTACGTTAAAATTTTTCTTTTAATGTAATTGTGATTTTATCTTTCCTTTTTTTCACATAATGAGTATGTGTCAAGTTTTAGGTCAATGAGTCATTATTAAAATAAGTCAGGTCTAAAACTGACCCAACTAAAAGTCGGTCAGTATTTAAATCAGTTCAAAAAAATAGGTATTTATGGGTCAGGTCAAGGTCAGATCAAGGGCAGGGCAAGTGAACCAGTTTTTTTGCACAACCCTAGGAAGATGATCCTCTGTCTCCGTTCAATATATATTCAATATTTAAAGCTATTTTATTACGCTGAAGATATAAATATTCTATTTTATTTTAATTATGATATTCTAGATCTTTCTATTTTCTCCTTATGCTCTTCTATATAAGAGTCTCTTATGTACAAATGAAATACTCTATCAATAATATCAATTTTCCTTGTGTTTTGCGTAGAGAGTTGCAGCTTCAAAAGTTTTGTTTATAGTGGTTTATGAACACTATTTGGTTTGTGGTTTATCATTTTTTTTCTTTTTATGTCATCCTATGTGTTTTTTGTATTCCTCTCGTCGTGCGTTCCTTTCTTCAGTACCTTCAATCTACCAAGTGTTTCACAAAAGTATCCATTGAAGTTATTTGGATGTGTGGTTACTATATTTTGATTTTGATTTTTTTTCCTGACTTGTATTTGGCCACTTTGATTTTATTCCCAAATATGTTTATGGTGTTATTCAGGTCAGATTTAGCTTTTATTTGGTTTTGCTAGCTTTATTTTGGCTTCTCATTCAGGGAGAGAATTTATCTCGATTATTGTCTGGTTCGCGGATTATCCCAGTTACAATGGTTTCGTCAACTTTTATCCTAGTTACAGCACTGATGTATAGGCTAATGTCCATCCTAGCCCTTCCTTTGTTGATGTCCATTCCAGCACATCTTAACTGATATTCGTTATAGCATTGTCTCTTTACCAGCTCTTCAGACTGATGGTCATTCCAATTAATTTGTTGTAGTATCGATTTCTCCCATTTCGTAAAACTTCATTTGGATATGACATTTGTTGTGCTTACCTTCCTTTCAATAAGACATACTTCGGGACAAATTTTTGGAAAAGAGACACATGTGACGGTAGTAAATTATTTGCGTGGGAATCTAAATCTAACCATTCATTGCAAATCTGCCGATGATGATCTTGGAGTGCATATTCTCCAATCTGGAGCTCTTTTTGAATGGAGTTTTGGATATGACATTTTGAAGAGAACACAATTTTATTGTTCTTTCCAATGGCAAGGTGCCTTCAACTGGTACGATATATACATAGCAAAGAGGGATTACAATGTATGTCGTCGGTGCATTTGGCTGATAAGGCCAGAAGGGCCATGTCTCATTACAGGTGATGCTAGTTCTGAATGTTATCTTTGGAATAAGAAGTAACTAGAGATGATATGTGTTTCATCTTAATTTAATTGTACACAATATTGGGGTTGAGAACTTAATATTATTCTTGCATTCCCTTCATTATAAATAAAGTGATGAATAAAATTTCGAAAATATTATTCTTGCCTTTGCGTCGTTTGGTTCGTTAATTTTTTATTTATTTATTTATTATCATTTTTTGGAGTCTTCAATTTGAACAAAAGATAATATACCCCAACAATAGGGTATGTGTTGCAGTGTTAGTTTTCTATCTGCGTGTTTGGGTAGTACTGTTGATTGTTAAAAGCCATCCACAATGGAACAATCTAAATCCCTCAAAAATAAAAATTTCCACATTAAACGAAAAAAGAAGTAAAAAAAGAAGAAGATCGTGCTTAGTTCTTTTTCTATCTGCGTGTTTGTGTAATTTATACGATAAAATTATTTTATAACCACCAACCACATGAATCAATTAATAAGTTTATTCATCCTTAATTAGTGACTTGGTATCAAAACCCTTAACGTTATTGAATTACAATACGTATTGTGTATCGTTTGGCCAATTTTTGTATCTTGTATTATGAATCGTATCGAATCTTAAGATACATAAATATAATAAAAAATGATTTACAAAAATTTTATAATATAATTAATATCATATAAATCCAAATTCTAAAAAAGATCCAATAAGCAAAATACATAAGTAATTAAAATGTAAATCAGTTAGTCTCCTACTCATCAATCATAAAAACTAATATTTTCACTACTATTATTATCAGGTTCTATCAGTGATATAACTAATTCTTCATCCTCTTTCAAAAAGGATCATTTTAGGTTTTTTTAATTTAAATCAAAAATCAAATTTTTATTTTTTTTATAATACATATTGATTTAATTTTAGTAACGTGTATTATACGCGTCTTACTTGCAGTGTCAGCAATACAATTAAGTTCTCCCCTATAAAATCTGACGAGAAGAGCTAAGAGCATAGGTCTCAGTTTTGTAGTAATGTTATGGACTTATGGTATATTTCAGAATTATCATGTAATATTTGGGTGTAGTATTATCAGTTGAGTTAAATCATGATTGATAATTTTTTAATCAATAAATATCTTAAAGATTTAATATTTGAATAAAATATAAACAGAGTTGGCACTTTACACTATCAATTAAAACTGAATTGAATTGTTATCAAAAAAAAAAAAAAAAAACTGAATTGAATTTATTGGTACTTTTATTTGTTTGTCCATTAACACACATCTCAAATTATTTTAAAAAATTGTCAAGTTAAAATATAATAAGTTAATGTTTAATTAAGAGAGTAGCTGGACATAATAAAAGTCCAAATCCGTGATTGAGATTACTTATTTTAGTTCGATTTTTTTTGGGTAGGATATTGTAACAATCAATTAGGATTATTATCAATGTTACTACCAATCAATTTCTCCGTTAGATCGATTATATTGATCCAATAGTTATATTTATTTCCATTTTTGTATGGTTATGATTTCCCATATTTAATGTGAAAGCATTAAATATGAGAAATCATAGCCATACAAAGGTGGAAATAAATATAAAGTATTAAATATGATGAATCATAATCATACAAAGATGGATATAAATATAACCGTTGGATCAACATAATCGATCTTACGGTGAAATTGATTGATAGTAACCCTAATTGGTTGTTACAATATTCCTGTTCTTCTTTTTTTAATGGAAACTTTTAAAGAAAAATTAAAAAAAAAAATTATTCTCCAAAAATTTATTATTATACATGCACTAAATAAAATAGTTTGATTTTGTTTTAAACAAGATATTCATTAACTGAAAATTCAATTAACTAAATAGGATTGCAAGCAAATAAATAAGACTATTAATAATTTAATTAATTAATATTTTTCCCCTCAATTTAATATCCAAAATGAATAAAAAAAAATTATTAGTTAGTTTCTATGCAATGATTACGGATTCTTACACTGAAGCTGAAATCGGGTTCCAAAGGTTTGAGGAGAAAATATAAAATGATAGAAAATATAAAGAAGCAAAAATAAAATGGTTGTTGAACAAATCGTACATTAGTTGGCCTTCGTTATTTTGTATTGTAACACGTAGGGGTGTTTATCAACCGATCCAAACCGATTCAAATCGCGGTGACCAAACTGAAAAATCGAAAACCGAATAAAAATCGCAAATTTTAATTGGATTGGATCAGATTTTGGATTGGTAGACGAAAACCGATCCAACCGATCCAATATATTAATTTTTCTCTACCTACTTGAGTCATTCTTCAATCATAGCCCAAAAATTTGTAAACCCAAGACCCATTAATCCATCAACTAAACTCAAGAAAAAACCTAGTCACATCTTATCAACAAAATTTCATCTATGTAGAGCTTCATATCTTATAGTCCCAAAAAAAAAAACTATATTATTTGATGCTTTTGTATTTAAAAAAATATATTACAAAGTCAATATACACAAAATATGTTATTTGGACAATAATCATGAAATAAATTTTAGTATTTTCAAAAAATCGAAAATCGATCCAATCCAAACCGAAAAAATTGGATTGAATCGGATCGGATTTGAAAAAAAATTCAAACCGAATGGATGATTACATGATCAAACCGAAGGAATTAGATCAAATGATTTTTACTTTCAAAACCGATCCAATCCAGACCGCGAACAGTACCCTAATACGCTATCGACTTTGGTGAAATATTATTTTGCATTGGAATTTAGATTTGTTAAAGCTCTTCATTAGCCCATTTTTGTTACTGTCGTAACCTAAAATAAGTGGCCCATACTCACTCGTTGGGCCCATTTTTACAGCCCACTATCAATGCTGTCTGACATATACGTAATAGCCTGAACCTCAAACCAAGAATCTATTACTAAGATTCTTCCCTCTCTCCGAAGCATTCAAGGCTTTTTTTAATTCATTTATAGTTTATGATTGAGTTAGGATCCGTTTTACTGTTACTGACATGCCATGGATTTCGAGAAGAAGAGGGTTCAGTTTCTTGTATTTGTCGCTTCCATCATTGTTCTTAGCATCACCGGTACCTTACTTATCAATGCCTATTCAATGTATTCTGTTTTTGCGGTTACAATTGAATTTCCTTTTTTAATGGAACATTTGGCATTAATGTTATCTAATTATAGACATTAACGAGATTCATAAATTGCAGACACCCATGATCTTTTGTTTCACTTTAACTCCTGCTTTTCTACCATTTTTGGTTGCGTAGATAATAACGGAATGACCAAGAGAAGGAAAATTTGGATCCTTTATAATTCAACATGCCTATTACTCGCATCAGGCTCGATTGAACTGTGAATAATAATTGCTTGTGAACGTTTTGGGGTCAATTAATGACAGTAATTTGGGTGAGTTTTCCTAATTAGATTTCTCTTAATTTTAGAAATGTCAAAATTATTTGCAAAAATTTGTTCGGTGAAGTAAGGAATCAATTCTCTGCCCAAATCGTATACGCTGTCTTGTTACAATTCTGGGACTACGATGATTATTCCCATATTAGCTACCTGTCTTAGCTATATTCCAAAGAGGATTTCTCGGTGTTGAATTTGGAAATCAAACAGTATAGCACTATAGCTAGCTTAAAGATCCTAAGTTCAAATCCATTGTATAACCCAAAAAATGGGAGATTGACTGAAGGGATAAATCTTTATTTTCTAGCATGGATTCTGTGGATTGCTTTGATTTTGTTGTGTGTGTATGTTTCATTATCATGTGATTATTATTAAAACAACTTCTGTTCCTTCCAACAAATGTTAAGTTGAGTTGTTTTCCTAGCCTTGTGTTCTCATCTTTGACTGTGGTGAAGCCCTCCAATTGCAATGTCTGCTTATGCATAAACTATTGCTCTTTTCAGCTGAAAAATGCAGGCAACTTGTTGGCGAGAAGGCGTCATCCCAAAGTGGAAAATTTACATTATTCAATTGCTTTGACCTGGGTTCTGGAACTTTGGCATGTGGTGTCAAGGAAGGTGTGAAGCTTTATATTTACAATATTAGAGCTGCTCATGTTGAAGGAGCAAAGCATGATGCAATGCAGTCTGCCCTTGCTGATGCTATGTCACAGGGGATGTCACCAACTGAATCAGCAAAACATGCTGAGAAAGAAGGTGCAAAGGCAGCAAAATTGGCTTCCCGAAAAGCCAAGCGCATTATAGGTCCCGTAATGTCTTCCGGATGGGACTTTTTTGAAGCTGCATATTATGGTGGTACTGTCACAGAGGGATTCCTTAGGGGAACTGGTACTTTGTTTGGTACTTATGCTGGAGGCTTCATGGGGGAACAAAGGCTTGGGAGATTTGGTTATCTTGTTGGAAGTCACATGGGGAGTTGGTTTGGAGGTAGAATAGGACTAATGCTATATGATGTGGCTAATGGATTGCATTTCTTGTTGCAATTTGTTTGAAACAGATGGAAGTGAAGTTCAAGAAACTTAAGCTCTCACCATCACAAAAATTCTGAACCAAATAGAAGTTCCTTCTTCCACGAAACTCCTTCCAGTGTTTATGAATTATGAGTCTACTCTCTTTCGACTATCATAGCTGTGAAACATATGAAGATTCTGACCTGGGATGAAATTTTGAAGTTTATATCTTTGTTATTTTCTCACATTTTTACTGGATGTATATGTGCTTTTCTTCAATGTGTGTCTGTTCCAGCTTTGTTTATAAGACATACTTTTATTTTTCTAACATATAATGCACATTTCACTTTATATAATTTCTCTTATGTTGCACATGATCCTCTTTTTTCTTCTTGGTCATCCTTTCCCTAGTACATGATTGGATTCAAATTCAAAAATTTCTGTTGGTAGGTAATTTTATAATTCCTATGTAAAAAGAGAGATATTATTTAGTCTTAAATACCTTATAATTTCTTCAATATAAATCATTGTCGAGACTGGTAAAGGGTGGTTTGTTCTGATTTTAAAACGTAAAGAATATTTCTTCATTTTAATTTTTTATGCAAAAAGCAAAACAAAAAGCGAAACGGACAATATAGATATTTTTCACAAATCATCGAAAGTCTTATTACAATCAAATAAATTGAGATACTGATCTTATTTAAAAAAATTTATTTTATGCTTCAAAAAATTTTCCACCAAAAATGATCTCCTTAATATTAATAAAAGAATAAAACAATAAAGTAAACACGCTCATCCAATAGTATAGGCAATAATATTGATAATAGAAGATGCATGGATCATGTAATTAACTATGTTTGTAACAAATTGCACGATGAGAATAAATTAATACTTCATACGATGAGGTGAAAATAATTGCGAGATAAACAGATAGAAAATTAAGATATAAAATTCTTGTGTAAAACAAAATAACGTAAAATAAGGATGTGGAAATTACGTAGTGCAGCTCAATTAATAAATTAATTTATATGTGGGCAGACATCAAATATACCACAGGAATTTGAAATTTATTAAAAACACTTGCGACTAAAGTCAAGTAGATGGTCGAGTAAATATTAGTGACGACTTCATAATTTTACAAAATGATTTAGAATTTCAATTATTTCATTTAAAATAAAATTAAAAAAAAAGTCTTCCGTAGATTTTTAGCATGGGCAATTAATATCTTTCAGGGTGGAAATAGCATTCTTTTCAAAAAGAGCCATTTGAGATTTTAAATTGAGAATGGAGATATGACCTACACGCTCGAAAGTTGAAACAATTACGAAATGAAGCGAAATATAAATTAGGTAGATGTTGATTTAATAAAAGGTTTTTCACCACACAAAAAGAGAGAGTTAAGTTTGATTAATGTTAAAAAAAAATTAATCACACTTTTGGTCTCTCTCTTTTTTTCTTTTTTCTTTTTGGTAAAAACACTTTTGGTCTCTTTATTATGGTTAATATGTGATTTTGGTTTCTTAATTTTCTTTGTAAAATTTAATCCCTTTAATTTTTTTAATTACAACAATTATGTCTTTTTGTTTGTTTTTCACTACCTAAAACTACCAAATCATCACTTTCAACTCAAATAATTGGGGTTTCACAGTAAAGTTGGGGGAAAACGATTTGAAAATTTAATGAAAATTTGATTAAATTTAAATAGCTTTGTTAAAAGTGAGGTTAGGATAGGGAGAAATTTGAATTTTTTAACTTTGGAAAAAAAAAACGTAATTTTTTGATCAGTGGGTTTACAGATTTTAAAATTGTTTCATTAATTTAATTCGTGAAAATCTTAAGCAGAAAATGGAGATTCAAAGGTTTTAGATAGAGGAAAACAAATAAAAGGACTTGGTTGTAGCAATTAAAAATTTAAGAAATTAAATTCTAAAATAAAATATTAGGGGAACCAACATCTCAAATTAATCGTAAGGACCAAAAATTCAATTAAGAAAAAATGTGACATTTAAATCTCATGTTATTGATTAAAAACACAATTTATAATTTTATATCCTATCTTTTTTTAATAACGGCATATGATGATCCTATTGAAAAGAAATGGAGGGATATTCTAACTACCAAAATTTTCTACTACCAACTTACTACCTATCTCATTACCATTAGATTAATATTTTCTCTTTCTTCAAAAACTTTTTAACATTATCTCTCTTTGATCTAATGGTGATGTGATGGATAATAAGTTAGTAGTGAGAGTTTTTGGTAGTTAGAATATTCTTACTATGAAAAAAGAATAAGATAAGTTTTATCATAATAGGACACACCATTAGTTATAAGATTTATTGAAGAGAACATGGAGTCATGATTAGTTAAAAATATCTTTTCCACCAAAAAAAAAAAATTATATTTTTCTTTGTATTAAACAACTGATGTCAGATGTAGTAATCATATAGCCACTATAGCAACTGCTAAATTTATGTGATATACAATAAAATTATGAGGTAATCACAGTGCTTTGACATTATATTAGCTTTAATTATAGGTTTAATGCCAATCGTCGTTGTTACGTGTCATTTGAGGTTGCGTAGTTGGTTCTTGAAACGGATCAATTGGGACAAGTAATTAAGAAAATACTCACCCTTGGACCAAAGCGAATTACTGTGTATTGGATTGTTGCATGTGGCTCCGTTTGGCACACGCCATCGTGTGGATGCCACACATCCATCTGCGTGAAACAAATTATCAAGTATATTTGACTTCATGCATAGCCAACCAACATGCTCGCCATTATTTTAGGCAATCTTTGTCTTATGTAAAGCAATAAAATTGGAATCGTACAACCGAAAGGTAGGAGAACAGAGCGAGGGAGCACAATCAAACGGAAAACAATCTTGCAAAAGTGCCTTTGCACTATTCTCCTTTAGTTTCACCGTCGAGTAATCGCATTTGGTGCTGTTGATGGTATCTGATGGTGGAAGTGGCCAAATTGACCAAAAAATAAAGGGAATATAAGGTGCCTAAAAGTAGCTTTTGGTTCATATCTATAATTGATGCACATTCCCTAACTCCATTACGACCCCTAATATCTTATCTGATGTCAACATCAAGGGATCCACCTTCCTCAGCGAGTCCTTAAGGCTTTTAATTTAAGAGTCAGAGAGGTCCCAATTTCTCATGGATGGTTGGGGAATATTAGGATGATGCATTAATTACTAATGATGCATTTCGTATCAAGCCACAAATAATGTTAATATGGGGCATGAAACTTATACAAAGGAAAATTACCACGTCGACTATCATATTATTATTCCCATTCCACTTTACAATTTGATTTTATTTGATGGAAAAATGTTTCTTTATCCTTTTTTAATCAAAAATAAAAACAATTTATTTATTTTTTTGTAAGGAGGTTGTTGAGATATATAGTCTCACATTGGTTAGATGTGCAACTAATGTGGCATTTATAAAGCCTTGGACACTCCCACCCTTTGAGCTAGCTTTTAAGGTGGTGACCTCAAGGTTCTTAACATGGCACCGTCTCCCACTTTAAAGTGGAATTAAAAACAAAAAGCACAAAAGGTAAACCAAAAATTGGGCATGTGCATAATCCACGCTTCTAGCCCAAAGGGCTCTTGCGTGAGAGCGTGTTGAGATATATAGTCTCACATTGGTTAGATGTGCAACTAATGTGGCCTTTATAAGGCCTTGGCACTCTCACCCTTTGAGCTAGCTTTTAGAGTGGTGACCTCAAGGTTCTTAACAGAGTTCAATATGAGAGAAATTTGCAACAGTACAAGGCAAGCATCTAATGAAAATTGCTTGCACGAAATAAAAGGAATGAAAATATCTCATTTTTGCACCGTTCAAATTAAAGGGAAAAAGAGGAGGAATCAAAGTTAAGATATATTAATATATTAATCTATGCATGACTTTTCAGATGTTGAATGTCAACATTATCAGATTCACATATAATTTTTTAGTGCCCACAAAGTGTCCTTACAACTTTTGTAAAGACATTCTGTAGCAGTGGGGAGAAAAAATAAACCAGAAAGGGGGGGGGGGGGGGGGGGGGGGGGGGGGGCGGGGGGTTAAAGAAAAAAAAATCAAAGTATTAGATTCAACTCAGCACATAGACCGAGTTATTAAGCCTAAAACTCTCAGGGTATAGAAAACTAAGAGGATTTGAATATGTTGTTATATTTAATGAAATGGCTGATAGCCAATATATACACAAGTCGGTTATACAGAATCAAGGAGGATCAACTAGAATAAAGTATACTGTTCAACAAACTATACATGGAATAATAACAAACTATTCTTGCTAAAAACTAGGACTTAGTTGCTAAAGGATAAGATCAAAGGTGATCTTCTCCTAACACGCCCCCTCAAGTTGGAGCATGAAGTGACGAAATGCCCAACTTGCTGCGAAGAAAACTGAATTGCTTCATGCCAAGCGGTTTGGTAAATATGTCTGCGAGTTGCTGATCTGTACGAACGTAGGTAGTAGTGATTGTATTGCTGAGAACATGATCGCGTACAAAATGACAATCAATCTCTATATGTTTGGTACGTTCGTGGAAAACTGGATTAGCAGCTATTTGCATGGCAGATTGGTTATCACAGTGCAACTGCATAGGGTGTGAATGTGGAACATCAAGCGAGTCCAGAAACGATTTGATCCATAACAACTCAGCTGTAGCTGCTGCCATTGAACGATACTCAGCTTCAGCGGAGGAGCGAGACACTGTGGGTTGCTTCTTTGTTTTCCAAGAGATAGGAGAAGTACCCAACATGATAAAATAACCAGTAACTGATCGACGGGTGAGTGGACAGCTAGCCCAATCCGAATCAGAATATCCACGAAGAAGAAGATCATTGTCGGATCAAAGGAGTAAACCTTGGCCAGGATCAGTTTTGATGTACCTTAAAACGCGGATGACAGCATCATATTGAGCAATAGTAGGATTTTGCATGAACTGGGAAAGAACATGGACGGAGTAACTTAACTCAGGTCTAGTAATTGTCAAGTAAACCAAACGTCCTATGAGTCTTCTGTAACGTGCGGGATCCGAGAATGGAGGACTTTCTGT